GGGTTGTTTCCATGTCCTTGCAGTAGTGAATTGTGCTCCATAAACATTTGGGTGCAGATGTCTTGATCATAGAATGTCTTATGCTCTTTTGGGTAGATGCCTAAGAATGCTATTGCTGGGTCGAATGGTATTTCTATTTCTATTTCTAGCTGTTTGAGGTATCTCCAAATTCTTTTCCACAAAGGTTGCGCTAATTTGCAGTCCCACCAGCAGAGTAAGGGTGTTCCTGTCTCTCCACATCCTTGCTAGCATTTGTTGTTTTGGGATTTCTTGATACAGGTCATTCTCACTGGGGTTAGGTGGTATCTCATTGTGGTTTTGATTTGCATTTCTCTGGTGATTAGAGATGTTGAGCATTTTTTTATATGTTTGCAGGCCATTCTTCTGTCTTCTTTGGAGAAGCTTCTGTTCATTTCCGTTGCACATTTCTTGATGGGATTGTTTGATTTTTTTCTTGTTAATGCCAGATTAATTTTAAGGGGCATGATATTGGAGACATATCTTGGTGACATACCTTTGTGACAATTAGAAGGGCATTAACTTTTTTAGGACAGTGAGTGTTCTATTCTGAAAACATCCTTGGTTTGTCTACGTGTCTTAAAATTCTTCACTAGTCATTGCCAGGTTTGAGGTTGGGGGAAAATATTAGACTGAATACACACAGTGGTAATAATTGCATGACAACAGGGAACATAGCTAGTATGGCATCCTTTCACAAATGCTTACAGAAAACTAATACTATTTATGTTAGAGTGGGGCAGGGGGACCTTCCACTTGTTGTATCTTAACATGAGGTCACTGTAATAGATTGGAGATTGGTGGATAAGTACTGATGTTGAAAGTGACGGAAAATCCAACCCAAACCAGATAAAGCACAAAATGTAATTTATTGTCTCAATAACTAAAAAATCCAGGGTAAAGCTGGATTCAGAAACTTAAGCTTGATTATCAAGATGGGGCTCCTTTCCACCTCTTGGCTCTGTCTTCCACTATGTTGGCTTTATTTCCATGTTGTGGAGGGAACTGGCCCTAATTGTCACAATCCTCAATCCAGTGGTAGAGGGAATCTACATTCCTATGTGTAAGCAGAAGTCTCAGAGTTGTGTCTTCTTGGCTTTGATTGGCCTGATATGAATCATGTGCCCATCCCTGTGAATGTCTTGGAGACAAGAATTATATTTTAAGTGTCTTTGTGTCCTTAGTGATTAGCACATGTGTCCTTAGTGTTGCATGATGTACAGTGGGTACTCAGTATACAAGTGTTATACCAAACTGTAATCTTCTGAAAGAAACCAGTTTGCATTATAAGAGCTATTCTAGTATATTCCAGATTTTAATTCTGAAATTTCTTTTACAGAATTAGCTGACTTGTTGTATAGCTTTAATATGATTACTGGAATTTAAGAACCTGAGACTTCGTGCCTATATGTGACCAGGATTCTCTCAAAACTTTATAATTCAGGAAATGAGAGGCAAGGAAGTAACCTAAATCACATATCACCTTAACTTGACAAGAAATGTATTAAGAAACAAGAGACCTATTGGCAGAAGCAGTTTTAATTTCCTTTGACTCATATGGAGCGAGTGTGGGAGGTGTGAGGAGAACATGGATAATGGTTGGAAATGAGAGGATTTGAGTACAGGAGTATCGTGCCATTACAGAGAAGAGGAGGAAGGATGTGGGTGATGCTAAAGTTGTTCTTTCACAATGGTGACAGAGTATGAATTAGGCACATGATGATCTTTAAACAGATGTTGTTTGAAATTCATTTTATAGAGAGGTTTAAAATAAGTGGTCTGATGGGGCATGTAAAATTTGTATTAAATCTCATAAGAGAAAAAGTTACCTGAAATAGATTTAAGGTTTATGTGTTGTGTCAATTACTAATGCCTCATCTTCTGAGTTTAATTTAAAAAAATGAAGGGAATTCCAAAGACTAGATTTTTAGTATGGTAGAGGAAAGTGTACCTAGTTACTATAAAAAAGAAACTATTCAGTACTATCGTGTAATTATGCCTGTCTTCTAATGGGAACTTCATTTTCAAAGCTTTTTTTAATCTTTTAATTTCTGTTGAATGCCAACTTTGCCCCAACAACTTTTCTTACAGTGTGAAAAGATGAAAGCCAAGGAGATGCAATTATCAATGATGTCAGAGAATTTGAGGCATTTCCAATCATGCTTGTTTGTTCATTTTGCATAATCTCAAAACTCACTGATGTGGACCAATTTAAAATGAATTTACTGACTTAAACACAAGATCTTGGAACTCTAATTGCCTGGGAAACTGTAAGAATATAGCATTTGAACTCATTGGTCCTGACATTAAAAGATGCTGTTAAATATTTAAAATAGTCAAGAGAACTGTGCTGTCATTTAAATTAATGTAATGTTTATCAGAATAATCAGGTGCAAACTTTCAGGAAGCTCATAATTATGCAGTTTTATGACAGTTTTGGTTATTCTGCATGAGTTTAAAATATTTGAATGCTTGGAAATGTGTAGCATAAATTATCTATTATGTTATTCAAGATGGAGGTGTGTGATTTGCAGGAATAAAATGTAAGAGGTAGTATGATGTGGTTATTGGGTAGAGAGTCTAGAGCTAGATTCCTGGATTCAAGTCCTGCCTAACTGCTTACTTAGCTAAGTAACACTGAATGTGTTTAACTAACTGGTCTGTGCCTTAGTTTCCTCAACTATAAAATGGGGTTAATGATGCTCCCACCTTCCTCGTAGAGATACCGTGAGGATTAAATGTGTTAATGTGTAGAAAGTACTTAAAACAGCTCTATATAAGCATTTGCTGTTACTTTCTAAAGGTCATTACAGTTTTCCTTTAGACTGCATGGAATCTTAAAAAGCAATATGAGAATATGTAGAAAAACATATGAGGAAGTTCATGCATATAGCATTGAAAAATTCAGTAGTTAACTTGTAATTACAAATGTGGCCTTTTGTATTTGCACCCTAGGACATACTTCTCACACTGCTCCTCATGCTCCAGGACAGTATTTTTCAAAGTGTATTCCAAGCATCTTCAAAGTGTATTCCAAGCATCAGTTGCCTCAGAATCAATAGTGCTGCTTGTTAAATGCAATTCCTGGGCCTCGCCCTAGACCCACTGGATAAGAAATTCTGAGAGTGGGAATTGGCATTTTAACAAATGCTGGAGGTTATTCTTATGTAGGACAAATTTTGAGAACTGTTCTTAGTTGTTCATGATTCCGTCTTCTCATGATATAATTTCATTTTTACTCTTTATCACTTTGAACTTTGGATATCTTCTTATTTCTCTCAACTCCAGGTTCTTATCACATCTCCTGTTCAGGGCCTTGAGATTTTTCTTTCAAAATCACAATAGACCAAAGTTGATTTTTTTCTTTCACATTCAAGGCCTATGCTGCTACCTTTTCATTCCTTTATTCTGTATTCTCTTCATTGTCCATGGGTCATTTCTTTCCCACTATTTGTCATAAGTGTGGTGTGAAATCATCCTGGCTTTAATTCCACAAAAGATCCTCTTTAGTTGGCTCTGGGTTAGCTTAGAACTGCTCCCAGTTTTCTGCCTCACTCATGCTTTGCTTTTTACCTTCCCTTTCTCTCATCTTTTCCATTCCTTTCTTTCTATGAACATTCCTTGATTAGAATTCAGGGAAGAGTATATAGCTGGTGAAGGAAAGCTCTTTTATTTTATTTTTTCCAAGTTCCTTAGCCTTCTGTCAGGAATGCTTGCAGAGAAGGGATAGGTGCAAAAATGTCCTAGTGGTCCTTCAGCATCTCTGTCCCTCTTGGCCTATGTCTCTTTCCTGGATTCCATTTGAATTCTGCATCCCTATTTGTGGATTTTGCAGTCTGAAGCATGTGAGACATTATTGAGCAATTTCAGACGGCATTGTTTGAATATACTTGACTGAGATAATTGCATTTAAACCTTAAAATATATCAAGAACTCATGTATTTGGTGATTCCTAAATATAAAGCCATGTGTAGCCATGTGGAAATACCACATACATGAAAATTTTATTACTTCTTGGCCAAGGTAAAGATTAATAGGAAGCATTTTGGCTCATGGAGTATGTAATGCAACTCTCTTTTAAAACACATGAACTTGTTATGTTCGTGTGACTGATCGCATAGATCCATTGGAATCTTAATGATCCGTGAGAGAAATTGTTCACATTTTTAGAGGTACATCTACATTACAAAACAGCAGCAGTGCTTTCAAGAGACCATTGCACTGTTGTGCTTTTGAAAGCACTTGAATCCCACAGTGCTGAAAGTAGGAACAATATTGTTGACTCATAAACACACAGATTGTAGTAAGAAGAAAACAGTAGACGTTATGGGAAAGAAAGAAATATACAGTTTGCCAAATTTTATTTTAAAGCAACGTGGACATTTTCTAAGAAGTGGTATTAGTATTTTAGCTAATAAAATGAAAGAAATTTAAGTCCCTCAGATTTACCTCTTCTTTGAAAGGATTAGCATTTCCTTGCAATAACTAAAAATTTAAAAAATTCTCAAATATGACAAATTTAAGGAAAAATAGACACCAACCAAGAAATCGATTTATTGCTAAAGCTTTAGCTTCAACTGTTGTAGTTTTGGCTGGTATTTTATAGCTTCATTTGGGGAAAAATGGGCTTTAATTCAGTTTCCATGTTGATGCCTGTGTTTTTCTTAAAGGGTGGATGTCAATACATTTTTTAATAAACCAAATTTAATAAATAATTTAATTTATAACTATTATCTTGGTATAGAAGCTAAAGAACAAAAAGCAATTATGAATAGTAAAAAGAGAACCATAAGAATAGATTATGATTTTTCTCAATAACTTCTGTTATCACACATTTGAGTTGGATGGATTAATATTTGATGTAGGTCTTAGTTATTCACTTTCTAACTCTCCACATTGTATTAGTATTTGTAGACAATGTAATCTAATGAAAATATGTTAGATATGTTTTGTGAATAATTTTTTTTTCTTTTTTCTTTTAGGGATGCCCTCTCCATCTTTGGTAGTAAATCTTCTTTCAGTTTTTCTTATCTCTTTTGTATTTGGAGAAACAGAAATAAGATTTGCTGGACAAACAGAATTTGTTGTTAATGAAACAAGTACAACAGTTATTCGTCTTATCATCGAAAGGATAGGAGAGCCAGCAAATGTTACTGCAATTGTGTCGGTAAGAAATGATTGTAGTTCTATCTTTACTGAAATAGATATGAAATTTCTTAGTTTCAATGGCAAGGATGTTTTTTCATTTGAGATTTTGAGTAGTTTCAGTATGATAAATGATTTGCGGATTACACTGTTGCATTTATGTCTGTTATGGGTTTATATAGAGTGCCCCAAGGTAGCCACATGCATTGGACAATAGAATTTTAAAGATACAGCCTGATTATATTAAAGTGTTCATACATTTACTTTAAAACAAGAACATTTTATTTTTGTTAATTTGCATTGTAGGTATCTCTGCTCAGACATGTTATCTATTATAGGGTGGTATAGAGAAAATATATGGAATATTTAAAAGTAGAAAAATGGTAATAGGAATAAAAAAACCTTAGTTATGTTGGAGAACTCTTTCTGTGGGATAAATTAAATATATTAACTTAAGTAGAAGTTAGGTTGAATTTGTAAGCTATTGATCTGTTTCGCATACAGTTAATTATTGGATGGATTGTGTGTGCATGTATATGAGTCTATTTTTAACCAGAAAGTAATGTCATATGAGTATTACTAAACATATTGCTATATTTGAAGTACTCAAAGTACTTGAAATTTTTGTTTGCAAAAATAAAATTTTAAGCAATAGTTTAAATTATATTATGAAACATTATGAAAATAGAAAATGAAGGAAAACTACCCATGAAACAAATCCAATACTATAATTGTATGCATTACTTTTAGATTTTATTGAATTAATGACATATATTTATTGAATTTATTTTTAGTTTGAGTATACATTATATTTGATAATCATTTTCCTATAATCATTTCATATAATCATTTGATAATCATTTTCATAATTTTGATTGTACCCTAACAGTTTTTTCTGGTTGCTCTATCATTTTCATAACTTTTCTTGATGGTGTTGCTATTACTTCCTAATCATTCTTCAACTGCTTATGTCAGTTTTGCATATTTTGCATTTTAAATGATTTTCATAGGTTGGATTACTTTTTGTTCCTGTTTGTTTCAGTGGCTCTTGATAATGCTTTCAAAAAGTCTATGCCATTTTCTTCATGAATGTATAAGTTTTCCAACACCCTTGACAACTTACTTGTATTTCTCAAGTCTTTAAAACTTAATTTATCTTTATAAATGCGAACTAGAAATTGACTAAAATTTCCTTAAACATGTGTTTTCTTTTGTACTAAGTCATAAATATTGTTTCTAGTAGTTAAATTATTCATTTTGCACTATTTGGTAAAAGAGATCACATTTGGACCCTAAGAATCTTATTAATGATGCTGATTTTACAGAATAATATCTTAAAAAGTTAAAGAAAAGTTTATAATGAATAAAAAGTTTGGAATGCTAAAAGAATTAGGTCTTTATTAGAATTGTTGTGGGAGAATATAAATATATTATAACTTTACATTGAAAATTTGGGAAGAGCAGTTTCTTTGAAACTGATAAGGAAAATAATTGGAATAATTAAAAATAATTGGAAGTAAAACTCGGTTTTTGGCAGACTATTTATCTCTTTTTCTCCTCTCCTTCTTTTTTTATTGATATTTAATAGTTGCACATAGTTGCACATAAGATATTTTGATACCTGTATACAATATGTAATGGTCAAACCAAGGTAATTGGGATATTTGTCACCTCAAACATTTATCTTTCCTTTGTGTTGGGGGCATTACAATTAATATCTTATAGCTATTTTGAAATATACAATAAATTCATGTTAACTGTAAATTCCCTAGTGTACTATTGACAGCCAGAACTCATTCCTTCTGTCTAAATGTATTTTTGTATCCACTAACCAACTTCTCTTCATTTCCCCCTCCTTCCCTTCCAAGACTCTGGTAACCACCATTCTACACTTCACTTCTATGAGGTCCACTTTTTCAGTTCCCACATACCAGTGAGAATGTACAATATTTGTCTTTCTATGCCTGGCTTATTTCACTTGACATAATGACTTCCACTTCCATCCATGTTGCTGCTAATGCTAGGATTTCATTCTTTTTTATGGCTGAATAATATTCCACTGTGTTTATATGCTACATTTTTTGTGAGTTTTAGCTACAATTTGTCTTCTTGTTAGTCCACTCCTGATCAATTAAGAGGCAGAGAAAAAAAAAAAGCTTCATATTGTTACTTTCCTGAGTAATTATTACTTTCCTATGTAATATTTCTTTTCCTTCCACAGCATAAACAAAAGCTCTCATATAGAATAATTTTTTTAATGTTTATGTCTGAAGATGATTTTTACCAGTTTTACCAGTTGTAGTACCCATCTATCCAGCTTCTTTATCTTGTCCATTTGTTTCAAATGGTCCAATATTGTTGGAATAGTCACGTCAAACCTTGCTGCTGCTAATTCATGCATCGGTTGAGATGGATTCGCTTCCACTACAGCTTTCAGTGGCTTATTTTCAAGATTAAAATCACCACAACAAAACGTCTCAAACCATCAATGTACTGTGTGTTCATTAGCCACATCCTTCCCAAATACTTCGTTGATACTTTGAGCTGTCTGAGCTGCACTGGTTCTACGATGGAACTCATATTTGAAAACAACACGAATTTTTGACTTATCCATGGTTTCACAAAAATTGCTCTAAAAAATTTTGAAAAATAATCACAAGCCACAATGTGCGTCTGAAAGAATGAGGGCGTAACTTAACAATAAAAATAAAACAAGTGCAAAGTGAAAAGTCAGAGATAGCAACTGTCAAACTTAGTACTTCAGGAAATCAGACATTTCATACTTAATAACCTGATAAATATTTATGATTTATGTACATCCTATCTATAACCATCAATGCTGCTTGATTTATGCTTTTTCTTTTCATTGCTCCAATAAGTATCAGTTTTGCTTGTTCTCATACTATATTAAGTAAGAATGATCTATATTTTGCATTTGGTAGTTGTATGGAGAAGACACTGGTGACTTTTTTGACACATATGCTGCTACTTTTATACCCGCTGGAGAAACAAATAGAACAGTGTACATAGCAGTATGTGATGATGATTTACCAGAACCTGATGAAACTTTTATTTTTCACTTAACATTGCAGGTAAGTCCTTCTCCCCCGCCCTTAACCTTAAACTTTTATAAAAATCTTGCAACACTTAAAACTCTGATTTCCATAGAAGCCAGAACTGACAACCTCTTTGACAATTTCACAGTCTGGTTATTCCTCTGACAATCTTGTTTAGAAGATTCTATAGCCAGTTTTTGTATACATTCAGCTTACTTAGGAATCGCCATTACAGATGCTCCAGAAAACCTAGTCTTCCCTTCGGCTCTTTTTTCTCTTATTCCTTCCCAGCTATCAGATTCACACAGAATGACTGTGACTTCTGAGTTCAAAGGAGAAAGATAAAGAAAATCAGGCATGGAAATGGGAGGTTCCTGTGCCTTAGAATAAATTTAGAGTTGCCCTGGGGAAAAAACTTGAATAACCTAAGATTTAATTGAAATTTACAGCTTTATCGACTAGGTTGAGGCCATGATTCCTAATACCATTCTAGTTAATTTTTCTGAAGAGCATTGAGAATTTTTTAAAAGATAATTGTGTCAATATGATTAAAATGTTTGTGAAAATGATACTTGAAACAGTTATGTTTTGTTTTTGTAAATTACTCTTTTCCATATTCCTTTATGCTGTTGTTGAATATCAATAGAAATGTTGCAGGAAACTCTTTCTACCTTTATTAAAAAATTGCTTTAATATTTTATCTTTAATTTGGCTATATGATTTATAGAATAACTAATTCTTAAGTTTCAGCACCTCTTATAGCATAATAAAACTCCTGTTTGAATAGAATTTTATACTATTATATATACTTAATTCTCTGTTATATTAGTCATAGTGATTATAATGTAATCTACAATATAGTATTACTAGCCAGTGATTACTTACAATTATAATACATATGTTATTAATAGTGGTTAATGGTCTTCAAAACTTTTTTGAAAAGTTTTCATTTGAAACATCCTGACCAGGTCGACTTAATTTGAAAATGTATTCTTAATCTGTGCCCTAAAAGCATATATATATATATATATATATATTCTGATAACTACTTGAAGACAGACATTCTATTAAAATGATTATTTTTTTCCTCTAATTTTTAATTTATTTTTTTATTTTTGGGTTTTTATTTTAGAAACCTTCAGCAAATGTGAAGCTTGGATGGCCAAGGACTGTTACTGTGACAATATTATCAAATGACAATGCATTTGGAATTATTTCATTTAATATGGTACTGTTACTATTTGATGATTCTTGTGGTTTCTAGAGAATAGTTTATTATATTTTTGGCTTATTTTTCGTGATGTTATAGTAGCTGGTGTCATCTGTCTTTTGATATTTAAATAAAATTTCTCCTTGTTCCATGTTATGTAGATTGTCCATTTGTTCTACCTAAGATTTTTGTAAATTGAGGAGGCTTATATGGCCGCGGTCACCTCTTTCCTAATCACTTTCAGCTGATTATTTTGTCTGACTCCTTATTTACCTTCCTTGGCTAGTCTCTAACTCAGACGTGCAACCCAGTGCCTTTTGCTTGATTTCCCCAGATGCCACATAAAGAAAGCATTGTCTGTTTGTTAGATTCTTCTGAAAGTTTGGAGTGACTGGGAGATGAGAAACCATATAGAAAGAATACTGAAAACACCTATAATAAACTTAAAATTGAATAACAGATATCACAGTTCTTCTAAATTCTGCAGTGAATCCCAAACCTGAGATCTTCCCATCAATTAATATTTCCTGAAGGTTGAAATTCCATCTCATGCCCCCCAATTTTACTCAGCAGTGTATTTTCTCTCCCTTAACACCAAATTCCTATGGCTCTGGCTAATCCTATGTTCACAGGGTTTTATCTTTAGAAACAAACACACAAGACAGGTGCCTCCTGGGAGAAATTGTTTCCAGCTCTTAAAATAAAACAGAATTTATCTCAATACAATTGGATTTGGCCACTAAATTTTAGACTATAATGACCTTCTCCATTTGGAGTCTTTTTGAATCATGTTACTAATTATCATTAATAAGATATGATGCAATACTTCCCAGCTTTTAAAAAGTTTTAGATTGCTACTACAGTTGGTTGTGTTGTATGTCATAAGGTAACTTAGTACCTTAAGTTATCTTTGAAACAAGGGGGGCTGATAGGTAAATATGATCTTTATAGTTGCAGTATGTTCATTAAAAGGGTATTTGATTGACTAACCACAATTTAGTAGATATTTGAGAACCTCCATTATCTTGTCATTTGTAAACATTAATTAAATTAATCAATCATTGCTGTTTGAAGAATGGGGAATTATTATTAATAATTATGAAGCAGGCTCTATCAGTTGCTTAATTTCTCTCTCAACAGGTTTCCCGCTGCATTCACTCCCAACTTACTACCCTGACCTCATAGTGACTCATTTAAAAGGGTTTTTTTTTTTTCTTTTTCTGATATTATACATCTTAGCCTCTGGGAATGAATCCTTGTCTCTGGCATTGGTCCTAGGTCTTGGACTGGTGGGGTCTCAGTGCCCCACTTCCTTAAAATTAAACTAAGTAACTCTTGAGCTCACAGTAGGTGCTTAATAGGCTGGTTTTGGTTTCCAGCCTTGATATTGGTTATATTAATAATGAAGATGACACTGATGATGATTATGATGACAATAGCCAAGGTTTACTGAGCCCTACCTATGTGTCAGGCACTGAGATAAGTACTTGATGTAAATTTTCTCCTTGAAACCTCATCACAACCTTTTGAGCCAGGCATTCCTAACCCCATTTATGGGTGGGGGTACTGATAATTAGTGTCACCCTGAGAGGTGGTCACTGCTGCCTGAGCAAGTGTGCACTTGGCTGTTTGTGTTCCTGTTCCTTCTGTTCTACCCTGAGTTTCAGCCAGCCAAACCAGTGCATTTCATTTGAAGTCCTTGCTCTTTCTCCTCCTGCGGTGATCCTGTCCTGAAAATCATTATTAGCAATGTCTGATTTTCAGTGACAAACTGGCTGATGAGGAGGGAAGAGTGGTTCGGAGCAAGACCAGCTGGTGATCTCAGTGAACTACTACCTTGGTGTAGAGGCTTAACTCATTTCTGTGACCTCCTGGGCTTCTGTAAGCATTTGAGTTTGTCATCTTTCAACTACATAACTTTAAAAATTCCTCAGCAAAACAGCTAGTTGATGGTAAAAGTAGGACAAGAACCCACATCTTTTGTCTGAGTAGTTTTATGTTCTCTTTACACTATTATTTTGAACTTTTTCAGTATTTTTATTAACTGATTCTAGGAAATGGCACATTCTTATAGTACAGTGTGGATTGATTTGTCTGTAGCAATTTAGTATTTCTAAGGTAACAGTTTTTACCGCCTTCTACTTTGATTGCTCAATGTCTGATTGTGTTCACTCTGCCCAATAGCCTTCCTCAATCACAGTGAGTGAGCCCAGGGGCAGAAATGAGTCTGTGCCTCTTACTCTCATCAGGGAGAAGGGAACCTATGGAATGGTCACTGTGACTTTTGAGGTAAGTTTATTCTGAAATCATTTTAAATGGTAACACCTTGGGGTTCTTACCAGATAGCTACAATTTTAAAAATCAAAGTCCTTTGTATAATAAACGTGACACAATATGAATAAAAGATCAAAAATCCTTTTGTTATCTGATAAATATCATGACTAATATAAAAATGGTTTCCTTATTGCTTACTTACGATGCTTACATGAAACACAGAATATCATTTTAGATATGTGGTAATCTAAATCATAAAACAGAATAATAATAATGTTAATTCTGTAAAATTTATAGAGCCTTTATGATAAACCTTTTCAAAGATATAAATTTTAAAAATACTCATAGATTACTTAGGCTTATATAAAATTATTTAATATATAGCCTTTCCCTATTTTTCTCAGTACAGTTAATGGATGGTGTTAACAGCCATTGCACTCCACTATAGAGTTCCATAGATGTGGCATGAATAAGATAGGCTATGAGTGGCTTGCATTTCTCTGGTGCTGGCTGTAATCATTTTATTTGATTGCTTATTGACCATGTTCCTATCATTGTGTCACCACATTGCTGTTCTATGAGATACACATTTAAATTGCTAACTAATTTTTGAGTTTTATGAGATTTAGAACATGATGATATACTGTTTTCAAATATTAGAATATTAGATATTTCTGATGCCAGTTTCTATCTTAATTATGAATTATAATACTAATAAAATGGATACTGGATTTATGTAACACAATTGTATTGAAGCATAGAAGAGTTTTATTTATGCTCGTAGGTATCTACATCAAATGGTGGTTAGATTAATTACATAAGAACATAAAATAGTGTAAGTCAATAATGCATTAAAAAACATAGTAAAGACTAAATGTGCAGTAGTCTTGCAAGTTCTACACAGGAAGCCTTCAATAATTTTTCATGTACTTAGCAATATGAATTTAGATAATAAGTTGTTGAAAATATTTCTGATAACAAATATAGGAAAGATTAGAAAAAAATTGGCTGTAGAAAGGCTAAGGCATCCAGGTTATAGTGTTTTCACCTTATTATGGATGCCTAAAGTTATTTTATTGGGTCTGTAGCCTTTTTCTCGTTTAACTAACTATGGGTAACATTTATGGAGAGCTTAACATTGCCATATTCTGTTGTAGTGCTTTATGCTGATTATTATTGCATATAAATACCACAGACTCAGTCTTAGCACCCAGCACCCAGCACTCAATCTCAGCACCCATCTCCGCACCCAGCACTCAGTCTCTCTCATGCTTTTCTTAATTTATTCTCTATGATACTTATCATCTGGCACATAAGCCTTTGTTTAATAATCATTTGTTCCTTTCCATTAAATGTTAGACCTATGTGGAAGTGAGTTTGCTTTGGTCACTGCTATATCCTTAGATCCCAAAAGAGGTCAGGCATGGAATACTCAATACTTTCAAAAATAAATGATTCTATACATTCTTCACATCTTCACATCCCGTCTGTGAGTAGAAAATACTGGTATTTGATTCCATTACTTGAGGGAATTTACTAATCTTGGATTTTTCTTCCAAAAATAAATATTTATAGAGTTTTTTTCCTCAGGTTTAATATAATGATTTAGAAAAAATAGGGAGCTCTTAGAAACCACATAGTTTAATGCAACTATAGTCAATATGTATAATTACATTATAGGCTCTATTAATTAGAAGGGCAAACTTATGTACAGGTTAGGATAATTCTTGTAAAACTTACTTAAGTAAACTTCAGATTTTTGTCAGCTGACATCACAAGAATGCTTTATCAATATTGTGAAATATTTTGTATGTATTGATGGAATTGGTTTTTTCTTTGCAGATAGAGGATGGCCCAAATCCCCCTGAAGAAGATTTGAGTCCAGTTAAAGGAAATATTACCTTTCTCCCTGGCAGAGCAACAGTACTTTATAACTTGACAGTACTTGATGATGAGGTGTGGTAATATTAGATACTTAAATGCAACAAGGATCTTGTTTGTGTTACAGACATGTTAGAGAACTTTATGTCAAGTATTACATTGTGTTCAGTATTTTAGATTACTCAAGAAAATAATCCTATGCAGAGTTAGCTATTGTGATCAATCATACTTTATGTAGAAGTAGCTATTTTGGATACATATTATTATTATTTGCCTTACTTAATTCACATTAAATATTACAATACATCTAAAAACTAATGAGCCTGAATATAGTTGGCAACCACACATAATACAAAACGTAAGCATTTTGTGTACCCTGATGATTGATTTTTGTTAGTGATTTCAATTTTGAGCAAGAACAGTACTAACCCTCCCTCTACCCTCCTATAAAATTTCTGAAATCAAATCAAAAGAAACCCCAAGAGAAGAAAAAAAAATGCATTAGAAGACATTATCAGAAAAGAATATTTCTCTTGAAAAAGTGAAATATTTGGTAGTATTAATAACTCCAGTTTCTCTGGTTCTGGAAGCCTGCAATAATTTTTGTTTTAAGATCACAGAACATTGGAAAAGCTATTATTTGGGGAGGTGATTAATTATACATTTTGATTATAAATTTAAAAGATCATCAATCAAATAATAGCATTTTAGTTTTTAATGTAAATAGCTTTACTTTTTATATTGCTATTGATGGAGGTAAAAAGATATATTTTTTTCACTTTAATTTTAAGACAGAATTTATGGTGAATGAAAAGCTCAGACAGCACAGTGGAGTATAACCCTAGGATTTCCGTGCAGCTACAAAAAAAAAAAATTCACTTTAACAATGTCAAAATTTTTCTAGTAGTGGCTCTATTTTTTTATTTTTTTGAAACACAGCCTCACTCTGTTGCCCACCTAGGCTAGAGTGAAATCAAGTAATCTTTCTGCCTCAGCCTCCCCAGTAGCTAGGACTATAGGCATATACCACCATGCCCATTTTTTGGGAGTTGGATTTCTATGTTACTCAGGCTGGTCTTGAACTCCTCCCACCTTAGCCTTCCAAAGTGCTAAGATTACAGGCCTGAGCCACCATGCCCTACCTAGTAGTTGCTCTTATAGCTTATTCTCTAGAGAAGTATGATGTGTGTCTTAGAAATCATAATGGTGGAGTCATATGTTTAACTCCTGAATTAGAAACATGTTAGAGAGAAACAAGAATAATTCACATGGTTGAAAACTAACAATTTTTATATGATGTTTAATATACTTTCCAGATTTTTAGATATTATTATACCTTGAATGCTACTTCTGACCCTATCAAACTGATAAAAACTGAAACAATTTATGTCTATTTTACCATTTTTTTTACTGTTTAATCTTTGGATGTATCTAAACACCATTTAAGGTTGAAAGACATTTTACCTATACTTCATTACCTTGACATACCATTGCTTTGTTAACTTTTCCTTTCCTATCTAAAACACATTATTTACCTTTGGAAAATATTTTAGTAATTGGAGACTAAACAAGCTTCTCTATTTGCTTTCTTAGGTAAAGAATGCTTATTTCTATGCAATTGTATTGAAACATAGTGACTTGTTACACTTCAGTGTCATTTGCAGGTGTTTTGGGTATTGATGTTTTGCCACTGTTTCAACAGGTACCAGAAAATGATGAAATATTTTTGATTCAACTGAAAAGTGTAGAAGGGGGAGCTGAGATCAACACCTCTAGAAATTCAGTTGAGATCATCATTAAGAAAAACGATGGTCCTGTGAGATTCATGCAGAGTGTTTATTTGGTCCCTGAGGAAGACCACATACTCATAATTCCAGTGGTTCGTGGAAAGGACAACAATGGAAATCTGATTGGATCTGATGAATACGAAGTTTCAATCAGTTATACTGTTGTGACTGGGAATTCCACAGCACATGCCCAACAAAATTTGGACTTCATTGATCTTCAGCCAAACACAACTATTGTTTTTTCACCTTTTATTCATGAATCTTACCTGAAATTTCAAATAGTTGATGACACCATACCAGAAATTGCTGAATCATTTCACATCATGTTATTAAAAGATACCTTACAGGGAGATGCTGTGCTAATAAGCCCTTCTACTGTACAAGTCACCATTAAACCAAATGACAAACCCTATGGAGTCCTCTCATTCAATAGTATCTTGTTTGAAAGGACAGTTATAATTGACGAAGACACAGTATCAAGGTATGATTTATTTTAAAGCTGTTGCTACCATTATTTTAATATATTATTCCAAGATTTAATTTTTGTGGTGATGGGCACAATGATGACCTGTTACAGTATGTGTGATTTTCTCTTCCATGGCTTTACTTTTTCTTTTAATAATGTATTTTGTTTAGGCCAATATTTTTAAAACATGATTATTTTGGCATACAAAATCAACATAAAATATAACCATATAAAATCAAATCATAAAATCAATATAAAATATTAATGAAATCTTACATTCTTTTTTCGTACTTAAGTCTTCAAAATCTAGCATGTTTTTTCATTTATAACGTCTCAGTTCAGATGGTAAATTTTCATCAGAAATACTTGATCTGTATTTAGATTCCATACATTTCCATAAAATTTGAAAAAATAGATTCACAAATCCAAGTTCTTCCACACACAAAAGTTTTCCAGTAACTGAATGGAGTATCAGTATTCAAATTAATTAAAATTAAATGAAATTAAAAGTTCAATTCCTCAGTCACACTAGGTACATTTCAAGTGCTCAATAGCCACATATGGCTATTGGCTGCCGTGTTAGAGCAGATCTAAATTTTTAGTCCTCTGCTTTTCTTATCTATCCTATTCCTTTTATTTTTTTACTTCTTTATTTATTTCAGAATATTATGGGGTACAAATGTTTAGTTTACATATATTGCCTTTGCCCCACCTGAGTCAGAGCTACAAGCATGTTCATCCCCCAGATGGTCGTACCACACCCGTTAGGTGTGAGAATGCCCATCCCTCCCTCTCCCCTCCTGCCTGCCCAACACCTGATTTACTTTTTTCTTATTTTGAATGTGATTTAATCACACAAGTGAATTCACATTATGGTGGTTTCATAGGACACATTCACATGTATACTCCTTCATATTAAAAACAATTATTTATTGCAATAGGGTTCTGCTTTTACTAGTGTCTGATGGCCAACGTGACATTGGGAAAGCCTATCTAGGGAAAATAGAGTGTATTATGTAATGATATTTTAAAAATTCTAGATTTGAAGAAATTACAGTGGTTAGAAATGGCGGCACCCATGGGAATGTCTCTGTGAACTGGGTGTTGACACGGAACAGCAGTGATCCCTCGCCGGTGACAGCAGACATCAGACCAAGTTCTGGAGTTCTGTATTTTGCGCAAGGGCAGATGTTGGCACCAATTCCTCTCACTGTCATTAATGATGATATTCCAGAGGAGGCAGAAGCTTATCTACTTCAGCTTCTGCCTCATACGATACGAGGAGGTGCAGAAGTGAGCGAACCAGCAGAGGTAAATCTCTTGTCATGCATTACTCCTGTGAATATTTCTTTATTATTTTATTTTATTTTTTTAGAGATGAGGGTCTCATTATGTTTCCCAGGCTGGTCTCAAACTCCTGGCCACAAGAGATCCTTCCAACTCAGGCTTCTGAGTAGCTGGGATTGCAGGCGCCAGCCTTCATGCCTGGCTTTTTTGTGTGTGAATATTTCTATGCTATAGAAGAGCCAAACACCTTGATCATACAATTCAAATTTATGTTTAGTTGATGTGACAGGAAATGATGGTTTTCTTGCTTAATGTTGTTCCTTCTGCAAATAAATATGTTACTGTCTAAAAAATTCCCAAAACTATGATTTAAGAAAAATTTCAAGTCTGATTTTGGTTCATCATTTACTGTATTATAGACAAGCAATCATCATTTTTCGACATGATATATAAATAAATATTAAAATCAGAACAGTGTGGACAATATAGAGTTTGATAATCTCAGGTGTGAGAATTCTGTACTTCAGTATTTTATTCTTTATCTGCAGCTTTTGTTCTACATTCAGGATAGTGATGATGTTTATGGCCTAATAACATTTTTTCCTATGGAAAACCAGAAGATTGAAAGCAGCCCAGGTGAACGATATTTATCCTTGAGTTTTGCAAGACTAGGAGGAACTAAAGGAGATGTGAGGATGCTTTATTCCGCACTTTATATTCCCACTGGAGCTCTGGACCCCTTGCGAGCAAAAGATGGCATCTTAAATATATCCAGGAGAAATCGCCTCCTTTTGCCAGAACAAAAAACTCAAGTCACTACAAAATTACCAATAAGAAATGATGCATTCCTTCAAAATGGAGCCCACTTTCTTGTACAGGTACTTTAATGATTAAAATAATAGCAATTTCGGTTAAACTGCAAGTGAACATACTTATGTGAGAGAGGGAACTGTTATTTTGCCCTCAATTATATTTTGTATTCTACTATTTGTTACTAAGTTATTTTGGGAGTCCAGAGAGAAACTATGCCTGCTCCCAAGCTATATAGTGATAAATAAGACAAGGGTTCTACCAAAGTTAGTATTTTAATTAGATGACACTTAAAGTACACCAGATATGAAATGCAAGTTAGACTGTAATGGATGGCATAATGGAATAATTTACAAACTGTTATAAAGGAAGGTGGGAAAGAGAGAGATTCAAAATTGTTTTGAGTTTATTTGGTAAAATGTGGCATAGGAATGGGATTTGTAGCAAGTAAGTATATTTTTCACAATGGGTATTATAGAGAGAACACTTCAGAGATAAAAAAAAGCAGCATGAAAAAATTTATAGATGCTTTTTAATAATAGTCTCAAAATTGCTTTATTTGCCTGTTAACTATAGGTAGAATTTCAGGATTTTCAGCTATTTAATGAGAAGTAAGGGCCCCATAGCATATCTTTCCATCTTATATCTTTTATTTCTTAACTTCTATTAACCAAAACAGTATTTTTATTGTCAAAGTTTAAAATATCTGCACTCATTAATGATGCTATTATTATTTTCCATGTGTTGATTGGTTGCTTCTGAAAATTAGAAAGCAATAAAGGGTACTTATCAAATTTTAATTATATAAATAAATTTAATACAGAATGAGGTAGTATGAATGGATCAGTAAAGAAAAAGTTAAAATCTTATGTCACCATACATTTTGCCAGTTCAGGTATATGTCATGTGAAATATCATACTCCATTAATTTCTATAAATCATGCCACATTTAAATTTGCTTCATATTTTTGCCTAGACTTTGTTTTATGATTTATTATTGCTTTATCTGCAGTTTTTATTAATAATTGTCACCTTTCTGTATGTCACCTTCACTTCATTATTGAGCTCTTCCGGCTCTTACCACATGTGTTGAATGTTGAGTTTAGTTGTACTAACTGCTTTCTATGCTTGTTTTACACCTGTTGTTTGGGGTGATTTTTACTTAACTCCTGGGTTTCCTTGACCTCTTGACTTTCTCCTCTTGAGTTCTGTTTTAGTTTTGTTGTTGTGTATCTGTCCTTAAATGCATCTGCAGATAGGGTATAGGCAAGGTAAACTTTTTGAGGCTTTAAGCAACTGAAAATGTGAAATTTCATATTTACATTGATAGTTTGACTTGGTAGAAATTTCTAGATAAAAAGAATTTCTTCTTCAGAACTTGGAAAGTATTGCCTTTGAGCTTCTAGAGTTGTTGTTGGGAAATTTGATGGGAAGGAAATGATTTACCTTTTAGGTAACTCTTTATCTCTGCTCTTTATCTCTGAAAACTTTTTACAACTGCTCCTTGGTGTTCTGAATTTCACAGAACTGTCACACCTTGCTCAGCACTTGGTGGGGTGACCTGCTTCATTTTATCTTTACATTTTATTCATTTTGTAAAGTAAATGCATTATACTAAAGAATCACGTTTTATTTGACTTGGCTTAGTCTGTATACCGATACTTGACAAAACTGATCAGTCTAATTTCTTTTTTCTTTTACTCAAATGAATGTTTACCAGAAATGGAATTTTAAATGTCTTTCTCCTGTATATGAATTTCAAAGCAAAATGTGTGACATTTAAAAAAGGCATTTAATTTTGCCCTTTAAAATATATACTTTCATCACAAAGTATGAGGGAGATCAGTACCATTCTTGTCCACTTGTGAAAAATCAGCTTAAATCACAAGTCTATTGGTGGTTGCTTAGTGGCATCATTTCAACATTACAAAGCCTAACAGAAGGTTCTGAAGAGTGGGAGATACGTGTTTCATTGAGTTTGAAATTGCATTTTAACTTAAAATTGCTATGTATTTTGCAATACTGTTATGGTTATCTATAGTCCTCAAGTGAACATTGTGTGGAATTATAAGATACATTTTTTTAGAATATTTTAAGATGTTGAAGGTTTGAGATATGCCAGAATTCCTATTAGAGCTCAGCTTGTGTTGGTGGGATGAATTAGCAAGTATTAATTGTGTAGCTGCTGCAGTTTCAAGTGTGGCATGTACTGGAAAAATGCTGATTTGAACACAGACCCACGAGAACTGTATGAGCCTGTTGTGAACTAAAAGTCTGGAACACACAAAATGATGATAAACAAGCAATATGTAAAATTTACAATTAAGTTCTAAGGTTAATGAGAGTAGCAGTAGAAGTCCAAAAAGAGGTAGAATAAAGAGGACTGGAGAATTCAAGAAAAATCTTCATGAGAGAGGAGGGGACTTTAGCTGGTTTTAAAAGTGAGTACATTTTGGACTTGTGAGATTATGAAGGAAGGGCATTTTAGGTGACAAGAATATCATGAAAAGTTACTCTAGTGGTCATATTCATTAATTACAGGGACACTATATGTAATACATATGTTGCATTTCTTTAAGCATAAAGATGCATTAAGTTATAAATGGAGTTCTGAGTGGTCTTTAGATGTATTTTCTCTGGAAGAGAAGCGAAGTGGATGATTGGAAGTCTGGGTCAGCAGAGAAGGGAAAGGAGATGTGGACAGCTCTCTGATGTTTGGCTTTACGGTCAAGGTAGTTGGATGTAAGCGACAAGGAGGAAGAGCAGGTGGTGATGCTGGTGATGGTAGTGGTGAGTAGTCACATGGAACAGAGACAATGATTTCTGTTTTGGACATTCTATCTGTAAGGCATTTGTGTGACATTTATGTGATGTCCAGTGGCAGTTGGTTTAATGATTTGGAATTTGGGGGAGAGATCCAGAGATTATTAAGGAGAGGGCATAAAATTATAAGACGAAGGGTTTAGGAAGACCTCTGGGGAATAATAATAATTGAGGAGCAGGAGATTGAAAAGGGATGGTGAATGAGGGAGGCAGAGAATGAAGTGGCTGAGTTATTGGTGACTGTTATGCATTTTTACTTTGTCACCCCATGCTGTGTAGGCTTTAAAAATTTTTTGTATTCTATCAATTTGTATTCTTTTTTGTTTATTTGTTTATTATAGTTGGAATCGGTGAAGTTGGTGAACATAATTCCCCTAATCCCACCCATAAGTCCTAGATTTGGGGAAATCCTAAATATTTCATTACTGGTTACTCCAGCCATTGCAAATGGGGAAATTGGCTTTCTTAGCAATCTTCCAATCATTTTGCATGAACCAGAAGATTCTGCTGCTGAAGTGGTAAGTAGACTTTTTCTTTTTTTTGTAGACTTTTTCTTATTGATGGGACCTAAAGAGTTTGAGGTAAGACACAGACACTATTTTTTTTAAACAGGATTAGCATATAGAGTTAACAGGTCTTAAAAGATGTCACCATTTACATGAAGCCTTCAATATGTAATTTGACTTAAGTAACTGATGAGTATGTGATTTTCCCATCATCTTTTGCTATTGTGGATAGAATAATTAGAATTGCTCATAGTAGAAGTAGGATGTCTTGGGATGACCGCTTTCAGATGGTGCTAAGACATTTGACACAGTGATAGCCAAACGTAATCTTTTCTTTTTTCATTAGCCAAGTCATGGTACCTCAGGTGTCCTTGACCTGTTCCATCTCTGAGCACTGCATGAGCTTGAGTAGGACTGAAGTGGCTCCCTTGGGTCCTATGCTTGATGGTGGAAATGATGGTGATAAAGTTATAACATGCTAAGTAAATCTTAGGAATTTTAAAATGTTATATATATGGTATATATACATTTTTGCATAAACACACACATAAAAGCATATTCATGTACACAGTATCCCTTTTGCTCCCCATCCCCCCACTCGCACATTCTGTGCTGTAATTTTTCCCAAGTCTCTGTCTATCCAGGGATAGCTCTGTCCTTCAGGCTTACCATTCCCTGAGCCACAGTCTGTCCTTGAGACTGTCTTCAAGTCCTTCACATTTTGATTTAAATTGGGTTGGGGTTTAGATCAGGAGTGAGGAGAATTGTTTTTATTAACAAAGCCTCATGTCAAAATATGGTCACCATCATTTCCTTTCTTTGTATTTTAGCTTCTGTAAGTGGGCAGAGAAGCTTCATTTTTCAAGATGGTTTTGATTTTTCATATTTTTCTTAATACACTGTTTCCTTCTAAAAACTGAGAAGCATTTAGTTTGTTCTTAAAGAGTGGATTGCTTTTATTTGTTTTCTTATAAAGCTGTAAATTTACCATTTTGTATTTTTCCCTTGAGAGAAATGAGCTTTTAGGAAAAGTTTTGGACTCCTGACCTGTATACTTCCCCTCTTGGGAAAAGTAGGAGTTTCCCTTTGTTCTCTTTGAGACATATACAGCCCTGGCAATTCTCACTCCCTCAGGGTGATTTAGGGGCCCCGCTCTCTGTTACTTTTTTGGTCTTCTCTGAGAATCTTATTTTGCTCACTAGTCTTGGGTTCTGACCACTGCTAGCCAAAGTAACGGCATGGTTTATGGCGAAAATATCTTATGTTTCTTTCAAGATGAGCTATGTTAAAGGACAAAGAAAAAAGAGGATACTCCTCTTTTAGGAGCATACAAGAAGAGCTTAATCCACCATTAATTATTCCTTTATATTCTTTTTTTGAAAAAACTTCATCATGATATGTAATGATCTTATTATTAAGTATATTTAAAGTGTGCTGCACTTGAACAAAACTAACAAATACAATTTGTTTTAGAATTATTATAACAGATCCCATTTATTTAGCGTATAAAATGGAGAGGCATAGTTCTAGATGCTTTACTTAAAACTATCTCTAATCCTCAGCGTACACTTGCAAAATAGGGAATCATTATCTTTATTTCACACGAGAAAAGTTGAGATCAGAGAGGTTAAGTAACTTGCCCAATAAACATAACCCAGATTCATGATATGCGTGTCTGATTTTATTTCTACTGCATTTATTGTGGTTTTTTATTTTTATTTTGCCCCCATCACTTAGGATACATTTTACAGAACATAGTTTATTTTTCAGTTTGCATTGTGATATTAAATTGATTCTGTTTTTAGATAACCACTGATGGAAATTTATTCTTTAGAAAGATTGTTCTATGTTTTTCACAATTCTTTGGTTTTAAAAATATTCATCTTTTATTAAGGCAAATGTCAGGTTAGACACATTGTTAGGTGGGGGTAATTTTGTACATTTCTTGTAATTTTGTAAAGTTGATTAGCAAAAACTAATAAAATAGTTATGTCTAAAATTATTTTCATGCTTAAAGAGAATGCTTGTTCAGTTGTGTTTTTATATTGTTTAATAGTTCACTTCCCTATATAGAATACATATATTCACATACTAATATGTACACACGTTAACAGCAGTACTTATATCATTTGTGAGCATATATTTTAGAAGAAATTGTTCTGTTTTTTCTTTTTATAAGGTTTACATTCCCTTACATCGGGATGGAACTGATGGCCAGGCTACTGTCTATTGGAGTTTGAAGCCCTCTGGCTTTAATTCAGAAGCAGTGACCCTGGATGATATAGGTCCCTTTAATGGCTCTGTTTTGTTTTTATCTGGGCAAAGTGACACAACAATCAACATTACTGTCAAAGGTGATGACATACCAGAAATGAATGAAACTGTAACACTTTCTCTAGACAGGTAATAAACCAATTAGGTAATGTTTAGTAACATTTATATTTGAGTTCTCTTAAACAATTTTGATTTTTGTTTTAATTCTTTAGTTTATATAAAATAAAAAGAAATCAAATAAGTAGTGTTATGCTGGCCTTCTATCTTTTTTGTTATTTGTTGATGGCTTCTGGTTAGACCATTAATATAATTATATCTTTCAGTGAACTTTTACCCTGCTGTTCATTGTGAAGAAGTATTACATAGAAAATTCATGGGAGGTATCAAATAAATCTGAAGCATAGCCAATATGTTGCTATATTAAAAAAATAGGCAACAACAAATCTAAAATGTTAGCTTAAGAAAACAGCTCTGCTGGCTTCATTTTCAATAGGGCAGAGGATTAGAGCTTTTTTTTAAGTGAGTAAAAAGAAATCATTAATCTTCATATAATGAAATTTTCTTTTTGACCTGTAATTTAAACATTAAATAATACTTATTTTCCAAAGAATCATAAATTACACACATTTAAGAGGTACATTTCAGTAATGATAAGAATTTACTTAGCATGTCTCAGTGGGTAATTTATATTAACAAAATGTCACAATGTCCCAGAAAATCCTTTCTAAAAATAAAAATATACTGTGTTTACCTGATATTAATGATAGTTAACACATTGACTGCCCCACTAGAAAAAATTTTTTTTGCCTGGGGCCATGGCGTTTTATTACAAAAACAGAATAAAAACCTCAAAAACAAAACAGTCCTTTCTAATTTAATGAAAAATATGTTATTTTTTATTGTTTTCCGTGCATGAGTTATATTCAACTCATGCAGCGCTAGAATCAGTTTTTACACGGCATACCAATTGAGTTGTATGTGACTCACGACATACTTACTGAATTTGGTTTGGAGAATTGAGTCTTCATATGCTTCACAAGGCCCCAGGCTCAAAACTAGCGTGAGTTAAATACAACTCACATGGCAGTGAATGTGTTAAAAATTAAAACCAACCTTATCTACTATAGGTTTCTATATGAAAGTTGATACATATTAGAGAAGGTTACTGTGACTTGAAGGCTTAAAGGCTTTTTGTATAATTCATATTTAGAAATAGTAAATTTCATAGATAAATTCAAGAGACATTTTTGTATTATATTATTCAGGACTGAATTAGTAAAAATTATTTTCTATAATCCCTGGACCTCTCTATAGTTTATTATCAGCCTCTTGTAAGTTTTTTCTTTGTAGGTGTTTGTCTAAACCATTTTTAAAACCTGACGAGTTGGTTGTGTTTTTATTTTTACATGAAAGAAAAATATAGAATATAGAAACAAATCTATTGAATGTCCACTGTTCCTTTTGCTTGCTTTCAGAACCACATTTTGTTTATTTCCTTTCTTACATAAAAGGTGAAATGAAATAATAACAAAATACCAAGGGAACATATAATAAAAACAAAAGCAAAAGCCAATACAATACCCCCCCCAGTCTAGATAACTTATGTTTAATTATATTTATATTTGCTTAAGAAGGTATTTCATATGATGGAAAATCAAAATATAATAAAATGTAAATTGCAAATTATCATTTTTTTCACTATGTCCTTTTTTTTCTTTAACTTAGGTTTGAGTACCTATTAAATCACTGGGCAATCTTGAAAAAGACTAAAAAAAATGAACAGTGATTAAAACCTAACGCAGCAATCCATAGAAACTTTGTTAGCTCTGCTGAGACTTTCTGCACTCAACATAAATATTTAAAGAATGATTTAAATTGTATCTCTGAAATCGTAGTGACTATTCTTTATGTTCTTTCAAAAGTAATTTTATTCTATCATGTAACATTTAAAATTAAGATAAATTTTGAGTTTTTCCCCCCTTCCTACGGCTAAAGAAAGTACACAGAAGTACAAATCATAAGGTAGAAATTTGAGAAATATTGGCTTTTCAAATAGAGAAAAGTGTCAATTATATTAAATGTTTTAATTCTATAGTAACTAGTTCATACTTTGTATTTATCTCCATTGTTTTCGATGAACAATAATATACAATGACATTTGAGTTGTTCAAAGACATATTTAATTGAAAACATGAAATAATGAATATAAACTTGAAATATATAGTTTGAATGTGTTTTTTATCAAAACCTCTCTCTCAATTTTGAAATTTTTGACAACTTAATGAAAGAATGATGATGCTATAGTGGTTACAAGTCACACCGCATACTAACAAAAATAATACTTTATTGTATACATTTATATTTCCTTAATGTCAATCAATCAATTTCCTTTTTCAATAAATATAAAGTTATCCTGGTACTAAACATTTATGATGCTTTCAAATACTGTAATAGTTAATATTCTATTGTTTCTTTTTCTCATCAAAATAATTATTATGCCAGTTGCTTTAGAAAAATTTGTTATGTGTTTATATTAACCAATATTTATAAGTGGTGTGTTTTTGACTTTAAAATGAAGCTTAAGGTCTGTACATTTTGACATGTGCTTGTCGAGACTGAAATGAAAGCATGGGGATTTAGAAAGTGTTTAGGTTCCAATATAAAGTGGTGTTAAGTAATATTTGGCATAATTAAAGATGTAATGATGGGGTTCTTTGAGTATATTCTTTGCAAATGAGAGAGGTGTAGGTTCTCTGCTTATAGAGTTTTGTTTTTTTCTAACTCAAAGAACAACTGGCTTTAGATCTGAGATGGAAGTCTTATTTTTTTAAAAAATCTAATTAAAGCTACTAAGTAATTATAAGTAGGGTTGAATGAAATTTGCTCAGCTGCTGCAGTTTGTGAGCATGTCGGTGTTGGCAGGCATAAGTGCCTTGGAGGAGGCCGGGAAGGAATGTCTTGAATGGTCCTTGACATTGGACTGACCATGGGTCATCTTCCATAAGTGGGAAGCCGAACCTCTTGCTAGCATTTGTCATAGCAAAGAGCCCAGGGTGCAGAGTTTCCGTAGAGTGACATTACTAGTTCTTGGGGAAAAAGAAAGGCTTCTTTAGCTTTATTCCCCGCCCCCCGCCGCCCATTTCCAGGTTTTTAGCACGTATTAGTGAGATTTTGGCAAATGGTGCTCTGCCTCTTTATCCCTCCTCCCACACTTCTTTCTATGTTGACAGGGTAGAAACCGAAAGGTTTGTCGTGTACTTTGGGTAAGTATATAAAATAATGCCTTGTTTTTAGTGATTCAACATTTGGTTTTGCAAGTGATTGTTTTTGGACAAGGCTGCAGTTCTGCATGATCACAGGTCTTGAAAAATTTTGCTTGTTCACCTGGTCGTGCATGCTTCGTGTGCAGTTTCATTTTCTAATGATAAGGGAAGCTTATATGAAGTTGTTTGTTTATTTTTGGTCCTAAGAGTTTTAATTTGTGAATGCATTTCAAATATTTGTTGAAAAGTTTGAGAATTAATATAATCATGTTTTGAAGAACTTAAACTTTTTATCTTTCCTTATAGCTTACACATAACCTAGAGAACAATTATTGTGCTATGCTTATGAAATTCTTATCCAACATCTATTTATAAATCTTGCAGCTTGTTTAACAGAGTTAGCAATCAATAATCTTAACTCTTCCATTGGTTTTCTGAGTGCATCTAGGCAATTTCTTGCTTATATCTCAGTGTTGTATACAGAACTTTTCAGAATTTGCATTGTACATAAGGCTAGCACATTTCAAGAACGTTTAAAAATAAATTGATTTGTCTAATGCTCAAAATGGATTTTTATAGTTTGCATTCTGATCTAGTTTGCTTGTCTCCTGGTTTATGTGGACACAGGAAATTTTAATTAATAAAGATATTGATATAAGTGATGGGCAAATTTGCTATGAAAATCATATGACTATATTAAGAATATAATAAATAACCCTTCTATTATTTGGACTTCCTCTTCTGTGGCTACTAGCATGCTAGGTATTGATTGTCAGATTTCTAAAAGCTGGTGAAGGATGTTAATTCAAATTCTCTATTACATAGGAAGTAATCTGTCTTTCTACATATTTCTACATTTTAATTGTGGTTTCATTGTGATATTGAGCTCTGATTGTATTTTTTTGTTTAATAGGAAGTGGCATTTGGAAAAGTTTAGAGCAGCTCACAGGATTGAGAATTCTTAAGAGCCTGCTGGCTTTTAAACAAACCCCCAGAACCTTGCAGTTCAAGTCCCTTTGATCATTTTAATTATACATTGACTACTAAAACCAGAAATAAAAAAATTTTGTTTTAGTATGTTCTTTTTAAGGTATATAGGAATTGTTATAACATTTCATGCATCTTAGATCCATTTTTTCCCTTTTTTCTTCTATGTCCTACATTTTCTTTTATACTAAAAGAAAAAGACTGCATGAGGTTAAAATTAAGGTGAATAGAAAGTATTTGAAGCCATAAATTATCCCTAAAATATAATCATAATTGTGTTTCTTTTTTTATCAGTGTAGCTTGCTTTAGTCCATGTCGTTGTACAACTTTTATGTATCCTTATTCAGTTAGTATAATCTTATGTAATGAATTTTTTAGCATGAATTTAAGTGTATTTTTAAATTAAAACACAATTTTGTTCTAGATATTTTCTAACTACATGTTACAAGCTAAATGTTTCTAAAATTAGAATCAAATCTGTACATTTTGATACTTTATATAAGTAAAATATATTTACAACCACTGGGTGCTGTATTCTTGGTATATATATGCACTGTTTGGTTTTAGGCAAATAAAAATGATATAATAAATTCAGAAATAGAAGTTCTCCATAACTGTTATGAGTGAAAAACTGTTTTGATCTTAAATTATTTGAATACATACAAATTCACTTTAAGGTCTAATAACCTTCCTTTTCATTATCTGGAAGGGCTGTAAATATTGCCTTAGAAGCCTGCAAAATTCAAAAGTAAGACTACAAGTAGCGGGTACCTTTTTTCCTTTGACTTCTCCAGGGTTAATGTGGAAAATCAAGTGCTGAAATCTGGATATACTAGCCGTGACCTAATTATTTTAGAAAATGATGATCCTGGGGGAGTTTTTGAATTTTCTCCTGCTTCCAGAGGACCCTATGTTATAAAAGTAAGTATCAAAGAAACTTCAATTTATTCGGTGCTCACAACTTCAGAAGAATGATCTTGAAGGATCTGAACATTTGTGAATTTTTTTCTACAGGAAGGAGAATCGGTAGAGCTCCACATCATCAGATCAAGGGGGGCTCTTGTTAAGCAGTTTCTACACTACCGAGTAGAGCCAAGAGATAGCAATGAATTCTATGGAAACACCGGGGTACTTGAATTTAAACCTGGAGAAAGGGAGATAGTGGTCACCTTGCTAGCAAGATTGGATGGGATACCGGAGGTATGAGATTTTTTTTTCCTTGTGATTTTTTTAGAAGGTTGATAGTATCTGGTATACTATGGGTATAAATATTTTGAACATTGGCAAGGAGACATAGAAAAGAAGTGGGCAAGAAAGGATCGATAAGTATATCGGTTTGGAAATTTTTTTAAAAAAAGCTTAAAAAATACTCATCTAAATTAGAAAGGTGTATTTTTGTCTTATGTAAGGCAATACCAATTTGAGACTTTCAGTGTGTGATCAATTTTCTTCTCCTTTTAGCTTTATTTATGTTAAGCCTAATATTATGTAATCTGTGTTGACTGAACTTTTAATGATGTGGTTTTGGACTGAAGTTTTGCTTAAAAATTATTTTTTTAAAGGAAATAAATTGAAGTTCTATATTAATGGAGCCAGGTATAGTTCCATTGTGTTTACTCACCAATACATATGTTGCTTTTAAATTAATTATATTTTATTTACTCTTGTAAGTTTATATGACCAGAAAGATCATCGACGCAATGATAATATCCAGTTTTCTTGCCATTTTAGAGGACTGTCATTGTTTATCGTTTCCTTGTTGGCTAATGCATATGTATATTTCAGATCTCTCTTACTTGTTAGGTGAACTTTAAAATATTATTTTAGGAATAATATGAGCTCTTTTGTACTTTCAGTGAGCTTTGTATTTCAGAAAAATTGAGTATATTAATAGTCTTGAATATTTATAGTTTTTATTTGCTGTGAAAATGTCACCTTTACATTTTTCCTAATTTTACATGTTCGTTTTAGTTGGATGAACACTATTGGGTGGTCCTCAGCAGCCATGGTGAACGGGAAAGCAAGTTGGGAAGTGTTACAGTTGTCAACATAACAATTCTAAAAAATGATGATCCTCATGGGATTATAGAATTTGTTTCTGATGATCTAATTCTGATGATAAATGAAAGCAAAGGAGATGATATCTACAGTGGTAATTTATTCTGTTTCTTATATTGTATTTCTGCTTATTGAAGAAGAAATATTATCATTTTTTAGTTTATTTCTTTAGTTACTAGTTATTTTCAGTTGCCCATTATGCCTTAGAAAAAACATGTAGTGCAGAGATTTGTCTTTTTAAAACTCATATTTAGTATCACTATTTTTATTTCTTACATAGTATTGTGATGATACTGGTGACTTCATTTCTATTTTGATTTCAATTAATCATATGCAGTGCAACTCAAACACTTAAGAATGAATTAAGTCAAATAGGGACAATTCTAAAACTAAGAATTACTGCTAGGGAACTATTGCAGTGGAAGGAGATAAGAAATATTTTATTATTAGAGCAGTGCCTGTCTGGATCAGAAAATCACTCGAGTATTCATCTTCCTTTAACTGCCTTTTGCAGATATCCTTATAGGTTTTTATGATAGGTGTATCTAATTAGTTGTCGTTCCGTTTCCTATGCAGAATGACTTTTAAAATCCCAAACTGTGATTAAATCCATTTATTTTATTAATTGTTTACCTTCAGAGGGAGGAACAGACTGATATATTTTGCTATGTACCTTGGAGGCTGTGCTAAGCAAATAATTGTTCTTATTAAAAACCAGTGTTATTTTTATTTTGTTTATTTGAGCAATTTCTTTACTCATTGCTTTAAAGTTGTTTGGGATATATTCATATGTATTATACACATTTGTATTTCACAGCTGTTTATGGTGTAATAAGAAATCGAGGCAACTTTGGTGATATTAGTGTATCATGGGTGGTTAGTCCAGACTTTACACAAGATGTATTTCCTGTGCAAGGGACTATTTTCTTTGGAGATCAGGAATTTTCAAAAAATATCACCATTTACTCCCTTCCAGATGAGGTAAATGTTGCATATATAACTCTCTGCTTTACTTGTTGTAGTTGATCGATAATTTTTTTAATCAAATAATTAAACATTGGTAATGTATTTGGTGATGCAAGTATGTGATAAAGAACTCAAGTATGATAATGTCTGACTATAATCCAGGAGAGCAATATTATTTTGGGGTTCCCCTGAAGGCGTGTTGAACTAGAACTGACAGTGGTCAGTGACTCTGTTCATGTGTCAGATATCAGGGATTCTCAGTTGTGGGAGAGGTGAGCCCTTGGCTTGTACTTAGGCCCTTTGAAGGCAGGGCTTTCTACCGTGTATTCTATGGTGTACTTTTAGAATCAGGATACTCGATCATCTGGGTCATGGATCCAACATGGTGTTTCTTCTTACTGATAGTAAAGACAAAGAACTGAGTAACAATGGGGATTGAACCTTTCTGAGGGGAGCTGCACTTAGAACAGCTGAGGAGGACTGTCCTTTTGCCATCACACTCATCCCTTCATAGACAAAATTCCAACAGCTTTTTATTTGAGGGGGAGGAGAGCATCGGTTAACATGGATGATGTGAAAGAGAAACAGTGTCCACCTGGGGATTTATGTATCTTCAGAGATACGGGGAATCTCATCTTGTTAGGACACAGAGTGAGGTCTTTGTGACCCACTCAGGTGAAACTTCACTACGGTTTGCAAGAGGCCTTTGAGAGCTAGCAGAGCTTTAGTTATTATTTATGAACTCTGTTCTAAACATGTCTAAAAATTATTTTTGTGTTCCATTTTTAAATAAACTTATTTCCCATTTTCTTGCAGAAATAATATGAGCTATGTGGTATATCTATTTTTAGCTTATAAAGGCAACATATCCCTAATTCCATTAAATTTTATAGTTAGTCAAAATGTAGTGGCTCTTTGGATGAATGCACATTAGAATAATTTTGGGGGCATCTGAGTCTCACCTGAATACTTTAGGGAAGTTCTGCCTCATAAATAGAAGTGAATATTAGTATTATTAATAGGGCTTTTTAAAAAAAGAAACAATAATTTAGGACTACATAATATAATTACATGTGTAAATTATCTGACTCAAATGTGTTACATTTTCCAAAAGATTCCAGAGGAAATGGAAGAATTTACCATTATCTTACTTAATGCCACTGGAGGAGCTAAAGTGGGAAACAAGACAACTGCAATTCTGAGGATTAGAAGAAACGATGACCCCATTTATTTTGCAGGTGGTATTGCTATCTTATTTTAGTGAGTTTCCATCTTTTTTAAACAATGTGTATATATTTTAATAATATTATCAACTGAACTTTTTCAATAAAGCATGATTGATGCTAATTTTAATATGATTTTACGATTTGTTTGATGACTAATGCTGTCTGTTTAAAGTTTTAACAAATAATTTTAAAGATCTTCTGAAGCAGAAAGAAAATAAAATAAATAGTGTTTTGTTAGCTTTATTTTCCCCTTTCAAATTCTGAGGTATTTTCTTTCTTTTGTGCAGAAAAGAACACTCCTCCACATGATTTCTTCCAATGCACAGTCTATCCAGCTCAGTGAGGGCCTGGTTATTGTATCTCATGGATGGCTAGTTATTATAATAACTAACATCTAATGGAAATATTAATTAAGCTTTTTGCATTTTTGCCACTTTTCTGCATTTTTTAGAGCTGCCTTTTGCCACTTGAGGCATCTTTTAGTTTTATTTATGAGACTTAATAGATTTCTATTGAATCTTGAGTCTTTCTTGAATGCTTTTTGTGAACTTTATATTGGGGTCAATTTATTAATACATATGCAGGAATCTTTTAAACCTCTTGAATTTTATTGATTTGTATTGGTAACCTTCAGTTAATATGTAGTTAATGAATTAATCTTATGCTCAACTTTCTGCTAATTGCTCTGGCAAAAATAAAACATAATATATCTAGTCCTGGTCTAAAGGAACTTATGGCCTCAGCTTGGACCTGACGTGTATGAAATAGTAGACAGAGAATTTCAAATATGTTATTTACTGACAAATTAGGTATGAAAGATCATAGATCCTGTAGGAATTAAGGCAAGGGGAAGGCCATTAATTGTTGAAGTAATTAGGGGGGGCTTCTTTTCAGAGTTGGGAACAAAGCTGATTCTTTAAACAAAGACACAGTAGAGAGTGTTCTTGTGGAGGGCAGGGAGAAACATAATGTGATCTGAAAATATGTGAATAGAATCAGAAAAGCTCACATGTTTCTTCTTTATGGATGTTTCAGAACCTCGTGTAGTGAGGGTTCGAGAGGGTGAGACTGCTAACTTTACAGTTCTCAGAAATGGATCTGTTGATGTTAGCTGCACCGTCCAATATGCTACCTTGGATGGGAAGGCTACCGCAAGAGATGGAGACTTTGTTCCTGTTGAAAAAGGAGAAACACTTGTTTTTGAGGTTGGAAGTAGAGAGAAGAGCATATCTGTATTTGTTAATGAAGATGGTATCCCAGAAACTGATGAGTCCTTTTATATAATCCTCTTTAATTCAACAGGTAAATAAATGATACTGTTATGGCAGATTTGTCATTTCAGTGCTCTATGGAAATGATGTTAAGCACTACTGTCCTAGAGGGGTGAAAAGTAATGCTTAACTGTCTTCTGTGACTATTCAAGAACAAAATGGTTTGTTTCACTGCTCTCTTGAGCAATGCAGTGAAAGGAATATATGTATTGAAATTTCATGTACCTGATATACTCTATGGCATTATTTTTAACCTTTTCTTCACAATGTGGCACAAATAGAAAATTCTGATATAATATAAGGAAGAGAAATCTTAAGCTAAAAATAACAGGCCTTGGGAATATGGTTTCCTTAGGGCCTTGCTTAGTCACCCAATGACTTAAGGGGTCAGCATTCTGTGCATCAGTTCAGCAGTAAATAACTTCTATGCACCAATTACTGAGCGTCTGTTTTTCTAGGGCATAAATTTGAATAAGAATCATTTGTCCAAGTAGCTTATAGTAAAATTGCCTACGTGTGTGTCTGTGCGAGTGTACCAGTGTGGTGTGATCATTGTTATGATGGGTTGACAAAGTGCTAAGTGCTGTGGGAAAATGGTGGAGAGGCACTTGGCTTAATCTGGGGATTCAAGGAAGAATTCCTGCAAGAGTTGATGCCTGAGTTGGATTCTCAGGTGTGATGAGAGTTAGTCAGATAAGTGAAAATGGGAAGGACTTTTGTTCCCATAGGGAACAGCTGGTGAAAAGATGAAGTGATAGGGACCTCAAGGCAGTGATGAAAAGAGACCCAGTGTGTAGGTGGACACGGTGCTGACATGCTGTGGTGAGAATTGAATCAAGTTCAACACCGTGGAGACTGCCTAGTTTTATGTATGAACAGATCGAACTTTGCTGCCTAAAGGCAGAGATCTAAAGGGAAACTATTGAGCCAGTGATTCCAATGAACATGGACAGTAGCATTTTTATGTTATGGAATAATCTTTCACTATTTTTATGAAACAAAAGACTCTACTTCAAAAATTTGATTTTAGAGAAACTGTGTTTTTGATTTCTAATTAAGCTTTTGAAACAATATTCCTATTGTGAAGAAGTGTCTTTTTTTGCTTTTCAATAAAGGAGTTCCTCCCTAACATTTTCTCAAAAGACAAAATAGGAACTATTTCTCATTGAACTCTCTCTCTCTCTTTCTCTGTATGTGTGTGTATATTATATGTACATATAAGTGTGTATATACTTATATAATACAGATATACATAAACATCTTTGGAGAAATGGAGCAGTATTTTACATTTATTATATGACCTTCAGTGAGAAAATTCTTGCTGAAAATTTGGACTTAATTGTAAACTTTCTTAATTAAAAATATAAATTTAATAGTAAGTTAACTACTTTTTGGCTATTTTGACATTGCCATTTTTAATTTAGGTGATACAGTAGTATATGAACATGGAGTGGCTACTGTGATAATCGAAGCTAATGATGATCCAAATGGTATTTTTTCTCTGGAGCCCATAGACAAAGCAGTGGAAGAAGGAAAGACTAATTCATTTTGGTAAGCATATTTCGATAAGACAAATTGAAAATTGAGTGAAATAAAATAAAATCATTGAGAATATAAAAATTTTAAATATTGTTAATTTTTCAAAATTAAAATAACTGGTCAAGAATTGAATAATTTCAAAGTTGGCAGTCTGAATGAATGATAAACTTTGTTTATGCTGTTGCCACTTATCTGTACAAAAAAACCAACCACTTTATCTGGTAAGCAGAAATTATTCTCCCCACTGTCCTCACCCAAACTTTAGTCCTTTGTCAGGACTGAGAAACTTGAATCATCCAAGGTCTTCCGAAACTCTTCTCTCAGATGATACATGATGACTCTCACCCTGTGCTTTGCTTTAAAACAACCTTTTTCCAGTTATCATCTAAATATTTTTTTGATTGAGCTTAGGATTTGTCTTTCAGTTTGGACTTTGAAGACAAGACTTTTAAGAGTGTTTCTCTTTATTAAAGTTCTACCTCATTCTTCCCTTTCCATGAGATTCTTGATAGTTGCTCAGTGCATCTGACTGGCTGGTTTATTTAAATTTAAGTAGAAAAAGTATATTTCTAAAATCACATAGAAAGCTCTCATTAGTGTTAGATTCACTACTTGTAAGTTTTTCTTAAGAATTAATTTTTTAAATTTATTTATAGGATTTTGAGGCACCGAGGACACTTTGGCAACGTTTCTGTGGCTTGGCAGCTGTTTCAGAATGATTCTGCTTTGCAGCCTGGACAAGAGTTCTATGAAACTTCAGGGACTGTTAACTTCATGGATGGAGAAGTAGCAAAACCAATAATTCTCCATGCTTTTCCTGATGCAATTCCTGAATTCAATGAATTTTATATTCTAAAGCTCGTAAACATTTCAGGTGCTGTGTTTTTCCAGTTCTTTGCCGCCAAAATTTTATATTTTATACTTAAATAATTAGAGTTTGCAATTGTTGAAGAAGTAAGTGTATCTTGATTATCTGATTTTAAATGTCAAAATACCCTTTTTGATTAAGTGTTATTTTTAACTTTCACTTTTTTTTTTGTGGTCTTAGCTTGGTTCAGTTTTATGAATGGAGGCTTATATGCATCATCGAACTTATAGATAGAATTTTCCCACACCAAATACATTGTCTCCAACAAAACATCAATGGAAATTAGGAAGTACAGATTCATGGTAGTTCAAAGCTTGGTCTTAAAGTATCATAATTTAAACAATAAATTTTCCCATCACTTTTGATTTTAAACACAGGAATCAAACCTCTCTAGTTTATATTCACTTTTCAAGTTTGACTGATTATTAACAAAATTATTCTGAACCAATGTTTTCTGATATCATGCCCTTAAAAATGTGAGAAAAGCCATATGGTGACACTGTTGTTCATTGATGAGTAAATTATTTAACTAGAAGTTTGTTTGCTAAACAAATTACTTTTTTTTTTTCACATTATACTAGAAATACTTGCAATTCTGGTTTCTAGCTCATTATAAATTTTCTATTACAGGTGGATCTCCAGGTCCTGGGGGCCAACTAACAGACACCAACCTCCAGGTGACAGTAATGATTCCATTCAACGATGATCCATTTGGAGTTTTCATCTTGGATCCAGAGTGTTTAGAGAGAGAAGTGGCAGAAGATGTCCTCTCAGAAGATGATATGTCTTATATTACTAACTTCACCGTTTTGAGGCAACAAGGTGTCTTTGGTGATGTACGAGTAGGCTGGGAAATACTGTCCAGTGAGTTCACTTCTGGTTTGCCACCAGTGATAGATTTTTTACTGGTTGGAATTTTCCCCAGCACCGTGCATTTACAGCCGCACATGCGACGTCACCATAGCGGAACAGATGCTTTGTACTTCACTGGAGTAGAGGGTGCATTTGGGACTGTCAATCCAAAATACCACACCTCCAGGAATAGCACCATTGCCAACTTTACATTCTCAGCTTGGGTAATGCCTAATGCCAATACGAATGGATTTGTTATAGCAAAGGATGATGGTAATGGAAGCATCTACTATGGAGTAAAAATTCAAACAAATGAGTCCCATGTGACACTTTCCCTTCATTACAAAACTCTGGGTTCCAATGCTACATACATTGCCAAGGCAACAGTCATGAAATATTTAGAAGAAAGTGTTTGGCTTCATCTACTGATTATCCTGGATGATGGCATAATTGAATTCTACCTGGATGGAAATGTAATGCCCAGAGGAATCAAGAGTCTGAAAGGAGAAGCCATTACTGATGGTGAGTGCTATCATCACAACTAGGACAACTGAAATTTGAAGTTTCTAAAATTTTGCATTTAAAAAAATACCAACGGATATTTAAAGATTCTCTTTTGTATTGATTGGATTTCTCTAAACAAAACTACATGCCTGCCAAAACCATGATAGATTCTGAGTGATGCAGAAATGAATCAGGCAAAATTTAGCCCTTGAGGAACCTGGAATAGGCTCTTGGAGAGAGATGCACAGTAGATCACTACAATACATTGTAGGAAGAAAGAAAAAAAAATTATGAAGGAGGAACATTTATCCCTCTTGTGGGTAGCAGGAGGGATGGAAAATGATATTGCAGGCAGAGGAATGAGTAAATATGTAGAAATGTGAAACAGAATATTGTATCTGGGGAACTGCTGCTGGTTCAGTATTGCTGGAGGTGGAGGGTGGTGGGCTTAAGGTTGAAAAGAAATCAGGAGAGAAAAATCACATTAAAAATGATTATAGGGTTTATAGCATCAGAACATAAATTGGTGAATTCTGTGGAGTGCTTTGAAGAGATAATCTTTGTTGTCTTTAAGCTAGATCGTATGCTGCTTCCTAAGAAGCACTTTTGTGTGTATATGTGCATACAGATATTGGTTAACACCTTACCGTCACCATTCGCTCCCTGTCCCTCCATCTTGTGATTTAATTCTGTTTTGTGTTTAGCAGAAGACAGAGCAAAACTCATATGGCTGTAGCTTAATAGAATAATTTCCTTCTGAATCTACTGCATTAGATATTTGGTTGTATTTTTTTCCAGCAGAAAAAAAGATGGGCAAAAGAAACAAGGTGCACCAATTTCAATGCCAAGGATTGTGCTTACAGCACTCTGTGGCATTACATCATTCACCTTTTGATGGCATGAATACATACATGTTATCTGTTAACGCTGATTCCTTTGGTGATGGTAATGGTGGTGGAATGAGAATGGAAAAGATTAGGGGAAAGAGAGCTGGTGTTTCTTTTCTCTCTTTGGCTTACTGCAAATAACTTATGTTATTTTTGTAATTTGTAACTTGGAAAGAAACCTTTAAATGTGTATTTTTAAGTTATTGATGAAATAAGGGACCATCTATATTATAAAGCATATAAAAGTATACATATCATAAGTATACAGATAAATGCATTTTTTAAAACTTAAAATTCATCAGTTTTAGCATCCGTGTAACCAGCCCCCATATGAAGAAACAGAGTATTCCAGGAGCCCCCTTTGGCTCTTCTCCAATCACTAACTTACCACTCTACCTACAAACTATTGGCATTTTTAAGAGCATAAGATTAGCTTTTCCTCTTTTAATTTGTGTAAATAGAATTGAGCAGTATGTACACTTCAGTATCTGATTTCTTTTGCTCGGTATTGTTTAGGAAGTTTATTCCTATTTTTGCCTTGTAGATATTTCATGCTCGCTACTATATAGGATTCTATTATGTAACTATAACAATTTATTCACGCTGTTTTTAATTTCTGTTTGGATTGTTTTCAGCTTTTGGCTATTATATATAGTATCATTACATATATTCTTCTACATGTTTTTTGATGAACATGTTTGCTGTATGCATTTCTGCTGAGTACATTCCTCGGGATGGAAATGCTGAATTACAATGTGTGCATATATTCAGTTTTAGTAAATACTGCCTAACACTTTTCTAAAATAATTAAACCTATTTACACTCTCACCTCTGGTGTATGAGATTTCTACTTCACTAATGCTTGGCTTTTTATATCTTTAATTATAATCATTTTGGTAGGTTTATAGTGGTATTTCTTGGTTTCAAAAAAGTACATTTTTAAAGAAATAATTATATGCTCAATATGGAAAAATTTAAAAGTGTACATATAAAACAAAAATAAAAATTACTGAAATGCTATCATTCAGAGATAACCACTGTAAACGTTAGGTGTACTATTAAAATTTTATATACATAACATATATACTTCACTCCTTTTTATTGTCAATGTAATACACATATATTCCATAAAATTTGTAAAGTATAGGATAGTGTTAAGATGCAAAGTGAAAGTTACTGTATTACCTCTATTCTGAAGGAACCATTATAACGTATTGACATCTTTATAACTTTTTTATTCTGTATGATTTGGCATTGTAATTTAAATAGTGGATACTAAAATTGGAGATATAATGATCATGTTTGTTCCAGAGAATTATTCATACAAGCGAAGCACTTAGAATACTCAAATTAGGTAGTGTTTTACATTTATAAGGCATTTTCCAAACATTGCCTAATTTGCACTTCACAATAATTCAGTATATTAAGTATTTTATAAATAAAGAAATAGAGATCAGAATTATCAAATAAATTAGCCAGCATCACCTAGCTTGGAAACCGAGGAGCCAAGACTTAAAAATAAGCCTGTAACTGCTAGGTCAGTATTCCTTTCAGTATGTCATAGCAGAACTAAAGGTGATATGATCATTTCTGTATCTTTGACTCTAGATAGTCTCCTAGCTGGTGAGACCCATGAAGTGTTTTTGTGAGAATCAGGAGAACTTATATCTTTAAAACTGCCAGATAATTCAATAGGAGAGACAACATCATAAGATTTCCCACCCAATCTGGAGCTCCTGTGAAAAAGTGGTTCTGGTTTGCTGGGCAGGAAAGTAATTTCTGTGGTAGGCATGGGAGCAGTCATGACAGTAATGCACCAGATACTTGTGACTTCTCTAGAAGAGCCATCTGGGTAGAGATTTGTAAAATAGCCATTATTGTGACTATTCAGAAGAAATATTATTTGTACTTTTTTTTTCCAGAATCACTGCCAAGATCTCATCTTACATAAACGTCTTATAATGTTGTTTCTGAAAAGAAATACTTCTATTTCTATATCTTTTCTATTAGTTGTTTGGATAAAGAGATCTATTTGGCCTATAGAAACTTTTTTCCTGACTTCTCAAAACTTTAGCTCAAGACAAGTTTTAACACATCAAGCCTTGAAGTTCTTGAAGAATAGTAAAGTTGAAGTATTAAAATTGTGATGAAATTGAACCATTTTAGTTTCAAACATGCACAATAAAATTTTAAATGTAATAGAAGAAATTTTCATCCAAATACACATACTGTGTTTCCCCGAAAATAAGACAGGGTCCTATATTTATTTTTCCTCAAGAAGACACCCTAGGGCTTATTTTTAGGGGATGTGTTATTTTTTTTAAGTACGGTACAACAATCTACATTTATTCAAATATAGTTAAGTCGTCTTCTTCTGGAAGATCATCATAGTAAAATGGCAGCCACAGCTTTCCTTCTTCCCCCTGGGGACACACAATACCTTAAGTGGAGCGTGCTGCTCCTCACTTCACTGAGGAGACTTTCCCTTCAAAGCCTCCGCTTGTAGCATGCACAGGATGGCCGGGACCTGACAGGGGGAGCTGACCTTGTTGGTGGGGCTGCCCTCACCTTTCCGGTCACCCCTGGGATAGTAGCTGTTATGATGGGGTAGATGAAAAGGGCTGCTCATCTTGTTTACTGCTGCTTGACGAAATGCATGGGTTGTGCAGATACGCTGCGTAGCCACGCCCATCACTAGGTCTTATTTTTGGCGTAGGGCTTATAATTGCGCAAATGCTTAGAAATCCTGTGAGGGCTTATTTTATGGGTAGGTCTTATTTTTGGGGAAACATGCTATATGCACATATATACATGCATATGTGTGTTTGTATGTATATAGTTATTTTTCTGTTCAGAAATGTTATTTGAAAGACTAATTGAAGTTACTTTTAAGGATTTTATCCAATACGAATATATTTACCAATTCCTTTACTATGAAATACCATAAATCCTAATGATTATGGACTCATTTTTTATCATCATAGAAGATAACCCTTATTTCATTGTATACTAGTTATGCAAAAGTTTTATTTATCCAAAAATATCTTTCAATAAAGTTGTTTTATTTTCTGAATCACATTTGTACTTTAGGACAGGATAGTTGTGGATATTGCAGCATTTAAACCATCTCTAATTTCAGGTCCTGGAACACTGCGAATCGGGGCAGGAGTAAATGGCAATGACAGATTTACAGGTCTGATGCAGGATGTGAGGTCCTATGAGAGGAGACTGACCACTGAAGAACTTTATGAACTTCATGCCACGCCTGCAAAGAGTGATTTACACCCCATTTCTGGATATCTGGAGTTCAGACAGGGAGAAACTAACAAATCTTTCATTGTTTCTGCAAGAGATGACAATGAAGAGGAAGGAGAAGAATTATTTATTCTAAAACTAGTCTCGGTATATGGAGGAGCCCGTATTTCTGAAGAAAACACTACAGCAAGATTAGTAATACAAAAAAGTGACAATGCCAATGGTTTGTTCGGTTTCACAGGAGCTTGTATACCAGAGGTAAGTAGTGAGCTTGGAGAATTTTGGAGTTAAAAAAATTCATTGCAGGTGGATTTTTTTTTTTTTTTTTGGACTGGGCTTTCTTTCGTTTAGTGAGATTGCCTGAGCATCTACTCCAAGTCCAAAAGTATGCTAGGGCCAGTGGTTGCAAATATAAATTACAAGGTTCCTGCTCTTATGAGTGTACAGTTTGAATCACCTTAATGAAGTGATAGAAGTAATAACAAGTTAACCAATGAAATTCTAGCAATTACATTTAAAGTTCATGCTTTTCAAAGAATATGAAATTATTCTCCACATTTAATTTACTTTTGGCTACTGTTCTTGATACCATGTAAGTAAATTAAAGAATACATATTAAAAGCTTATATGAATAATTGGAATTGCAACTTTATTAAAATACGATGTTTTTGTATTTTTGTCTTGTGTGAGAATGTATTTAAATAGTTTTTATAATGTTCTTCCATGTAAGGTGTAGATGCCTTTCTTATCAGCCATCCTGGCCAGGTTGATTCATTAGGCCGTTTTACTGTGCTTATCAGCTCTTTCCAAGTTTTCAAAGATTCGTAATCATCTTGGTTTCCTGTGCAGTAATGTGAGATCTCTTGAAAGAACTTCACAGGTGTGTGTGACAGCAACAGCTCAGTGTGCATGAAAGGTGCCAAGGAACAAGAGAGTCTTTCCCTTTGCAAGTTGATTCTAATAGGCTTAGAAAGGTGTATGTGTAAATTGAAATGATTAAAAAAAATGAGTGGGTGGAGCTTGGAAAAAAACATCTCAATCATAGGCTTATTGTATCTTAATTGGGATGCCTGGCTCTCTGGAGTGACGTAGTGCTCCTTTAGGTCTTTGGTTTGGTCCCAGTTATAAGAGATCTTCGAGTGGTGGTCTTTTTGTACATCAGAATATCCTAGACTAGGAAGGATAAACGTCACACAAATTTACAGCTTAAAAAAGAAATATCTTTACCTATAATGATAATAAATATGTTTACCTATACCTTTAAATATTAATAGATATTCAGCCATCAAAGAACTTTTACATATTAAATTTTATGAACCTTTGTGATAATCTATAATATAGCTGAAACAGGTATTAATTAGTACTCTCTCTTGAATATATAGGGTTAGAAACTGAGGTTTAGAGGTTGGAGAGAATAACCCAAATTGAATTAATGAGACAAGATCAAAGTGAATGCCTGATTCAGAGCTTGGCAGTGACTAGTGCTTAGTGAATATTAATTTTCCATTTTGTTTTACTGCTAAGATACAATGAGAAGAAGTAGAATTTGAACCCATGTCTTGGGACTTCTAACCTGTTATCCTTTCCTCTATATCTTTAATATCATCATTTCTATTTTTAAAAAGACAGTTGACTTTTATTAAGTTGTGAGAACCATTGTGCTGCCACGTAAAGTCAGATTCCCTCAGTTTACTTCAAGATCTGGCCCCTGCCTATGACTCTGAACTCATCTTGTGTCATTCTCCGTTTCGGTCAGTATGTTTTAGTCCAGTTTGCCTTGTTTCAGTTCCAATTTCATGGCATCAGCACTTACTAGCCTTTTTATTTGGAACACTCTTATTCTAGGTCTTCATATTTAGTCATTTAAGTCTCAGCTTCACAGACAGCTCAATGAGAAGTTTCTTATCTAAAATAACTGATCTCCTTCTCCCAACTTGTCACTCTATAGCCATTTGCCTAGTTTTAATTTTTTTATAGCATTCGCCACATTCCGAAATTCATTTTGGTATTTATAAGTTTATTTATTTACTGGCCATCCCCCTCCATCATAAAAATAAAAGAACAATAAGGTATTATTGTTCATTACTGAATCTATAACACTAAGAATAGAGCATAGTAAGTACTCAACAAACTTATGTTGAAACTTAGGAGTATATTTTAATATCCAGACATGAAAATGCATATGGCAGTTCAGATATCAAATGTATTTAGATTCAGATAAACTGCAAAAGCATCCAAACTGGGAAAAAAACCCAAAAACCGCATTTTACAAACCTGCCTAAAATGAGTAATAGTTTTTTAGCGTTTCTCTGGTTTTCTGGGCCATTATTGTTAAGTCCTCAATGATGGTTTCTCTTTCAAGTTCCATTAATAGATTGTGGTTGTTGTTGGTTTAGCTCCACCTAATTGTGCAACTTTCAATCATCCTGGAAATCTCTGAATTTGAACAGGGACAGTCAAGCTTTTGATTGCAGAAGAGAGAACTTACCCACATAGGCCATAGCACCTAAATTAGTAGGACTGCTGTACAGAAAAAGAAAACACACCTGGTTGTTTTCCAAACCTATATGAGAGAGAAATATAATGTATCTATATTGGAAAGAAATGTTTAAATGTATAGGAGAACTGTTGTTGAATTTAAAAGATTAAATATTGAAATTTGGTTGCCAGGAAGATTACAGAATTTTCATTTCTGAAAATACTAAAAATAGAAGCATAGAACTCCTACTTTCATCTTGATGACAGGAGTCTTAAAATATTTTTATTGTTGTAATCGTCAGCAACAATTGTTGCTTACTTATTTATGGATTACTTATTGAAGTCATTCTCAAAGAGTACCCCAAGGACCCATGGGATTTCCTGAGATCCTTTCAGGGTGTCTACTAGATCAAACCTAATTTTATAAAAATAACAGTACATTGCTTGCCTTTTTCATTGTACTGATATTTGCACTGCAAAAGCAATGGTGGCCCAAACTGCTAGCTGCTAGTATCTTTGCACGAATCAAGGTAATAGTACCAACCTGTACCAGTTATCATTCACTACCACGTACTAATAGTTTAAAAAATACTAATTTTATATAAGAACATCTTTGATGAAACAGTAATAAATATTAATTTTATAAAATATGAACCCTTGAATACTTATCATTTAATTCCATGTCACAAAATGAGAAGTACAGATAAAATATGTCTGTTGCAGTACCAAAATTGTTGTATTGAAGAAAAGTGCTTATGCAGATTTTAAGTTGTGAATTGATCTAGTTGCTCATAGAACACCATTTTTACCTGCAAAATGACAGTTTTGGTTATTGAAACTTAGGTATTTGGCAGATGCTTTCATGAAAATGAATGGAGTGAGCCAGTGATTGCAAGGAAAACAAGGACAGTTCTTGTCAATGATAAAAATTCAATCTTTCACATGAAAATTTTAATTTTGGAACATTTTTATCTGCCAAAGTGAGCTTGACTGTTTCCCAATACTTGAAGACTTTTCAGATAAGATTGATAGTGATACTAACCAGAGTAGTGATTTTGTAAAATGTGTCGATATTTGAAAGATCTATTAATACATAGTGCAGTAAACCAATATTTGCCAAATAATCAATACATATTGTTGCAAAATCATGCATGTGTGAAAGATTTATTCAAAGTGTAAGGTAGAACAATAGATTTCAATGTACTAGATTATGCTTCCACATTGCAACTAAACTCTAAAAAATTACAACTTGTCTAATTTTGGTATAATATCAAGGAAGTATGCCCACAATTATCTGAAAAGACTATTAAAATCCTCTTTCTTTCCTGTCTTTGTAAGGCTGGATTTTCTTTATACACTTTAACCAAAATAACAGATAGAAACAAACAAATTGATTGCAAAAGAAGATGGGAGAATTCTGCTGTCTTCAATCAAGCCAGGCATGAAAGAATTTTGTAAAAATATAAAGCAATGCCAGCCACCTTATCACTAGTTTTTTTTATTTAGAAAAATAGTTATTTCTCATAAAATATGTTGTTTATTTTAACATGTAATGGGCTTACTATTACTATTTTAAAATGATATTATTTTAAATATCAATATTTAATTTTTTTCATTTTTCATTTGTAATATGGTAAGTATCAACAGACTTCATCAACATAAACAAAATGCTCTTCGAGGTTCTCAGTAATTTTATGAGTGTTTGGGAGTCCTGCAACTAAAACATTTGAGAACTGCTGGTTTACTTTATACCTGGATTTGTCTTCAGAGTTTAAATTTTATAGTCTCTTCCTTCATTTTCAGAAATAAAAACCACAGTCACTTCCATAGATTCTTTTCCATTATGTTGTTGCAATGACATTCACAATTTAACTTTTTAAAAATTCCTTCAAAATTTCTGAAGGCAATAGAGAACCTTTAAAGATTTGAGTTAAATTATGCCTTACTTTTTTCATAGATTTAGATGACAAAGAAATATTATGGTTAAAATGATAGCATAATTACACCTTAAACAAATAACAGAAATGTATAGAATGTGACATAGTCTGTTACTTGGCATATGAAAAAGATGGTAACTATTTCATGATTTGTTTCTACTAACCAAGTATAGTATGTCCTGCCAAATAGCAGGTGTTTAATAAATTATAATTGAAAGAATGACTAAACCTGTGTGCAGCTGAGAGCCCTGATGAGGCAAGCCAAATGGTGCTTTGGATTTCAAGTGGGATCTCTGTTGAACAGATGACAGATTTTGTAAGCCTAGTAGCCACGTTCTCACACTGCCTCTTCATATTTTGTTTTTATGTATACGTTCTATGTTTTTTTCTCTCTACCTTATTTTAGCACTGTTTTTGTGTGTACTGCAAAATTGTACATCCCATAATTATAAATTAATGAGATGGCTTTTCATAGTGATTCATAGAACTTGCTGGTCTCATTATTTTACTTTTATAACTAATATTTGGATTATGTTTTATATTTATAAAATCATGGCTTAAGAATCAATTTAGAGACAATTTTGGAAGATATCTGTGAAAAGAAGAATATTATTTCAACTTGGACTGTTTGTTTTTAGGTGCCTACCATATGCTATGTGAATAGATTCCTTTAGATATAAGTGATATTGATATAATCTGATATCACAGATCATTACCCAAGCATGAAGCAAAATTAAGAATTAATTGGATTTGTAATTGTTCAGCTTTAATCTTCTATTTCAGTAGAGAAGGCCAATTCATGGCTCAGAATACTGTATTGTTTTCTCTAGGAAAATAGATTTCAAAAACTGTTCTTATTGTTTACCTTTATCGTTACTTTTCTGCTGATCTGAAGATTTGGAAAATGCCTGACTCAAAAGAGAAAACAGTAGTGAGTACTGTTGTTTCTAGCGAAAAACGGAATGAGGATGATTTTGATGATTATTGTGGGTGTTATGCCCCTTTATCTATTGGCCTAAATATTTTTTTTTTTTTTTTGAGACAGTCTCGCTTGTTGCCCAGGCTATAGTGAGTGCCGTGGCGTCAGCCTAGCTCACAGCAACCTCAAACTCCTGGGCTCAAGTAATCCTTCTGCCTCAGCCTCCTGAGTAGCTGGGACTACAGGCATGTGCCACCATGCCCGGCTAATTTTTATATATATAAGTTGGCCAATTAATTTTCTTCTATTTATAGTAGAGACGGGGTCTTGCTCTTGCTCAGGCTGGTTTCGGACTCCTGACCTGGAGCAATCCACCAGCCTCGGCCTCCCAGAGTGCTAGGATTACAGGCGTGAGCCACCGCGCCCGGCCTGGCCTAAATATTTGTATCATGATTCTACAGCCAATTAGATGAATATTTTACTATTAGAAAAAAGCTTTTAGATATTTATTCCCTATGTCCCAAATACCTTCTGTATTAAACATTACATCTTGTAGTCCAATATTTCTCAGAGTCTTGTCCTTGAGTGACCTAGTCAGAAATATCTAATGCATATTACTGGACATCATTCCTGATTCAAGACTCCATTCCTGGATAATAATCTCTGCCTGGGGGAGGGAGGACACAGAAAGCTGAATTTAAAAATCTTTTTAAATGAAAATTTTTACATACAGGGTATACACAAAAATAGAGACAATACAGGAATGGATCCTAGGGTAATCATCACTTAGCTTCAAAGTTATCAGCCTTTTGCCAATCTTGTTTCTTCCTTTTTGGCTTAGGTATTTTTTAAAGCAAAACTCAGCCATTATGTTATTTCTCTGCAAATTCAGATTATTAAAAGTGGATTTACACCAAACATCCTAGGTGATTTTTTTATGGATCCTTGACATTTGAAGGCTCTTACCTAATTGGGACTTTACAAAGTTTACTTTATTGAACAAAATATTAATTCATTAAATTCTCTATAAAATTTTGTTATATAGCATATATCTGTACATATTTTTACTGGCTATTGAGAGTGGTTTTTTTTTTTTCTTTTTAAAACTAAAAATATTCAGGAAGGTTTTACTAAATGAAAAGGCAATTAGATAACTTTTCCCCATTGATTTCTACAAACAAAAAGCTTCTCTTAGTCCCAGATGCTGTGTGGTAATGCTCATTGACTTGATAGAAACTTACGTTTGTAAGGAATCATTACACATTCCTGAGTATAGCTTTGAGTCTATTTAATCCATGCCTTTTGCTGAAAAGGGAAGTGTTGAATATTTACATATGGAGATTAATGGTTTATTCATTTAAATCAGTCAAAATATTCATTCTGATTAAATTTGGGATAGAAAAAAAGGAGCAAGTCTACTCTCATTGTGACAGGAGATCACCTGGGAAAACATAAGAATCAGTTGCTTTTTACATTTCTTTATATAGGGTAATATTTTTATGTAGCAATATTTGTTATTGTGTATGTGTGTTTATATATTAATGGGAAAAATAATTTTTAGCCCTTTATATATTATTAGATATGATGTAAGGTATTTGTTTAATGTCTACCAGAATCCATGAAGCATATGATCTTCATTTTCAGAAGAGACTGAGAATGCTTGATAAGTGGTAGAGTGAGGAAGCTCAGGACTGTTTGACCTTAAAACCATACTCTTTCCACCACACATTTGCTCATGTACCATTCTGCTAGCATGAAGATACTAATGCAGATACCTAAGTGGAAATTAAATCAGGGGCTATATTTTTCTTTGCTGCTTTCTCCCCTTAAGGTTTGAGGGCCTGACTTTCAGAACAGTCAGTTCTGCCACAACATGATGGATAGGTTCCTAGAAATCATCACACTATGCCAAATTGCTATGCCACAGAACTTATGGGAAAGATGGGGTGAGCAGTACAATGTTCAAAAACTTGGTCAGTGACACTTAGAAAGATAGGGACTTAATAAAAAGCATTTTACACATTAAATGGTAATTACCTATATACTACAATAAATATGGCATATTACCTTGAAAAAGACCTTAAGGTTACTTTTAGAAGTGGGCACCAGGAGGGTTGAGGCTGTATGTTATTGGGAAGTGATAGAATGAGAGTTATCTAAAATCAGAGGAAAAGTTGTAACACTAGGTGTGGGTAAGTGTGGCTAGTAACACATGTATTGAACTGAAGTAGCTGGAAGTTGTTTGAGGTGTGTGTGTATTCCTATGTAGTTTGTCTAAGGTTAATACAAATTTCTGTGTGCACCATGTTTTCTGTGGATGAAAAAACACTTAGAAGCCAATGCAAAAAGGTTATATTCATATTATTCCCTAATGTAGTGTCAACTGTATTGGAACAATTTTATGATTTCAAAATAAGCATTATAGACAGAATTAAATGAACATGGTCCTCTTCTCCCCTCCATCTATACTTATTTCTCTTGTTGTCTGAGCCAGTCTTTAAATATAATTTGTATAATTATATATTTATTCACTATTTGTATTTGCCCCTGAATACTATTTATATATTATTGATGACTTCCAAATTTATGACATTAAGTCTGATATCTTTCTAAAATTCCAGACTCATTTCTCCAGTTGCAACATTTTTAGGATATTTAGTAGGCATTTCAAACTGGACATACTCTAAACTCTTGATCTTTACCCCAAACCTGTGACTAACTGATAGACCAAGAAAATCTCAAGCTTGCTTCATAGATGACTCTGCTTGCTTTGTTGCTAGTTGCTAAAAGCAGGCTGCTATCTCTCTAGTGCCCTGTTCAGGGGTGTCTATGATGGACAGAGGTATGCACAGGACACTTAGCCATTCATCTTATGTGGAGGGAGAAGTGGACTGAAGTGTAAAGGTACATTCACCCCTTAGCAGTGCTAATGGTATAGCTGATTGGTCAGGGCCTTGGAAGAATCAAGACTAGAGACAATACATTTGGCAAAGAGGCATGTGAGTAGACCACTGGGAGTCAGCACTAAGTATGAGGAGGCATTTTCCAAAAGGCTCTCAAAACCAGGAAGTCAGGGTGAGGCTCCATTATATATCCACCAGACTCTCTTCTGTCACCACAGTGCCATTAAGAGTACGATGGCAGGAATCAGGTAATGCATGGGTCTGGCAGTGTGAGGTCCATCTTACCAAGACTGATCTCGCAACTGCTGCTGCTGAATGTCCAAGCAACAAGCAGAAGGGAACACAGATAAATACTTTCCAGTAAGAGTGGTAGATTGATCCCAACCGGACTTTTTCACTCCAGAGGAGGCAGCAATTAATTCCAATTGGAATTAATACTTTCTTTAGATAATGTATTTACCTTCCAAGTTCCTTTCCTAACACCATCATCTAAAGGCTTAAAGAATGCCTGATTTAAACACATGGAAACGTGCATCACATGGCTTCAAAGGGACTTTGTGAAGGAAGTGTGACAGTGAACACAATGTCATAGGCTTCTTCATATACTCCAATACCTGAAGCAGCTGGCCTATTACAACAGCTGAATGGCCTGTTCAAGAAGACTCGGCCAAGACTACTGGTTGGTTATTTTGGGCTTCTCATGCCCATGGACCAGAGGGCAAATAAAAGAGTTACAATATTGTTCCAGGTGTGCTTGATCCTATTTACCCATGGGGGCACCAGGGTGGCTGATGCTCAGTGAAACTCACAAGATTTGCTGGCAGGCACATCTGGTATTCCATACTCATGGATAGCTGATTTGACTATTGCCTATTTGTAGACAGATACCAAATCTGTTCTCTCCAGCCCTAATGTCAGCACCAAAATGGATCTATCTAATGCTGATTGGAGTTGTTTATGATACATATGAAAAATAAAGAATGGCATTGTATATATTAAGATCTACATTTTTACCTGTATTCAGTTTTAGTTTTTTCCTCTGAATTATATGTTTACTAATATAAAATAAAATTGAATTGAGACACTTAGAATTTGACACAATGAAGACCTTATTCCAAAGGATATTCCATCTTGTGGCCTCAGTATAATTTTTAAGCATTATCTTAAAGTGTTTAGATTAAAATATTTCCTACTTGGAAAAAAACCACATATATACACTTACGTGTGTGTAGATACCTGTAAATACATTTGAAAAAAATACCAAAGAGATATTAAGCATGACAAAAAATGCCCTCTTTGATCAGACTGTTGTTCTCACACTAGGCATTTCTCAATGCTCTCCCCACTGGGCACTTTATACCACCCCCAAAACGATATCATCAAATATGCTATATTGCTTCTTATGTCCATACCTTGAAAATTCTCTCTGATGTCTTGTTTTTCACTCTACCCTAATCCCTTCTCCCATTTGATCTGTCTGTAGAAAACCCATCATAAAATTGCAAGTTTGTTTTCATCTTCAGACTTACGCTTATCCAGAGAAAGGACTATGCGTTTTTTGTAACCATATCATCTATTACAGTAGCTGGCACATGGGAGGTATCAATGAATGAATTACATGTATAGTTAAGGGATTATAATTCTTCTTGCTTTTATAATTCTTCCATTCCCAATAAGGGAATGGGAGAAAATAAATGATTGTAAATACTTATTAGTAGTCAAAAATATATCTGGGGAAATGTAGAGGCCTCCTTAATTCATCTCTCTAAAAGAGAGGTAGAAAGAAAGTTATAGAATTAACTTTACAGTAAGAGTATTTCATGAAGCATTGTAATTGTATCACTGATGTAGATCAGTATATACCTATAAATAATTTCTGTCCAATTTCAGATTGCCGAGGAAGGATCCACCGTTTCTTGTGTGGTGGAGAGAACCAGAGGAGCTCTGGATTATGTGCACGTTTTTTACACCATCTCACAGATAGAATCTGACGGCATTAATTACCTTGTTGATGATTTTGCTAATGCCAGTGGAACTATCACATTTCTTCCTTGGCAGAGATCAGAGGTAAACCCGTCTTCTTTGTTTCTTTCAAAGCCTCCTGGAAAGCTTTTCCTGATGTAATTTCTTTACAGCTTCTTGCTAGGTAAGCAATTTAAAATATTTAGGATATTAGGTATATCTATTGGTATAAAATATTTTTGTATTTATTTATGCAAAAGAAAAAATAAGAATTTTGAATTATATGTGCTAATAGTTTTTATCTGTTCTTTAATGACAATATAATAAAAATGATATATCCCTGTGAGTTTTTGTTATTGCTGATACAATGGGAAACCACAGAATTCTTAATGGTACTCTTCTAGTCAGCCAGTGAGAAATTATTATAATTATAATTTCATTTTATTTGCATTAAATTTGGAGAAATGTGGTAATTTTTCTATGTTTAAAAAGTACAAGTGACCCCCAATTTCATCAAAAGCTTTCCATGAAACATAATCTCATGTCTGAATAGATGCTCCATAAATAAATGACACTTCCCGTAAATGAAATTGGAATGAGGCTTACTCTTATGTCAGAATATTTAAATATTGATCATGTTGGAATATTCATATCAGTATAATTTTTACATTAAAATGTAAATAGTTTATAAGTCATCAGGGATACCTAAGTAAATTAACTTAGGTTTGCAAATAATGATAAATAATCTTTAGGAAATTTTTGAGGGACTTAGGAGTTAATTGGTTGAAAAAAATTAAATTGAGGGAAGGTTTAAAATATTCCTTAGATTCAAAAAATAAAAACTAAGGGGGAGTGATCAAATCTCTATAATTTGGGGGAAGAAGGAAACAAAGTACAACAAAACTATGCAAGAAAGTACAACAAAATTTCCTTGATAAGTAGTCTGCAGACAGGTCCATAATAAAGGTTTTACTAATATCTGGTAAAATGAGAAAAATGAGGAAATGGGAAAAATTAGGACAACTGGTAACTTTTCATAAAGCTAAACTTATTCCATTTACACGACTATTCTGATGCTTTGTCATTTTTACTTCTTTCTTGGATTGAAGGTGTTCTTTCTTTTATCAAATAATTATGATAGTATGTGGTAATTTTTTAATGCTGCTACTCGGCAACACAGATTTGAGACCCCAGATTTTCTCCTGAAAAATTTACCATCTATGAAATAAAAATATAACTGGAAACAGCTATTTTAGAAAGTAGATTCATATACATTTTGAAAGAAATAAGAGTGAATCAAATTTGATAAGTAAAACCCTTGTAAATGCTCCAGTCAAGAATTATTTAAAATATTTTCTTGCCTAATTTTTAAGCTTATTTTTCTTTTTACTTCAAGAACTATGACAGGATTGGGGTGATCGTTGTCATTTTTGCACATCTGCCATGCCATATATTACTCCTTAACTTAAAATATGATTAAAACGAACATTAAAAACCATATTTAGATTGTACCTCAGACTTACTGAATCAAAACCTCTTGAAAAACTACATTTTTAAAAACAGATTCTCTGTTTAAAAACAGATTCTAGATGCTTTTAGGCCCAATGATCCTTGTTTTGGAGAATGCATTTGGATTTAGAGTTTGTTTCAAGCTGTCACTCTCCTTTCTGGGACAAGTTGGGAAGTCACTCTTCACTCCTCTCTATCACTCACGCTCCACGTTAAGTGAGTCATCAGGCCTGCATCTTCTATCTCCAGAAATATCTCAACTCCATCCATTTTTCCTTATCTCTTTTGTATTGTATTAGTTCAGAATTCCATTATTTCTGCTCAGTCACCTCCTAACTCACCCTCTTGCATTCTTTCTTGTTCTGTCTACTCCATTTACATTCTGCCATGGTACTTATTCTAAAAGAGAATTCTCGTTTTGTCAATTCCCCACTTACAATTCTTCAATTTATCTCCACTCTCTATGGAATGAAGTCCAAATTTTTTATGATAGCATAAGTCCCCATGATTTGATTCCTGAGTATTCTTACAGCCCTATCTCTTCCTCTATCCTTAGTGTTCTAATTGGAGTTCTCTGTATGTCTCTATGCCTTTGCAGTGTTTTGTCCTTTGCTTGTAATGTTCTTCCCCATCATTATTTACAACTGTAACTAATCCATTAGAGCTTGCCTCAAACATGTCTGTTGTAAAACTTTTATCAAGGAGGTTTAGTTGTTTATCACTTTCTTTTGTACACAAACTCTGTTATGTCATTTTAACATTGCATATAAAATGTTTTTCTATAGATCTGTATCCTACAATAGACTGTCTTAGGGAGGCATCCTCAAACTATGGCCTGCAGGCCACATGCAGGTGTTTTTGTCCATTTGTTTTTTTACTTCAAAATAAGATATGTGCAGTGTGCATAGGAATTTGTTCATAGTTTTTTTTTTAACTATAGTCTGGCTCTCCAGTGGTCTGAGGGACAATGAACTGGCTCCCTGTTTAAAAAGTTTGAGGACCCCTGATTAGGTATTGGGGTCAGCACATTGTATATGTCAAAACATGTTTGTTCAATTAATAAAGAAAGAAGAAATTGTGGGTTTATTTTTTTTTTTACTTTGACTTTAAATTTTGACTTAAATTTTGTAGAGCATGGCTGAGTATTGCTACTTCCATTCATAAGTTCATAAGTGTTTTTGGAATAATCGTTTATGCCAGACTTTGAAGGTTTATTGTGAATCTACTTTCTAAAATATTGTTACTATGTCAGGCTTTCCTTGGGCAGGCACTAGATATGTATACATTGCCCTTTCTAACTACTCTGTCACATCTCAGAGAACATGCAGTTCCTTAATTGCTAAGTCTCTACCCTGCAGTTGGTAATACCATGGTCTTTGGTACAAAAAAAAGTGATATTATATTGATAATGTTATATCAATATATCATATATGATGTGATATTAATGCATATATAGGATACTTTTAGACAGAAAATGTTACTACTCATCATGTGCTTTAGTCTCTTTGGACTGCTGTACCAAAATACCTAGGCCTGGATAACTTAAAAATGACAAAAAATTATTTATTGCTCACAGTTCTGGAGACTGGGAAGTCCAAGATTAAGGCACCTGTAGATTCCACTCTGCTACATAGAGATGGTGCCTTCTCAATGTGCCCTCACAGGGTGTAGGGGCAAACAAGCTCCCTTAGCACTGATCCCATTCATGAGGGCTCTGCCCTAATCACCTCCCTCAAACCCCACCTCTTAATATCGTCACCTTGGGGGTTAGATTTCAGCATATGAATTTTGGGGGACACAGACATTCAGCCCAAAGCAACACCCATTATTGTTTAAGGAATTAATCTCCTTAGATTTCTCTTTCTCTCTTTCTATGTTTGTATACATGCACACATACATATACACACTCACAAATTTTAATGTTTAAATTTGTGTAAAAATAAGTTATGTTAATAGTGACTTGATTTAAATATAATTTAATTTTCCTCTAGTAAGTAATTTCTACATGACTCTTTGCTTAGTGCCTCTGGATTTTTACATTTATAGGTCCTAAATCTATATGTTCTTGATGATGATATTCCTGAACTTAATGAATATTTCCGTGTGACATTGGTTTCTGCAATTCCTGGAGATGGGAAGCTAGGCTCAACTCCCACAAGTGGCGCTAGCATAGATCCTGAAAAGGAAACAACAGATATCACCATCAAAGCTAGTGATCATCCATATGGTAACCCACTCCTTTTGCAAGAATAATTCTCTCTTCTCTGGGTGTGCTTAGTTTTATTAAGAACTTCTTATGGAAACTCTTTGAAAATGATTGAAGTGGAACTCCTTCAGACCCTCTAACTCCTAAACTCTTTAACTTCTTAGCTGCCATTTTGAGGGACGTTATTTATGAATGAAAATATAAATGTCAATTTCTGAATTTGAATAATATATTTCGGAAAGTTTTTTCAGGTTTATTTAAAATGGAAAAATATTTCTATTTATGGGTATCAAAATTTCTTTAATTTAAAAATTATTCTGTGATTTGTTAACACCTAAGGAATTGAAGTACTTTGTAAAGTATATTTTATTAAGTTTCAAGAAATGAAGTTATCACTTTCTATTTATGTTAATTTCTTTTTGTTTTATGCTAAAATGATAATTTTATTAATTTAGGAACTATCATAGATATCTGTACTAATAAATTGGAAATGTTTTCTGTATTGAAAAGTAATATTCTTTCTGTGGGAATAAATAAAGAACACCTGTTAAAGGATCTGGGTAGAAAACCTGAGAGGCTTTTTAACTCTGGTTTTCATAGTTACATTTTTTAAAAAATGTATTCTAAATCCTTTAGAGTGCCATTAATACTATTCTACTGTTAAGTTCAAGAATGATTTCTGGAGACTCTAGTAATATATGCATACATGTTTGAAAATGTATATTTTAAAACTCCATCAGTATTCCTTTTATTGATGCTTCTGTAAGAACTAATAAAGCTTTCTTTGAGTAAAGACAAGGAAAATTAGCAATTTAACTTTTAACATTCTGAGAGCTTATAAACACATTCCATGTCAAAAACATGTTAATCGAATCTTCACTAAAGTCTTTTCTAAATGAAGGCCCTCAGAATTTTAGCCTGATGGTCCAAATAAGTGTGCAAGATTGCTCCAAATGAGTAAGAAATTCTTCCATAGATAATTGGGAGAAGAATGCCCTGTCCTCTTTGTCTCTGACAGGCTTGCTGCAGTTCTCCACAGGGCCACCTCCTCAGCCTGAGGACACAATGACTCTGCCCGCAAGCAGCTTTCCGCACATCACTGTGCAGGAGGAAGATGGAGAAGTCAGGTTACTGATTGTTCGTGCACAAGGACTCCTGGGGAGGGTGACTGCACAATTTAGAACAGTGTCGCTGTCAGCATTCAGTCCGGGGGACTACCAGGTAAGTCACTTATTCCTTTTGAAGCTGTGTTTGCACTTGTAAAACAGACATATAATCATTTTCTTTGAGGATTGGAAGGGACGTGCACTGTACCTGGAACATACTGAACAAAGAAAATAAGCACTGATGGCTTTCTGGCCTTTTAAATTTATGTAAATTATTGTGGCTTTATGCATTGAAACCTGACATTTAAATAGCTACTATACTGATTTCTTTTGTGGCTTATACTTGTCATAGTTTTCCCTTGTATTATTTGCTTTACCGTTAACAGGTTTTGATCAGATATATTGAAATTATGTTTCTTATACATTTTAAATCCTCTTACCTACATCTGTTAACTGAAACCAAAATTGCAAAGATATTAAGTGTCCATGTCTTTTCACATTTAAATTGCTTTTTTTTTTTTTCCAAGTGAGAAGCAGTGTGGTACTGGTGGGGGGGGAAAAAAGCAAGGGACTTGCAACTGGACAGAACTGAGTTTTAACCAGTCTTCTAAATGTGTGGACTTGGGAGACTTGCTTAATCTTTCCTGACCTCAGTTTTCTTATCTGCAAAAGAGAGATAACATCTGCTGAGCAGGATCGCTGTTAAGGATTGATGGAAACATTTTGTGTCTTGTAGTAAACATGGCACATGCATAGTGGCACTCAGTAACTGCTACCTATTCTTAATTATCACCAGTACTAAAGCAAATGCTTGTCATTTCTTCTCATCAATTCTTTTTAAGAAAGATTTTTACAGCTAACATTTCTGTTTTCCCAAAGAATCTTTTTTCTTTAAATTTAATATCGGTTTTCCTATTTTTCCCCTTCTTCCTAAAAAGACCCATATCACAGTACAGTGTTCAGTAATTTGTGCAAACTTTTCCTCCCAAACCCCAGAAAAGCTGGCTAAATGAATTTAATTAATTTCAGCTGTAGACCAGCTAGCTAAATTTTCCTGGATTTCTTCTTTCTTAGACTCTTTCTTGGGCAAGTTGTATTTTTCTTACCATTGACATTTATTGTATCTTTGACGAAGTTGGTATGTAACATATTCTGCAAGACATCTCACCTTGCCTTAATGTTGTCTTCTCTGTGGTCTCTTAAAGAAATATTTAATCCTCAGATTGATGGGCTTCAATTTCTAGGTAGTCTGAATATGTCCAGCATCCAATTGGATTATCATTTTCTTTCGTAACTAAAACAAAACAAAACAAAAACCCTGTGCCCTCATCCCTTGTGACTATCAGAAAGCTCATACCCTTGAAAACATTTTTGTGGATTTTCAGGGGTGCTTAGATGTCCTAGTTCTTACTTGTCACCACTTTTTGTCGTTGATAACCTGATAACTTTTGCCTTCACCACTTCTTCGATGTTTCAGCTTTCTCAGATCTGTGTTAGCATACAAGTAGGATTTCTTAGGTTGTGTATGAGTATGTGAGTATGCAGATGTTGGGGGTGAGGAGGGGAGAGGAGCAACCAGGGAGGATCATGTACGGAAGAGGAGAAAACTGACTATCAGATGTCACTGTTCTCAACCTGATTCTCATAGACCAAGTTAAAGGTGACCCCCACCATCTGGGTGCTTATATTCCAGCTGTTTGGGGTGATATTAAACAATTAATTACTGAGTTACAGTTGTAGGATATGTTCAAGGTGGGTGATCTGGGAGAGAAGTGGGTGTTGATGTAGGTGGGGTAGTCGGAGGACTTTCTTTCCTTTATGCTGGGCTGTAATGTTTAAGGAGGGAAAAGTAGATGAAGGGGGAAGAACCGTTTGGGACTGGTAAAATGGTGTGAGTAAAGGGTCTAATGTAAGGGAGAGAACAGGCTGTCAGAGAAACTGAAGGAAAACCAGTGTTTCTGGAGTGTAGAGAGCTAGGTATGGTGATGAAACAAAGATAAGATATGCAGGGACTGGATCATTCAAGACCTTAGAGATCATGCTACACTTTTGGATTTTTTACAAAAATAAACAAGGAGAAATAATCGAAGGGTGTTATGCATTTATAAAAGATCACTAGGCTAAACTATGGAGAATGAATTAGAAGATATAGACACTGCGTGCAGAATAAACGGGAGTCTATTTTGTGGAGCAAGATAAGAAGAGGGGGATAGTATCATGGACTATGCTAATGCCAATGTAGACAAAAAGAGGTAAGTGGGCTCAAGAAATGTTTAGGAGTTAAAATGGCAGGAGCTAAGGATTATTTAGTGTGAAGGGTAAACCAGAAAAGGGTGTCAAGAATGACTCCTTAGCTCCTAGCATGAGCAACTTGTACTCTGAAATTTAGTGCTATGGAAAAGTTTGCATAAGACACAGTTTTTAAGGGAAGATCGTGAATTTAAGATTATGGCAAAAATTATTAAGAAAAATTTCAAGTAGGCATTAAGATTTAAGTCTGGGTATCAGAGGTGAGAGATATAAATTTGGGAGTGGGGAGCATATGAATAGTATTAAAAGTCTAGGGTATGATAGACTTGTCTAGACAGAAAATCTAGAGAGAGCCTGATGAACAACAATAGTTTTTAAAGATTATAAGAAGAATGTTAAGATTGGTAAACACTGAAAAGGATGAACTAGGAAAAACAGGAGAGTGTGCTATCATGGAATATCAGGGAAGAACGTATTTCCAAAAGAGGAATGGTCAGTTGTATAGATATTGCTGCGTTCAAGTAAGATGGTTTCCTAAGGCAGTCAAATGTCAGTTCTATTGTTAAGACTTGTAGAATTACTCCACTGATGACTAAACTCTAGGCAAAGTTATTTACTTCCTCTTTGAGCTGACTATATGCCTTTTACAGCAATTATTATTCTATTTAAATTGTTTTATTACATTCTAAGCTTAAAACTCCTAGAATGTTTTCTATGGAGTCAAATATTTGTCTTGTCTATTTTTGAGTCCCAAACATTTAAAATGATACCACATACATGCTGTGTGCTTGTAAATATTGAAAAAGCTTATCTATATTGAAAAAGTGAATAAATGAGTGATCAAGTTAATTAGTATTTGGATTTCTCAATTTAGTTTTAATATCATTAATAGCAACACAAGATGAAATATAGTGGCCCACACAAGCTAATACTAGAAAAATTTAAACAAATTTAAAATTTATTCTCATAACTTGAGGAGAAAATGCTTATATGAAATAATGGAAGAAAAAATAGCCTTAAGACTTTGATTTTGAATAACTTTGATTTCCTTAAGTATGTGAACTTTTCTGAAGGGAGAGCTATGTTATGAATTACAACTGCAAGTATAATCAAGGGAAAATTAATCCCAAATGGACTGATATATATTAATGCTTGGAGAGAGTCTTAGAATGAAAATGCCATTATTATTAAACACCAAATATTGAAATTTCCCAGAGATATAATTTTAACATACTAGGTCAAGAGAATTGCTGGCATCTCATTGAATTAATTCTTTAGGAATTTGTGGATGTTACCCAGTAAGATATTTCATTTGCCTTGACTACTTTTTTGATGAATAGTGAAATAAAAAAAATAAACCATTTACTTCATTTAGTTGGAGAATATGTATTTAGAATTTACCTTGAAAACTATTCATGTCCACCAAATTGTTTTCAGTATTGTATTTTACTTATGTTCTTGTGTTTCAGCGTTTATAACAATTTGGGACACAGCAAACATTCTCATTGTATAAATTCACATACAGAATAATTAAAATCTAATGAGTAAATATTTTATTTGTATTTCAGAGTGTTGCTGGCACATTAGAATTTCAACCAGGAGAAAGATATAAATATATTTCTGTCAACATCACTGACAATTCTATCCCTGAACTGGAAAAATCTTTTAAAGTTGAGTTGTTAAACTTGGAAGGAGGAGGTAAGACTGGTGATTCAAAAGTATCAAATATTGGCTTGTCCACTCACTGTGATGACAGTAGATTCTATTAGTGAAGTATGTTCCTTTGAATTAATCATACTTAAAAAAAATGAAGGAATTACTAGTTTTTGGAGAGAGCAGCTTAAAGATTAATAATTGCTTTATATATGATCATGTATGTTATTATATATATGGTAATATAATATATGTGAATCACTTCTGATTGACAGTCCCTTTCTTGGTAAGAACAAAATCCCATCTCTCTACATAAATTTTACGTGTTAGTTTTATAAATTAATATTCAAATCATAATTTTATTTAGATATACTTTTTCTGTGTGAGGTTTGGTTAATTCTCAGTAATATCTCTGTTTATTATATTGGTACCACCTATTGTGCTTTTCCCCCCTTTTTTTTTTTTTTTTTTGAGACAGAGTCTCGCTTTGTTGTCCAGGCTAGAGTGAGTGCCGTGGCGTCAGCCTAGCTCACAGCAACCTCAAACTCCTGGGCTCGAGCAATCCTTCTGCCTCAGCCTCCCGAGTAGCTGGGACTACAGGCATGAGCCACCATGCCCGGCTAATTTTTTTTATATATATATATCAGTTGGCCAATTAATTTCTTTCTATTTTTAGTAGAGACGGGGTCTCGCTCTTGCTCAGGCTGGTTTTGAACTCCTGACCTTGAGCAATCCGCCCGCCTCGGCCTCCCAAGAGCTAGGATTACAGGCGTGAGCCACCGCGCCCGGCCTCCCCCCACTTTTTATTACCCACTGATCTTTTCCTTAAATAGACATGCTTTTAGAATGAAATAGTGCACTTGTATCATATCACTAAATTATAGTTGTCATTCACAGAAGGTGCCCCTCAAATCACCTCTTCCTTTTTTCCTTTTCCAAGTTCTGTGGTGTCTCTGTTAGCACTATCTCCAGATAAAACACAGGTTAAGAATGAGTCCTTTTGGATAACCTATTATGATATGATTATCAATAAAAGAAGTCAACAGTACCCTATCCTCAATTCTGAGATTCAGAAAGCTCTGATTATCAAAGGTTTTTGGAGTCAAAACTTGTTTCATTGCAAAACTCATGTTTATTAAGTGAGGCTATATATAATATTTATCCCCATGTATAACTAGATGGACTAGTTATACATATTTCTTTGCAGAAGTATTAATGTGTTTGATTATCAGCTGCCACTGGGAGTGTGATTGAATACATGTGATATGTACTATATCACCTTTATAAGAAATTGAGAGGTGGTATGGTATTCATCAGGACAGTCCTTTCCATTACAAAACCTGGTATTATCTTTATTATTATTATCATTTTGCTGAAGAAAGTCATAGTATATAAGCCATCCAAAAGATAAATTGGTAGGCCAGAAATATTAAGATTCTCTTTTTATATTAAGTGGGACTTTAGGGTAAATATACAAAATTTTCCTTTCCTGTGTTCCAAGCTCAGGTGAAAGCAAAGGAGACTAAGCCAGAGTTTGGGAGCACAGGAATGACTAAACAGTGACCCAGCTTGGTTGAATGCAAAAACATAGCAAAAATATTCTGGATGACCTGTCTGGCAGGTGGCATGTAATAATACCATCTTTGCTTGTCCTCCAGAGACAAGTTCTCACATCTCCAAATCATTATTTTCATGATAGTACTTTCATTAATAAAAAGGTTACTTATAAAATATTTGAAAAGTTGCCCTTGTATCTCTTATAGCTAAAAATACTTACATAATAGAGAAAATGTTAATGATTAACTAATATTGATTAATAGAGGAAATCAAATTATTCTTAAGATGTTAGTGATACTTGTGATCATATGATCCCTTGCAATAGTAGTGATTCTTGCGATTTGATTTAGAAACTTTTCCCCATAGCTCTAGAATATGCATTGTTATATATAATTCAGTACAAGTACTCAATTCATAATCAGTCTTACAGTTTCTTAGGATGCAATAGTGGCAAAGAATCTGATTTTTCCCCCATTCAGTTGGGATTGGAGGAAAAGAAATCTAGACAGTGACCTCTACTCCTGGACTCACACATCGAGATTGCCTAATATGGAAAATATCTAAATTTGTAAATATGTAAAATATTTAAATATCTAGAGCTAAATTCTGTTGTGGGTCAAGGGAGCGCCTGTTATTCCATACTGTTTTTTCTATAAAACTGATTCTACATAAGGTAGCCACAACCTAAATAGGTATTTTATGCTAGCCATAGTTTATATGGTGTTAAACTTTATACCTCTTTCTTATGACTTCTGGATAATATGGGAGCAAAGCCATGTACTGCATATTTGCTGGATATCCATTTTGCTTCTTAAGTCTTTATGATGATTTTAGGTTCTGTGTGCCATAAATTCTCATGTCTGGTACAGCCCACTCCTTTTGAGGAGAAAAACAGAAGAGCAGGGCAGATCTTTAACTAGCATTTAATGAATGATATTGGTAGAAGCACATATGTATAGGTGTGGCTTTGCTTTTTTTTCCTCTCCTTTTCCATTGCTATCATCACTGCCCTTCCTATCTTCCTTATTTGCAAACATTTGGTAAAATAATGTTTGGCATGTAAGACGTATTGGAGGGGAAGGTATAACCACTTTCTCTTTATTGTAGTCCTTATGTAGTCTCAAGGTACTTTATAATTTACAGTATTATTTATTTTCCATTATTTTATGTGATCTTTACAACTCTCTTAGCCCCATTTGTGCTGCTGTAACAGAGTACCACAGACTAGGTAATTTAGAAACAATACAAGCTTATTTGGGTCACCGTTCTAGAGGCTGGAAAGTCCATAACTGAGGGGTGGAGCTCTCATGACCCAGTCACCTCTTAAAGTTCCCTCCTCTCAACACTGTTGCATTGGAGATTAAATTGCCAACATGTGAACTTTGGGGGACACATTCAAACCATAGCAACAACTTTCCTAGAAAAGGCAGCACCTTTTATAGGTGTGAAAATTGAGATACCAAGAGGTTTAGTGACTTAACAAAGATTTTACAGATGGTATCTGCCAAGGCTGAAGCAGAAGTCTTAGACTGCTTGTCTAGAGCTCTTTCCACAATGTTGGTGGCAAGAGGGTAACCAAGTCTGAAAAGGGTAAATATGGTCAGGATTTGAATATGTGATGAAGGGAAATGTGACATGAATTTTTCTAATTTCTACTTGCTTGTTGTGAGTAGTAAGGTGACAATCACAGGCTGTTGGTCTCAGTGTATGATTTTATATGCACATAAACATGTTTTAAATATCTAAAATGTTAGAAAACAATTTACATTGCTTTAAATAAGTGAAAATTTAAAAATAATATTAAATTGGTAGAAATGGGAAATACCAATTATAGTTTACATGGAGTATTTCCTGAAAATATGAATGAAATTTTGGTGATTTGATAGCTTGACTTGGTGTTATAATTTTACTATTTAAAATGATCTATTTCTTAAGGAAGAATGTGTGTCATTGAGTGAATATTGCTGCATTTTCCTCTGCTTGGTATGTTTTAAGAACTCTCAATTTTCTCATTGTGTCAATGTGTATTGTGTGGATTGTGTCTCTGTGTGTCTCCTTAAGAAGTAGCTGAGCTGTTTAGGTTTGATGGCAGTGGTAGTGGTGATGGGGACATGGAATTCTTCCTTCCAACAATGCACAAACGTGGTAAGCAGCTGTTCCAAGGTCCTTTTACTATTATAGATTTTTATTTTAACTTCTCTTTTTAGAGACAGTAATACTAACCCTGTATTGACATCTACTATGTAGGTATGTAGGTCCTATGTAGGTCCTCTACATGTTTCATCTCATTAGCTATCACAGCAACTTTACAAAGTATTATTTACTTCATGTTACAGTCACCATGCTAGAAAGTGATCAAGTCAAAATTACATTCCTGTCTGCCTCTGAAACCCAGGCTCTCTTCCTTCTTATATAGGAACCTAATACTGTTTCCTGATTCTAATTGTAATAGAAATTTTGCTTGAATATCATTTATACAAATGTTTGTTGAAAAGCATTTTACATACTTTGAATACCTGAAATGAGATAAATAGAACATTTGTATTTTCATGTTAAACACATCATGCTTATTTTCTGTACACAAAGAACCATGAGTCTTTATATGTAGCATTTAATAAAAATATATAGGAAAAAGAAATAAGGAAGAAAATAATTGGAGAGAATAGTTGATAATTAATGGGGGGAATATTGAAAAGAGATGCCTTTTGAAATAGATTAATATACAAACATGATTCCTCTTTTTATGTCAAATTTTTTTTAGGTGGAGAAAATACTTAGAATACTTATTTCTTGAAGGAGAACACTTTCTAATCCTCAAATGTCCTTTTTTGCAATGTCAGGTTTTATATTTTAGTGTCAGAACTCATGTTCCCACCCCCTCATTCTTAATTTCCATCAATGCCTCATGCAACCTCTGTATTTAATGATTCTATTACTGTTAGGGTTGTTCATTTTCTTGTCTGCAGACATTAATGTAACATAAAAATTGAACATACTTCTGAAAAATTAAATGCATCTTTAGATCTTAGCATCTTTTTAGTTACAGGATTAGACTATTTTGAATAGGGAGAGACAGACCTATAATATCAAAACATGATGAAAAAATAGGCCTAGATTGACTAAAATCACAGGGAAACTACTTACTATTTCATGAAGGTAAGAGTCATTTTGGCTCCTGTTCTTTTGAGGTCAGCAAAGGTCGTGGGAGACCTTCTTCATATATTCTGTGTGGAAGAATGTTCCTTTCATAAAGAGGAAAAAGAAAAACAAGTTTTCCTTATTCATCTCCAAGTGCTTATGCAGCACTTGTACATCGCAAATGGTGCCAAAGCAGAGAAAGGTCATAAAAGCATGAATATGTGTGACAACCATTTGTGTCTGCCTTTCTTTCTAAAACAAATTAGAATGTACTCAATGAATGGAAGGACTCTTTTCAAAAAGTTGTTCCTTGGCTTTTCCTTTGGTTTGTAAATTACTGATTAACATTTTTTTTTTTTTTTTTTTTTTTGCTATTTGTTGGAACTTGTTCATGCAGCCAGTCTAGGAGTGGCTTCTCAGATTCTAGTGACAATTGCAGCCTCTGACCATGCTCATGGAGTATTTGAATTTAGCCCTGAGTCACTCTTTGTCAGTGGAACTGAACCAGAAGATGGATACAGCACTGTTATATTCAAAGTGAGTACCATTTTTTCTTAATTCCTAGACACTTCCTGTTCTTTTAGAAACTGTTTTATTGTACTATGAAAGTATGTTTTACGTTTTCTTTTTTCTGTGTAGGTGGAGGGAAATGAGCCTATTAGAACAGACAATACAATACAAATTGATAATCAAATAATGATTTGGCATTTGTCTTTGTGTTTAGTTTTGCGTGTGGATTCATTTTATTATTCTGAGAATTTCTGACCCTTTAAGGAATATAATGGAGGTGTTCTATAAGAATTTATCTTACATAGATTTTTTTTCAGTAGTTCAAATAGGCTGTGGTAACAAACATCTCCAAAGTATCAATGACTTAACATAACAAAGATTTGTTTTTCACTCATGGTGTATGTCCAACTTAAGTTGGCAAGGGGCTCTGATCACTAGTTACTTTAAGGACCAAGGATTAGAGAGGCTATATTACAAGTGCTTTTTTCTTCATGGGGTGAGGGGAGAAATGTGGATGTGGAGAACTGCATACTGGCTCTTATATTAATTAATAGCTTCTTTTTGGCTCTTATAGCTTGATGTTATTTTCACTTATACTTTCTTGGTCAAAGCCAAGTCTCATGGCCATGCCTAAGGTCAATAGGTGAAATTCAGTCATATCCTGTCTCTATCCCAGAAGGAAAGAAAATAAAAAAACATTTGGGAAGAACAACAACAATAACACCTTTATATCATATATGTGTGTATATGTGTCTGCTCTGCTTTGTTACAATAGAAACTAAGAAGGATTCTGTTGCTTAGTGACTCAGAGGAGCCAGAAGCTTGCTCAGCTTCTTTAGATGTTATACAAGTAATACGGAAAGATCACTCAAGCATATCCTTCTGTACTAAGATGGCAGATTTTCAATAAATTGTTGTGGAATAAATTGAACAACTTTAAAAAAAATAACTCATTACTCAGGAAAGAAAAAAAAGAATTAAGGGAAAAGATCAAGTTATATAAAATAACTGTCTCTAATTTTATCTTGAATTCACATTTAGCAACAAATAAAAATTACTCTTAGTTGGGACTTTTTGGTGTAATTTTTAAGCATTTTATTTTTCTTAATATATTATTGACAAAGGCATTTCTTTCCCCTTAAATATATTTTATATATTTGGGTCAAATACAATTTTTGGTGACTTTTCTTTATCATCTTATATTTTCAAAGATAAAAAGAAATATGATTTACTTTCATAATGAGTTTTATGGCTAACTTTTCAGAAAAATATCATTTACCTATTTCTTATAAAGAAGTATACACCATTTTTTGCAATGAATGTAAAAATTTTCATGAGTATGCTTAGATATAATACATTGTTAATTACATTTGATTTATTGCTATTATAATAATTGTACAAAAGATACAGCTATAATTTAGTTAGAAGCTAAAAATTTTCCATCAGTTTTATACAACAATTACTTTTTAAATACCCTCTATTTGTAAGATTCTCTGGGGGTCTTCGAACAGGGTAGTATATACACCCTGCCTTCAATAAGCCTATAATCTTGAGAACAACTTTTATAAAATAAAATTAGTATTTATTATGCTGCTATCATTATTATGTATAAAACTCTAAGTCATTGGTTTCAGTGTCTCTTTTAATACATTTTAGTATTAAATATTTTATAGGTTATGAGACGTCATGGGGCTCTATCTCAAGTGACTTTGTATTGGAACATAGAGTCTGATCCTGGTGGTGATCTCGCCTTTACCTCTGGCAACATCACATTTGAGATCGGGCAGACGAGTGCCAACATCACTGTGGAAATATTGCCTGATGAAGATCCAGAACTGGATAAGACGTTCTCTGTGTCGATCCTCCTTGTCTCCCGTGGTTCTCTGGGAGTTCATACTAATGCCACATTAACAGTTTTGGCTAGTGACGATCCTTATGGGGTATTCATCTTTTCCGAGAAAAACAGACCTATTCAAGTTGAGGAGGCAACACAGAACGTCACACTGTCAATAATAAGGTTGAAAGGCCTCATGGGAAAAGTCATAGTCTCATATGCAACTCTAGATGATATGGAAAAACTACCCTATTTTCCATCTAATTTAGCCAGAGCAACTCAAGGAAAAGACTATATATCTGCTTCCGGATTTGCTGTTTTTGGAGCTAATCAGAGTGAGGCAACAATTGCTATTTCAATTTTGGATGACGATGAACCAGAACGGTCAGAGTCTGTGTTTATTGAACTACTCAACTCCACTTTAATAGAGAAAGTACAAGATCGCCCAAGTAAGTACCTATTAGTATGTTATTATATCATTAGCCAAATAATAAATTTGAAAATAAAGAATGCCAAAATAATAAATTCTTTATTTAAGATAAAGAATGCCAAAATAATACATTTAGAATTGGGCATAATAGAAAATTCTATAAAAACAGTAAACTCTAACTTTGAAATCATTATCTTATAAAAGTATACCTGTAAAGGCAACTGAAAGCAGAACATTTTTTCTTAGAAATCATGTTTTAGAAGTCATTTATATTCTCATACTAAATTTAGAAGCTTGCATGTAATCCATATATAACTGACCTCTAGTACTATTGTACTATAAATTGTAGCTTTCAAAACATTCTGGAATCCATCTAGATAGTCCAAGGATAGTCCTAGTAGCAAGAGCCTGGGTCTCTCTTATCTTGATTTACTTCTGGAATATCCCCTAACCAACAGAAGCTCTTTGGATTAGCATGATCATGTGGATCTGACAAGTGTGTGAGGGAAGGGAAAGAGAGATGTGAAGCAGTAAGAAATCATGAAAATTTGTGAGGTTTGAGAAAGAGGCACTGATCACATTAAGAATAAAGAATGAGGAGTGACTGATATTGGGCGGAGGATCTGGTGCAGCAGCTTCTGCTGGAAAGTAGTGGCCACTCTCCTTGTGGTTTGGCCCAGTGGCTTTTGTAGAGGGAGTGGATTGGGTATAGGTAGGGAGCAGGACCTGGGCTTGTGGAGCAGAAAGCAGCTATTGTATTATAGCTTGTTCATTATTTACATTTTTCTAAGAACACATATAACTCCAGAAAAGTATTTTTACATAAAGAGAAGAATCTAGATTTCCTGGAATAAGGGAACAAATAAATGAAGAAATAGGGGTGGTATTAATTTAATGTCAATTTTAAGGCAATATGTTTAGGAAAACAAGTAAACCCTTGTTTAGGAAACTAGAATTACATAGCTTAAACTGTAAGATTCCAAGACCTGCATGTTGACTATGTTCTGCCATGTGGATTAAGCCTTTTTGCAAGTAAGTTTCTTTACCTTGCTGTAACACCTGGATGAATACACTGTATAGGGTGAGCAGCATTCTTGCCCATAATGTAAATAATTGTCCAGGGTTATAGAAGGAAATTTACTTTATAGGACAATTGCTAACATTAAATCTTCAGATTACAGTGAAGATTAAAAATTGTCACACAATACCCCTTCACTTCTTTTTAAAGCAAGATTTAGGATCAGTTATAATAGCAAAGAAATTAAAATAAAGCTCAATAATTAGTCCTATTAAGTAAGAATTATAAAGCACAGCCTGGTTTTCAAGGAACTCATAGTTTATTGAGATAGATCTAAAACCATGAGAGAGCATCACATGTAACTGTGGCTAGGAACTGTGGCTGTTGGTATCAAATAACTTCTGTTTCATTCTGTGGTAATAAACTATTGGACACAATCTTTTTAAACCCTAGTTTCCTTATCTATAATATTAATATATAAATATTATGGGAATTAAACATGGTAATACTGTATACTTAAAAATTACACATACGATATTACAAAATTACGAAGTTTACATACAGTGTCTGGCATGTGGTAAGCAGTCAATAAATGTGAGCAATTATTATTAATAAAGCTGTATATGCAGAATATCTATGTGCCGTGGGATGGAAGAAACAATCAACATGTATTTTATGCTTGATACATTCCTAGAACCATGCAACAGAATTGTGGCAATTCAGAACAGGCATAAAACTATGATGGGATAATTAAAGAACAATTAAGTGCAAATCTATGTGATATTGACTCAAATTTTAATAGGCAAAATCGGTATAGGACTTGATAGGGTCTTTGCTACTTGGAGTGGAATCATCAATTTTCATGATTAAGGAGAACAATGTGAAAAGACTGGCTGTTAGCACCTGGGTAAAGGGATAGGGCAGATGAACAAGCATGGATAAAGGTTCTATACCTGGTTTGGTGAGGAATTGTAGTTGGGGAGTAGGAAATTAGGCAAACTCTCACCACACACCTCTTGATCGTGTCCAGCATGTACCGTATAAGAACTTAGGTAATTTCTGCAATTTCTTTGGGCCTCTGATTCCTCATCTATAGACAGTTTTCCCTACTGCATGGAGATGGTGTGGGAATTAAATGACTAAATGCACAAAAAGCGCTTAGAACTCCGCTTGAATTATAGTCCACACTCAAAACAATGCCACCTGCTGCTACAACTGTCTATGTTATTGCCATTTTTCTAATTTATTTGAATTTAATTATATTATATTGATTTATAATTTATGGTTTTAACTATGATATAATTTGGGATGGGCTGGGCCCATATCATTGAAATTAAATGGTGTCATTATTGTGTTTAGATTAAATTTTCTGAAAATGTTAAATCTCATTCATAACCACTTACTTCCAAATACCACAATTGTTAAAGAGAATATGAACTCAAACTTTCTTTTACCTCTGATAGGAGTTTGTTTATGCTTCATTTGTGCTAAAAGGTCACTTTTATATTGTTTTGGCAAGGATGCTGGTTGGAGTTAAACGGAGAAAATAAGTCAGGGAGAGTTTATGGAGGACCCTAAATGCCTTCAAAATAAGTGTTGCTTTCTTTGAAATCAGTAGAAAGTAAGAAGGGAACTTGAGAATTATTGAACATTATTATAGCAGGGTTGATGCAGAATTGAGGTAGACTGATTTCCAGATGAGAGTATTAGTCCACTGGGGCTACTATAGCAAACTACCGTAAACTGGTAGCTTATAAACAAAAGAAATTTATTTTTGACACTTGTGTTGGCTGGTAAGTGTCAAGATCAAGGTACTGACAGATTTGATGTCTGGTGAGGGCTGGCTTCCTGGTTTACAGACAGTGCCTTCTTGCCTATGTCCTTACATGGTGGAAGGAGTAAGGGGCCTCTCTGTCTCAAGCCTCTTTTATGTGGGCACTAATCCCCTAATCCCTAATATGTGGGCTCCCTTCCCATAACCTGATCACCTACAAAAGGCTCCACCTCTTAATACTGTCACTTGGGGTATGGGATTTCAACACATGAATTTTGGTGGAACACAAACATTTAGACCATAGTGACAAAGTAGTAACTATTAACCTACATTTGGCAAGGAGGACAGATTTGTCAGGGATGACAGTGAAGCATTTAGAGAGGCAGTAATTTAGAGCAGTGGTTCCCGACCTTTTTGGAACGAGGGAATGGTTTCATGGAAGACAATTATCCAACGGACTGGGGCTAGAGAGGGATGGTTTCAGGATGATTCAAGTGCGCTACATTTATTGTGCAGTCAAACCTCTCTGCTGATAATAATCCGTATTTGCAGCTGCTCCCCAGCGCTAGCATCACTGCCTCAGCTCCACCTCAGATCATCAGGCATTAGATTTCCAGGAGTGTGCAACCTATATCCCTCACAGGAGCAATTTACAATAAGGTTCCCACTCTTATGAGAGTCTAATGTGGCCGCTGATCTGACAGGAGGCAGAGTTTATGTGGAGTAATGAGGAGCAGCTGTAAATACAGATGAAGCTTTGCTCCCTCGCCCACCGCTCGCCTCATACTGTGCTAATGGGTTCCTAACAGGCCAGGGACCAGTACCAGTCCACAGCCTGGGGGTTGGGACCACTAATTTAGAGTATGATGATTTGTAGCTGGTCTTTGAGGTAAGGGAACTGAACTACTTCCCTACTCAAATTTGTAATTGAAATGCTGTTTTGTTTTAATGGCATGGTGGTGAACTGATTAGAAGAGCATGGTTCTGTAGGCATCATCACTGTCTGTTGTAATATTATGTAAAGTGATGATTAATTATACTCTAATCATTTTCCCTTTTCATAAATTTCTAGTATATATTATTTAATAAAATATTCTTATAAGAAACTGTTTCTTTGCTATAGATTCTACATAAAAAAAACTTCCTAGAATGTAAGCTATAAGAGAGCGGGGCCTTTCTGTTTAGTTTATTTTTGTATCCCCAATGTCTAGATTACTGTTGGTACATATTAACCAATAAATATCTTTAAATATAAATAACAGAGAGAAGACACCAAGAGAATCTTATTTGGCTGATGAAATCTTGCTGAGGCTTGCTTCTTGATGACTTTTGGCTAGTTCTTAGAATTTCGATATATTAACTTTGTGTGTTCTGTTTGGATCTTTTACCTTTCAGTTCCAAATTCTCCACGTCTAGGGCCTAAGATAGAAACTATTGCCCATCTAATTATCGTCGCCAATGATGATGCATTTGGAACTCTTCAGCTCTCAGCACCAATGGTTCGAGTGGCAGAAAATCATGTCGGACCCATTATCAATGTGACTAGAACAGGAGGAGCATTTGCAGATGTTTCTGTGAAGTTTAAAGCTGTGCCAATAACTGCAATAGCTGGTAAGAAAAACTATCTAAGGAGCAGTACATGCAGATGGGCTACCCAAAGATGGAATTAGAAAAATCAACTAGAAAACTAGAAATATCCTTGTATCTTTTTAAAGGCACAAATCTAGAACTCATATATATTTGTGACACTGAATTTGTAGAATTTGTGAAAACCATTGGCAAAATTACATGTGAATTTAAATGCTATGATGACCAGACTATGCACAAACCAATGAAAAGTAGACTGAGGAAAACACTGGATTTCTCTGTGTGTACTTTTCATTTTTGAAAGGGATTCATGTGTAAATGACTAGCAAGGAATTCAAGAAAAAAAAGAGCATCCATGTGCTTTCAGTACTTGGCAACGGCATTGTCTCTGGACCCCTTTATTATGGTTGTTTATTTATTTATGAAAAACATGGAAGAGGCAATGGGCAGCATTAACTATTTTATGTGAGAACAAAAGGATTTCACCGCCAAATGCAGACATTAGGAGCCTGCCTACTTTGATAGTACAGTTCTGGCATCTAGAGGGAGATTTGCCTAAAAGATATTCAATTAGAATCTTTCTAGTGTGCACTCAGAGAAACAGGAATGTGAATGGAGGGGGTACTATGCCTGATAAAAATAAATCATTTGGACATAATACTTGAAAAGACTAAACCAGGCTCACTTGCTACCGACATGGGAATGTGTGTGTGCATGTGTGCAAACATGTGCATGACCATTTGGGGGGCTGGGGTAACCCCTAGGAATGCCTGCCTGCCTCTAGGGGGCCTCACACCTTGACAGAAAGTGGGAATTGGTTGGTGATCTAAGAAATTAGCTCCTTGTCTCCATAGGACGCACCCCTTTTTCCCCACCCACTGTCTCACCAGAAACAAAGCTCCTGCCACCGTGAGCGGTACTCAGTAGCAGTTTTAATCCAATTTGGTAGGAAAGCCTTTCATTTCCGGCTGTATCACTGATGATGCTAACATGCCCATGTATGTGTAACAGTATAATTTGTCTCTCTAGTGAGATTAGAATTCTTGTTCTGTTCTTTGTTCTAGAAGTGTTACATACATTTTTTTTTTGTAAATTAAGGGGCCATTTTGTGGTAATGAATGTCTCTCTCTCTCTCTCTCTCTCTCTCTCTCTCTCTATATATATATATATATATATATATATATGTATGTTTAAGTAGACCAAATAATGTACACATCTTTCTGAAAGTCAAAGAATGAACTTGAACACCCTTCGGAAGTCTTTTTCATTATTTTGTGATACTATCAAACCCATTTTTTCTGGTGAGAGAGGCAAAAATATTCCTGTTTAGAAAAAAAGTCAATATCCTCATAAAATTATTTCCAAGGATATCCATATAGTTTCATGGAATGTTTATTATATTTTGGGATAAGTCTTAGCATTTTGTCTTTTGTCTTTGCAGGTGAAGATTACAGTATCGCTTCATCAGATGTGGTCTTGCTAGAAGGGGAAACCAGTAAAGCTGTGCCAATATATATCATTAATGACATCTACCCTGAACTGGAAGAATCTTTTCTTGTGCAACTGCTGAATGAAACAACAGGAGGAGCCAAACTAGGGGCTTTAACAGAGGCAATCATTATTATTGAGGCCTCTGATGACCCCTATGGATTATTTGGTATTCAGATTAGTTTGCATCTCTCTTTTACTTGTCTGTATAGATCATAGCTAATGATCTTTTCTTTATTTGTAGAGACTCAGAATTGATTTGATCATGCTTACTTTTTTGATGTGCTGTTACTGATATATAGGACACCTGTGTAGAGTCATTGGTGGTGATTAGTTATTTTAAAAAGAAAGCAAATCAGCCTTTTAGCATATATATGGAAAGTATAAACTATTGGCTTTTGGATCAGATCTGAATCCCTTGTAAGTCTTGTAAGTGTTTTGTAAGTCTTAGGCAGTTCTTTAAAAAATTAATTTAATTTATAGAAATTTACACAAAAATTTGGATTTGGGGGCTTTCTTGATAAATAGGAAAATCTGACAACGTAGAGCTCCCTTTTCTGCATAGCATCAGTCCTAGGAGCAAAATAGCAACTGCCCGTCTGGACCAGGCTTGCACTGTGCAGTTAGCCACAGTGCTCACTGGATCTACTTTACTTATGTCGGGTATATACCTGACCCCTCAGAGCATCTGAGTTTCTGAGTTATGCTTCTATCACAGAGAAAAATAATTCAGAAATTTGGCAGGCCTGACCAATTTGTATCACAGCATGTTACTCTGGTTTTGCGGGGGTGTAGCTACTTAGATTACTTAGGGGGAAAAAGAATCTATAGGATGGCACTTGGTTAGCTCTATGTTAATTCAGTTTCACCTTGTACTTGAAATTAACTCTGCTCTGTCTACCCTTCAGGTTTTCAGATTACTAAACTTATTGTAGAGGAACCTGAGTTTAACTCAGTGAAGGTAAACCTGCCAATAATTCGAAATTCTGGGACACTCGGCAATGTTACTGTTCAGTGGGTTGCCACCATTAATGGACAGCTTGCTACTGGCGACCTGCGAGTTGTCTCAGGTAATGTGACCTTTGCCCCTGGGGAAACCATTCAAACCTTGTTGTTAGAGGTCCTGGCTGACGACGTTCCGGAGATTGAAGAGGTGAGAGGAATGGCTAGTATAGAATGACACTGTAAATCGTACCTTGTCTTATAGTGACTAGAACAGATGGTTATTGTTGTGACACTTTGGAGAGGATGTCAAGTAAATTATTTCTGCAAGAATGTGCAAACTGTGGTAGTGTGAAAGTGGTTCTTACAGTTGACAAAAGCAGGAATACTCTAGAAATAGATCATGTACATTTGCCAGTTTGCTATATAGTATAATTTTTTTTGGTATAGTTACATTGTATTATTCAATGTTTTGGTTAAATATATTTAATGGTATACATCTGTCATAATTTTTACTACATTTGTTCCATATAAACTCTTAATTTGTATCTTACTCCCTTTTGGCTTATATGTGAGCCAGTCAGTCTTAAGTATAGATTTTGGTTTTCCGTTCATTCACTTATTCTTCAACCATTGTTGAGAATTTAGTGTGTGACTAATACCAGGCTAAATGCATATTCCTGATATTTTTTTTTTACAATGAAGAAGCAAGGTGGCAAATAAAAATAGAGTATCAGTGGGAAAGTTGATTCATCACTAACATATATTAGCTGAAGATAATTTTATTTTATGAAATTAAAGTATTATTAAAGTCTAAATCTCATAAAATTACTTTTAACAGAATCTGTTCCTTAATAGTATCAGATTTTTATAGAAGAGCAGTCCACAAAATTTTTTGAATGCTAATTGTATCATTTTTTACTTCTAAAATATTAGATTTTTATTAATACATATAAAATATTTCTATTTCCTTTTCTCTAAATTTAAGTGGCAATACATTATAATGTTTTCTGTTTTAAATTTTGTCAGAAAATTTTCTGTATAAGATAATGTGGAAAATAAAGCATAATATATTCACTATCCATTAAAGAGTATGCACAATAATTTTTCCTAAATAAAAAAAATCAAAAGTATAAAAGTCATATTATTGAAATGATAAACATAAATAGGGATCTTAAAATTGATTCACACGATTATATAACTGAATATTAACAAATTTAAATAGCTTCTATTTCTCACATATAATAACTCACCATTATTAAAAGTTGATGATAGATTATTTTGTGACATGCTGGGTTTGTAAATATAATTGGGGGAGTTTCTTTGAGTCCATTTATATTTCATTCCATTTTGTTCATGTACTTGTATGTATATGTTTGATTTTTTTCCCTGTATCATTCTTATTCTAATTTCAGAACTGTGATGCTGTTAAGGAAGTTTTCACTGTATTTTTAGGTTATCCAAGTGCAACTAACTGATGCCTCTGATGGAGGTACTATTGGGTTAGATCGAGTGGCAAATATTATTATTCCTGCCAATGATAATCCTTATGGTACAGTGGCCTTTGTTCAGACGGTTTATCGAGTTCAAGAGCCTCTGGAAAGAAGTTCCTGTGCTAACATAACTGTCAGGAGAAGGTATAGGAGATGGCTACTTGCGTCTGTGGGAGTGATGGGAGTTCTGGGGTGGTGAGGAAGGACCCCTTGAACAATTAAACAATTTAGGTTTGGTGGTTTTTCCTTTCATAGGTTATTATAATGCATTAATTAAATCACACTTATTAATATAAAGAGCCTGTCATATTTATCATACATATGTTAGTGAAATGGGCAATATATTGTACATCATTGGACTTTCTAATCCCAGAAATTTATTTCTCTAACCTATGATTTTTTAGAATTTAAATATAACTAGTTTCTAAATTAAGAATACTCAGATGCTGTTTGAAGTGGTTGATTTTCAGGTTTTGCTTTCCTTGCATTTCTTTTGTAAGGCAGAATAGTATTCCTGAGCTCTTTCAGAAGTAGAAAATATAGGGTCTTGAGACCTTGTGGTAAATACTGTTGTCCCTCTGATATCTAAGGGGGATTAGTTCCAGGGATACCCAAATCCTTGGATGCTCTGATATCCATGGGGGCCCATATAAAATGGCATAAAATAAATGTGCCTATAACTGACGTACATCCTCCCATATACTTTAAATTATCTCTAGATTATTTATACTACTTTGTACAATGTAAATTCTATATATTGTCTTTTATTGTTGTGTTGTTACTTTTTATTTTTATTTTTTCCCAAATATTTTCCGTCTGTGGTTGGTTGAATCCACAGATGTGGAATACAAAGATATGGATATTGAGGGCCAATTGTAATTACATTTCCTCAAAATGTACTCATACAGTTATCGTTGTTACTTTGTTTCAGTGCAATCTAGTAATGAAAATCAGTTTTGTAATTTTGTTTAGAAATTCTGAATTTGTATACCTTGGAAGATATTTTCATCGCTTGGCTAAAAATAAGTATTGTTTGGTTGAAAACTAGCAAGGTTTCAGTATGTGAGAAAACAAAATGTTGAAAGACAATTGTAATTAAGAAGCATGGATGTGTTTCTACTAGTATTTTAATATTTAAAAAAATTTTTGAAAGCCACAATCAGCATTCCTATTCTCTATGTGCAATAACTTTGAGTGCTTAACCTGTCTTTTAATTGTTACTCCACATTTTAGCGGAGGGCTGTTTGGTCGGCTGTTGTTGTTCTACAGTACGTCTGATATTGATGTAGTGGCTCTTGCAATCGAGGAAGGTCAAGATTTACTATACTACTATGAATCGCCAATACAAGGGGTGCCTGACCCGCTTTGGAGAATGTGGGTGAATGTCTCTGCAGTGCGGGAACCCCAGTACACCTGTGCCACTTCGTGCCTCAAAGAACATGCTTGCTCAGCATTTTCATTTTCCAGTGCTTCTGAGGGTCCCCAGTGTTTTTGGATGACATCATGGAGCAGCCCAAATGTCAACACTTCAGACTTCTGGACCTACAGGAAAAACATGACCAGGGTAGCATCTCTTTTTAGCAATCAGGCTGTGGCTGGGAGTGACTATGAGCCTGTGACAAGGCAATGGGCCATCATGCTGGAAGGTGATGAATTTGCAAATCTCACAGTTTCTATTCTTCCTGATGATATCCCAGAGATGGATGAGAGTTTCCTAATTTCTCTCCTTGAAGTTCACCTCATGAACATCACAGCCAGTTTTAAAAATCAGCCAACCATAGGACAGCCAAATACTTCTACAGTTGTTATAGCACTAAATGGTGATGCCTTTGGAGTGTTCGTGATCTACAGTATTAGTCCCAATACCTCAGAAGATGGCTTATTTGTTGAAGTTCAGGAGCAGCCCCAAACCCTGGTGGAGCTGGTGATTCACAGGACAGGGGGCAGCTTAGGTCAGGTAACAGTTGAATGGCGTGTTATTGGTGGAACAGCTACTGAAGGTTTAGATTTTATAGGTGCTGGAGACATTCTGACTTTTGCTGAAGGTAAGTGATGGTTCTAAATGAATTTAAGTCCTTTCCCCCTGTAAAGTTATTATAGTCAATTTTTATGATAAAGTTCATAAGCATTCTTACTTACTATGTACATTCTTGCTAGTATGTAAAAGTGTAGTATGGCTTTGAAAAAAATATAAGCTAGTTGGCTTATAAATGGTTGACATGACATATATATATGCTGACATGACCCTACCGGTATAATTTTTTGTTGATTAAAAACAAAGATTTTCTGGGAATGTATGAATTGTGTATAACTTTATGTGTGATAGCAAGTGCCTTTAAGGAAATATCGAGGCAACTATAAGGTAAGTCCTAAGTTTGTAAGTGAAATTATAAAAATGAGACATGTACCTATAACCAAACATGTGAGTAAGAAGCAGTAGTAGCTAGGAAAAGGAGTATTAATTGGTAAGTATTTTCATATGCACTAGACAAATCAAAATATATCTTCAATGAAAATAATTTATAAATAAAAATAGTGTAAACTTTGGTGACTGCATTTATGTTAAATTAATCTTAGTGATAGATCAATTTATAATACTGTTCTTAGACTTGAATAGGATCACCATTGTAAATTTTCATAAACAATATTAATATAATGATATTTTACAAGGCCAACAAATTAGAATTGGGATCAGATTCACTGATTCTTTTTCAAAACTGGTTGAATCCTGTGATATTTAAAATTGGAAAAGTTCATATATTTAAAAGAGTTTTCTTCGGATATGGGAAAGATATCTTTACTGAAATAATTGTTTAAGTTTTGATCTGGGCATTTATAGATTCCACAAAGTTTTTTTAACAGTGTTTTTCTAATTGAAAAGTAATGTATACTCATAAAAACCTCAGGATATACACAAAATAAAGGAAATAAATGTTATTCATATCATAGAGCAATCCATTTTATCTATTTAATTTTTTAATGCATACACTTTTTTTGGGAAACTAATTAGGAGTTAGGGTACATATATAGTATATTTGAAAACATCTAATAAGCATTGTTTTACAGTAAATTTCTATAATGGTTATTTCCTATTTAATGATTTGGGGAATAGTGAGATAGTGGCATTTGATATGCTTGATGAAAGAGGGGGGCAGGTTGGTAATTGGTAACATTTCTCTTTATTTCAAAGGGAATAATGAAAATGTAGTGAGGAGGGAGTGGAGATGAAAATTTTCCCAATGGCTTTGGGAACTACAAAGAAAGTTATCATATAAAGTAATAGCGTTATATAGATTATTACCATGAATTGTAATTTTAGCATCACACAAATGGACTATTTTATAGCTCACCAAGATTCTTAGATAATGCATACTCTCTTGAGGCAATCTTGACACTACTGTATTGAGCAAAATGTACCAGGGTCATGAAAGAGAGAATATGCATTTAATTTCCTTCCTTTTCTTTTCTCACCGTTTCATCCTCTTTCCTGAAAGTAGGGAGAAATTAAATAGGAGACACCATATACTGAACAAGCAGAAATAGTATTGGGTTTAGGGACATTTTGTGGTGCCCTATGTACTAGTGGGGTCCTAGATCAAATTGCAAAGTAGATTGCTTGGCTCTTGTGGCTGCCACTCATCCCTTCGAATTCCTTTTTTTGCCTCCTTCGTTCATTGCATTATATCCTGTAAACTGATACTTGATGCCATCATCTCATCTAGGTACCCAAGATTCATTTCATTCAGGCTAGTTCTTTGGCTCAGAATTTTACTATTCCTTATTTTGACCACCATTCCCTAAGTATTCTTGTTTTTCTGGGTTGAATAATTGATTTAGTTTATTCATGGTAATGCCAGAGCATGAGACTACATTCTACTAACAGTGCTATTTCTAAACAGAAGATGCTCTCCCAAAGCTCTTTGCCTCGCTAAGTCATTGTTGTTGGCTAAAGACCAAGAAATAAAGTTATGAATCTTTGAAATAATTCTACTCTTTAACTTTTCCATAATTCAAAAATCATTCCCCACAATCAGTCTATATTTATGAAATTTTATAGTGTTTTGTATATGAAAGGATATATAGATGGATATACAAAATTTGCTTACAGTGGTACTAATATTGCTCACAATATGGAACTGTTACAATTCACTCACATATTTTTATTTAACTTTTAAAATATAAGTTATTTTGAGCCTTTCTGAGTTCTCTACGTTGATGATTTTGTTACCTTTTCTTATTCCATTGATTTTCTATAGGTGAAACCAAAAAGACAGCCATTTTAACCATCTTGGATGATTTTGAACCAGAGGATGATGAAAGCATCATAGTTAGTTTGGTGTACACCGAAGGTGGAAGCAGAATTTTGCCCAGCTCTGACACTGTTAGAGTGAACATTTTGGCCAATGACAATGTGGCAGGAATTGTTAGCTTTCAGACAGCTTCCAGGTCTGTCATAGGTCATGAAGGTAGGTTCCGTTTTTTGTCGAGCATATTCATTCTCTTTTCCGTGGATGTCATTTTTTGTCTAGTCTTTTAAAGCTTCTGACTTTTTTTTTCTTTCATTGTTTTGCTGAGCTATGTATTAATCTTCTTAGACCTTCTTTGGGAGAGGACTGGACTATACAGTTAACTGTGTAACTAGATTTAGGAGCTGTGTAGACTGACAATATATTCTAGCTTGCCACTCCCCACTGGTGTGATTTTTAAGGAAGGTAGTCAGACCTGAGATGCTCTGCTTTCTCGTCTGTTACATGACAGAAAAATATTACTTACTTCATAGATTCCTTTGTGAGGATTAAGTGATCTAATAAATGTAAAGTGCATAGTTCCTGGCAAGTGTAGAATGTGCTCAGTTTTAGCTGTTGATATTAAATAGTGAAGCACTGGCACCCAATTAAAAACAAACAATAGCTTATAATCAATGAATATTTAAACCTGGATTTTATATTTTGTTTGTATATTTTATGAATGAAGTGCCAAACTAGAAAATCTTATAAAATATCAGTTTGTTAAAAATTGAATCTCTACTTTATATTTCACATCATATGTAGAGTTTTGCAATATATAGGCTAATTTTTATGTGTTTAAAACTTAAAAATGTTTTCTGTCTTTGAATAAGCCTATTTTCAGAGAAAACAGGTATTTATAGCCTATATTTTACCACAGAGTTTATACTTGGAATTTAAAAATATAATTTTACCTTTAAGAGTTAAGAAATGAAAAGGATATAGATCATGTATTTGAATCTCTATTTTACAGATGAGAAAACCAAACTGAAATACAGATTAAAAGACTTGACTAGCTCAGACTGTTAATAGCTGTGCTAGAAACCGAATGCATTTTAGGGTGTATTGTCTTTCCCCTTATCAAACTCCCAACTTGCAAGTTTATTTAACTTATCAGCGCAAATATTTGAGACATTTTTCAACACTCTTTACTTTTATTAATGGCTTAGAACCGCATGTTGTCATAGCAGTAAATGAGTCAAAGTGACTAACAAATTGCTGTAAGTCTAACATAAAGACAGATCATCAACTATGGAAAAATTATTTGTAACATAGTACAAATAAAAAGTCACTGCTAGAGTAATTAATCTTCATAATAATGACAGCAATAACAACTTTTATGGACTGTTTTCTGTGTGCCGGACACTCCACACCCATTATTTCACTTAATTTTAGCAGCAGTCCTATGTAGTGGGTATAATAGTATACACCACATTTTCACATAGGAAACTGAATTTGAGAGAGACTAAATAGCACACAGTTATTCAGTGGGGGGGCTTAGACCCAGCTGTGTGGAATCCACAGCCCATGCTCCAGAGCACATTGTGAAGAGAGTTTGTTCTGCTTAAACTTGTGTCTGCTGCAGAACCTGACAATGCAGGAACTTTTGGGAAATATTTGAAGTGATTTGAGTTGGAAGAACAATGAATTTGAGTAGCAATGTCTATGTGAGAGAACCTGACTCTATCTCAGGATAAAGATGGAAATTGGATTTTCATAGATAATAGTTGAAATATGGAATATGAATATAATCTTTGTGGACAGTAGAGGAAAAGCAGCTTATTGAGAGCAAACCATTTGGAACAGTAGGTTAAGGTGCTAGGAAAGGAAGAAGAACTGAGAGGAGAAAGAGAAGTCTCTGCCAGAGAGGTGGGGAGAGATGGAGGAGAGAATGCATGTTCATCAGTTACCGGAAGCAAGTAATCACTGTGTCTCATACCAACAAGGCCAACAAGTGAGATTAGAGTCCCAACGAGGCCAGAGGAAACAGTAGCAATGGTAGAGAAATTTTGAAGGAGAATTAGGAATGGGAAGCAAATATCTAGGGATAACAAAAGGACCAAGAGGCCTTCGGGGATTGCTTTTCAGAGTGTGGTCCTCAGGAGGCTGCCCATATACAAAGTGTTTGCCACTGGTCTGTGACAGGAAGATTAGAAACCTTTATAACAATTTCACCTTGCTGTGATATCCAAAAGCAGTATCTCTGGGCTTCTATTCTATATGCTTATTTTTTCTTGCTATTTAACTTGTCTGGTTATTTGTTTTATTGTGTTTTACAAGAAGGCCAGTCTATGATGGATTAAGGCAAACAAAACAAAACAAACAAAAAGCCCTGGTCTTCATGGAAAAACATTTTGAGAAGCACTGCTCATTGGATATGACAGCAAGGAAAGGAGAAACATTGGATGAAAGAGAAGTATTTTGGATTTGTTTTTGTTTTGCTGAAGAAATACAGGAAGGAAAATCATGGAAAAGAAAGATAATCCAAGTGTTAGTGGTATGGACGATATAAATAAGATCAGAGACCAGGAAAGGTTAGATGAGATTTAAGGAGGAACTTAGAGATAGACTAGGCATGTGCTTTTCAATAATGTCATAGAACTTTTTTAAAAGAATACAAAAGAATCTGGATGTCCAGGATCAATTTAAAGAGATTTTAACTGTAAGGTAACTAGTGTCATGAGAGTGCATCCTATGAGAGTTTGGATGGTGGTAGTGGTGGATTGGAGGGCTCTGAAGGCACCAACGCCCTCCTGCTGAATACCACAACATCTTGGAGAACCTACAGACAGAAGTACCCACTTTCTCTTTGCCCTGGTCCAACTTCACCTGAAAACCACATTATGGCCTCTTCAATTTCCAATAGCTTGAATATCTATCTACAGGAGATGCAAAGAGGAAAAAGGATTAGTAATTAAATCAAATGTTCCAAGTGTGTTATTGGTTAAAAATCTGCTTTAGCATATCAATCTATGAGCATCAATTTGTTACAGGAAATAAAACACCAAATTGATTTTATTGCTAGCATAAATCTTCCCTAGATTTTTTTTTTATATTTTTCTAGATAAAAATTTGGGGAATTTCTACTTTTTACTTACTTTTCTTTTCCTTTATTCCTAAGCCTTTTCCTAGAGTCTAAATTAATTTTCTTTTTCAAAAATATATTGAACCTCAAGAATTCAGTATTTTGTGTATTTTTTATAGTACCATGAAAATTACATACAGAAATATGTATCATGATGAGTTTACCAAAGTGAATTAGTGAAAACTTCATGGTGATTCTTCAAAGATAACTGCTAAACAAATGGGATAAAAGTAATCACGCCATGTGGGCTTCTAACAGTGTTAACGTTGCTTTTGCCCTAATGTTGGAGTTTCATTTATGTGATTAGATTTAAAACGTGGACTATGCTGAACTTCTGGATCTAGAATGCATTTTTGATTCATGGGGAGGAATTGCCTTAGTCTTTAACAATGTATTGAATTCTGTAGAATCCGATTTCTACATTTTGTCCTAATGTAATTGGAGAGATGCCCAGTGGTAAATATTACTTTCTTTCAAATGTAATGGACAGAATTTAGAAATATGGGACAATGGGTTTTACTGTGGCTGCACATTGGGTATAAATGTGCTTTTTATAAATCTGTGCTCGATGTTTCACTCAGTCACCCACCTCAGCAGCATCATAATCATCATGTCATGTTCAATGGATTCGCAGTTTTTCTTTTTCTTAGAGACAGTATGAATCTTTTCTACACAAAGATTTGAACAAGAAATGCGATTCTTAAAAAAAAAATACATAGAACTGCTATGTTAGAAACACTCCACTCTTTTCTTAACTGTTTGTATTGGCAGTCTGTGCTTCACATTTTTCATATTCCTATAATAGTTTTTAACCCATTTTATTTTTGTTATTATAGGAAGCCATACATTTGGATAGTATATGTATGACATGTATACAAGTGTTTATTAAAATAACATATTTATTCTGTATTTTGGTTTTACATTATCTTTATACACATTGTAGTTGGTATCTGTAACTGTTCATCTTTGTAAAAAAATTCTGGTTTGGGGAATAAATGGATAAGGCACTTAGAGTGATTAAACAGGCCTGGATATCATATGATTGATCTGGTTTAGAGTGAAAAATGTGTCACCAACTTTTGTTGGACTGTGTGGATTTTATATTAATATAATTTTCCAGTAATGCAGTTAGACACTTTGGCAGTTGAGGTCTTTCATCCTGGGCAAAAACTACAAGGCAGTTTACTACCTAGTCAAATGTCATCTGAAAATTAGAACATACTCTAAGACTTTCTTCTGTCCTTTCCCTTAGATTTAAAAGACTAAGCACTTGCTTCTAATTTTTTTCCTTTTCCTATGACTGTTCTCTTTGATTCCGCACCCTGGTATAAGGTAGCTTTCCGGTTTAGCCAGTCATTTTTTCCAGGAGGCATTTTAAATGGACCTGCCTCGTGGGAGTGTCTGCTGTAAAGGGGCAGAACCAGTATTTCCATTTTGACAATTGCTTAGAAAAATTTTCACACTATTTGCTGTTGACATAATAAATTTGTAATAAACTTAAAAGATAGTCTGTTTAACAAATATTTTGTTTACCTTTTATTTATGTGTGCTTCTCTGTGTGTGTGTGTTTATTGTGCTTCAGATTATATTTTTTGTAAGACATTCTTGCAGGTTACTTCCATGGTAACTTGTTAAACTTTCAGAGGTGATATTAATTGAGTAGCATTAGACTCTGAGTATTTTTACGTGTAGTAAGTTTGTTAGAAGGTTTTACTTTTTTCTCTCCCTATTATTCCATTTTTGTTTTTACCATATAAGTAAAAAGTCTTTATGTTCAAACTTGCTTCTATTATGAATATAGGATCTCCTTCAACATGGATCTTTATTTACCTACATTTTGTTTTTTTGCTATTTGTGTTCTCTTTGCACTTTTAGCACCTGATCAAACTTCCAGAATTTTCTTTTTGAACTATTACCAGGTTTTGTGATTTTAAAACATTTGAAAACCATGCTAAACCTTTTCATTTGTGTCATCAGATAACAGTGTAGGTGAAACAGCTTAATGACTTCATAGATCTCTCTATGCTTTTCAGCAATAAACTCTTGTTTATCAGTAGTATGGACTGGCTTTATAAGCAATTCTGTATGTTGTACAATAGATAGACTCTGGGATTTTATAGTTTTGTCTATATTTTATTCATATGAGTTTTTCAGGTATATAAATTTTAAATGGTTTGTGAGCAGTTATGGCAGATTGTATATATCATAATTTTTGGACAGTCTATCTAGCAGTTCCTATGTTTTAAAAAATAAGTCAAAGACATGGACTACTAATGTAATGGAGACTAGTGATTTTTGTATTGAAACACTTGAAAATGTATTTAAAAAATCTTTCTAATGCTTTTGCCATCTTATATTCTCCACTCTCCCAAAATAATTCATTATATTAAAGTTATGTGTGTTTAAATTTAGTATGAAATATTTATTTTGTGTTTTTAAATTAAGATAGTCTCTAAATTATTTAGTCCATATTTTTATTTAAGAAAACTTCCTATTAAAATATTTGTTTAGGTGTATTCTTTTCAAAAATAAAAAAAGTGGTAGTTTAAAATATATTTGAAAAGAGTGTTTATATTTTATTGTTTTATTTCTACTCTCTTTGTTTAAAAATGTTGAAAAAAGTTATTTGGATGACTTAACTTTTATGTGAATATTTGTGGATTTCAACTGTATGTCTATGCTACACAGTTTAAATCAGTTTGAATAAGGATATGTCCTTTTAGAGCTTTTTAAGCATCACTGTGTTTATCTTTTCACAATTTTTCAGTGATATAGTTCATTGGTATTTCTTAACTTGTGTTCATCACCATCTAAAACTAGTGAATGGATCATATTTACAATAAGCCACATGGCCACCAGCATACTCCCCAGCAGCTTACTTTCCATTTTTAGCAATTTGAAAGAAATGACTATCGTGATTTTCTTCAATTTTACGAAGTATAACATGGAGATAAAAGCCAGGGATGAAAAATTTCTGAAATATTTAAATTATCCAGAAAGGATAACTGTAACTTTGGTGAAGTTACAGATGTTGATGTTCAGATTTGACACCTTTCCTTTGTATTTCTTTTTATAAAACAAATTCATTGATGGTATATGTAAGTTACAATCTAAAGAAATGTGATTTTCAGGTATTTGCAAGCATTTTTATGCATGCATTCTGTAAAATCACATTGCATATCAGTGTAAGGAATTTGTGTCCTTTTGAAAAGTGAAGGAAGAATTTACTTGTGTTATTAGTAGTTTTGATCATGAGGACTTTATACTTTTGTTTAATTTACAGAACACTCATGTTCTGGTGCATGTTTTGGAGTGTATAAAAGTTTGTGTTTCCCATTTTAGCATGTGCTTTTGTTAACTTTTACATATTTAATTTTCTGAAATTCTACTAAATGAAAGAATTTAGAAGTGGGACTCTGTGTTAATAAATAATAAGCATGTATAAAACTTCTAGAAAATTCAAAACAGAACAGCTTTATAATGTTCTTATAAAAGGTGCTGTAATAGTTGCATGCTTAGGGTTTGGGTTTTGTTGAGTTCAAATGTTAAGTTTATTTTCCATTAAGCATTTGTCAATCTGTACATTTTACTTGCAGGAGAAATTTTGCAATTCTATGTGATAAGAACACCCCCTGGTCGAGGAAATGTTACTGTTAACTGGAAAATTATTGGGCAAAGTCTAGAACTCAATTTTGCTAACTTTAGTGGACAACTCTTCTTTCCTGAGGTAATACCACAAAGAAAAGCTTTACAGTGAATATCTAGGAGAAAAAAGTGTATTTTGAGGAAAATGGCATAGAAAAATCAGCACCACTATCTTGTAGTTTTTATCTTTCTCTCTTCTCCACACCTCTTTGCTATAAATTCTTCTTTGATGATGTATTTAATTCTTTGTCTCTTCCTTTCCACTGCCTCAGTATTATGCCAAGCCCTTATTACGTTGGTTTTCTAATAACTGCTGTCACTGCAACATTGGCCTTCTTTTCCCTGCTCCGGTTTGTTCTATTCACCACTGTTGTAGAAATCTCTCCAACGTTTTGCTCTGTCTGTGATTTTCAATAGCACTACATTGCTTATTGAATAAGATTTACATTCATTAGCTCAGCATTCAGAATCTTCCACAATTAGCCCTTATCTCCTTTAAGCCTGGGTTCCCATGAATTCCATGGTTTTTATTTATTATTTTAAGCCACAGAACTCTTTGTTTAAATGAAAATATGTTTGGGTGCACGATTTATAAGGCCAATAAAAGCAGGAGATAGTTTGTGTTCAGTAACAACAGTAGAGGGATGAATTTCTTTCTGTTTGACATAGGGGTCATTGAATAAAACAATATTTGTGCATTTGTTGGATGACAACATTCCTGAGGAGAAAGAAGTATACCAAGTCATTCTGTATGATATCATGACACAAGGTAATTTAGAATTCAATTTCAATTTCTTTTGTACATTATTTTCAGAAAGAAAGAAGCAATAATTGCTATCTCTGAATTTAATAATTACATACTAATTTTGAAATATTACTTTAAATATTATCTGTCCCATAGACATATTAGATCCAAAAAATATTAGCACAGTTGGGAATACTTAATCTTTATGGAATCAAGAAAAATCTTTGGAAAGTTTTGCAAAATAGTTACTTATAGAGTAAAATACATTTCTAAAGGTAGGATTTTTTTGAAGTTAATTTTAAACAGACAGATCCATTTGGATTTTGGACCAATTATATGGACAATTTAAATTTAGTCCTTTTGGAGCAAATTATCTAGATACCTCAATTTTTACTCAATTTCTGTAATTCAGATAACCAATATAGCCAATAATGACAATATAGGAAGTGAAAAATTTCATGAATTTCTGTTTGGAAGAAAAATTAAATGTGGGTTCTGTTTACCTGAAAATCTCCCTTAATGAAGTGAACGAAATGGAACAATTTTTGGTTACTTTAACATGTTTCAGGGAGTGGGGTTATATTTTAAGTATTTAAAAGCTAATACCAAATCACTGTTAAATGTCTCGATGTGGCTGGTCCCTGACGTTTTTAGGAGTTCCGCCGGCAGGAATCGCTCTGCTTGATGCTCAAGGATACGCAGCTGTCCTGACAGTGGAAGCCAGTGATGAACCACATGGAGTTTTAAATTTTGCTCTTTCATCAAGATTTGTTCTACTACAAGAGGCTAATGTAACAATTCAGCTTTTCATCAACAGAGAATTTGGATCTCTAGGTTTGTGTTACTCTATGAATGAGGTTACCAGGCGAAAGTGTTTTAATATTCACCCTGTGTGGATAACAGTTGCTAAAATAAATCAGGGATAAGAGAAAATGAGTATTTCTTAATTTAGGACAAAACTTTAACAACTTTTATTTTTGAAAATATTTTTTAAAGCATCTGTTTTCACAGAAATGCCGTGTAACTAACAATCATAAAATCTCAGCAGTATGTATACCCACAACAGGCTGGTTGTGGGTCCGCTACCGTAGGCTGGGCTTGGCAGTGGTGTCTCTGCTCCATAGGTCTGTTATTCTTCTGCTAGAACAGTAGTCACAAGAGAACAAGCCGAAACAGGCCCCCTGAGGTCTAGGCTTAGAACTAGCACATCATTACTTTTACCTTATTCTATTGGCCCAAACAAGTTATACAGCCAAATTCAAAGTCCAGAGGCAGGGAAGTATTCTTTTCCCACATTGGGACATCAGTGAGTCATCACGTTGTGAAGATCATGGATATGGGAAGGGGTGAGGAATTGGGGCCAAAACACTAGCTACTGAAGGTGCTTTTAGAAAAGGCAAAAAGTTCACAATTAGGCAAAAGTTTAAATAATTATAAAATCTTTTTGCGACCAACTTAATTAGGAGCTATCAATGTCACATATGCCACGGTTCCTGGAATGTTAAGTCTGAAGAACCAAACAGAAGGAAACCTAGCAGAGCCAGAAGTTGATTTTGTCCCTGTCATTGGCTTTCTCATTTTAGAAGAAGGGGAAACAGCGGCTGCCATCAACATCACTATACTTGAGGTAAAACTCTTATGTTATTTTCCTGTTATGTATTAAACCTGAGGTGACCACACAGAAATAGGAAGAATATTCTGTCTATAACATAGAAGTAATAACGTTTAGTGAGAGATTTCTAATAACATTGTATTTTAAGACACCAAGCTTTGTGAAGACTAAATGTACCTGGTGGTTCTATTTGTAAAAAAATATTACTCTTCCTCTAATGTAAGGTTTGGATAGTCTGTAACTATAATGCCCAGAAATTGAGTGAATTCATTTCTGATTGGTTCCCCCTGCTGATAACTTTAAATCAGCTTACTTATTCTTTTTGTTATTATTTTTTAAGTCTCAGATGGTTTTCTGTTCCTATTTAGATAGACTGGCCTGCTGTTGTGTATTTTATTATAGAGATATCTTGTGATAAAGAGAGTTTCTTTAGGACAGTCCCTTTTAAGATGGCATTGGCCTAAGAGATTTCAAAGGAGTGTTTTGATTTCTCCAAAGGATTCATTGGACCAACAAATCCATGTAGGTCAGAATCTTTGTTAGTAGTACTGGTAATTAGAGATAATGGGGAAACTCACTGGAAACTGATGGCATAAAATGTGATTATGGTCAAACTTAAAGTGATCATTGGTGGCTGAAATCTCATTTTAAATAATTTTTCATATTGTGGAATCTTGTGCTGTTTTGGGACTTAGTGTTTCAGCTACCTAAATACATTTCCAAGAGGTTTATAAAAATCATACATATGCAGGGGGTAGGAAATGGTATGTGGGGATGGGAATAGGGAAAGTGAAAGAGAGAATGAGTATTGAATTTGAAAAAAATATTTTTCAATTACTATGCATTTTGAGAGTTTACCTTTAAAATGTTTGTATTCTCCTGGAGGCTTTTGCTATTACAAAATTAGAAGTAGTTTAAGCCATCTACCATCTGAATTCAATAACTCTTATTTTGTTGATTACCATGGCACTGTGACCTAATATAATATTATGAGACCTCAAAAGCCATAAAATAAAAGGTAATATTATGTCAGTGTGTGGCATATAATGCAAGATTTAAACTTGTAGGTAAGTCATCTTTCAAATGTATACTCTATTAATGTGACTGAATATAAATAAATGGATTGATTCCTTAGCTATGGTAGTTTCTAAAGCAAAAAATATAAAGTCACCCTTCTATTCATTACAGAATCTAATTTTTTGAATAAGGGGTGTTCAGTTCCACCTTTCTTTCTCCCTAGCACTTTGCAATCCTTTCTGAATAGCACTAGATTAAGGGACTGCAGGCCTATACATACAGAAGTAAGCCACCCTGGGGAGTGGTAAGGAGAGAGTTGTTGAATGGGGTGGAGGACAGAGGAGTAGGTGGAGGTAGTCCTTCTGTATCACTGTTCTGTAACTCACATTGGTCCATATATTACATAAGATAGTCTAGAGACCATGATCTTCACTTTATTTTTTCACTGGAAACATATCTCCATTAAATAAAATGAAGAGAAAAGCATGTGTTGGTGGGTATGTGCTGATATCATATATGTGTATATATATGTGCACACACATTGGGTTTCTATGTAAATATTGGTGGGTAGCTGGTAATGCCTAACATGAGTTTTGCATGGGTTTTGCTAACCCCCCGGGCACCTACTTTGTTTTCATTGCTATTATATGGACTAGTAATTAATAATAATTGTTATCATTATTAAAGCATTCTCTCTAGGCCAGGCAATCTACACACATTATTATTAATCATTATTACAATGCTCCCCCCAAAGTAGCTATTATTTTTCCCATTATACAGATAGTAGACTTGAAGTCCTAAAATTTAAGTAACTCACCTAAAATTACAGAAATTTGGTACTAGGTCTCTTTGACTCTAAATCACCCTCCTTTTTTATTCATGGTATCATTCTATTCCTCATTCTAACATGGGATAGTAAAGTAATTTAAAATCTTTTGCTCATGTTATATTTAAAATAATTAGGTTTATATATTTATATAATTGGTTGACATATTATGTAAGTCTAGATTAAAATGTTATATATAATATTTAAATGATTTCATATGGTTCAACCTAATAGCTTTCTACATAATCAGGTATAAGTTCAATACTTTTATGTTTACTTTTCCTAAGTTAAATCTTTTCTATTTTATGGTTGTAAAATAGAAAATTTTTGTATTTTATTTTTGTCTACTGTTTAAATGTATAAACTTTTAAATGTATAATTTAAAAAACAGTTTATGAAGAGGTAATTACTTTGAGAGCATAATTAAAGGAATTTAATTGGTATAAATTTTGCAGGATAATATACCAGAGCTGGAAGAATATTTTCTGGTGAATTTAACTTATGTTGAACTTATCATGGCTCCTTTAACTTCCTTTCCTCCCAGACTAGGTATGATGAGTTTTTTGTTTGTTTGTTTGTTTCTTTCTATTCACTTCAAATTAAGTAAAGGAACTTCATTTTTTAACCAAAAGTGATTATTTTGATGTTTGTTAATCTCGGTGGTGTGTCAAAATATGATGGGCTTTTATATTTATTTTTATTTAGAGACTATCGTATATTGCAATTTTTACATTAGACAGTATAAAGACACTAAAAATTGTTGTGTGATGCTCTTTACATTTTACAACTATTTTATAACCAAATTTGTATCCTCAAAATAGATTTTGTTCTTTGGTAGACATATTCCTTTTATTTTCTTTTAATATTAGCTATTTTCATTAGGTCTCTAAACTATCAGATGATTTTATTTTCTTTTAGTTTGTTCCTTTGTTTGTTGTGTTCTATGCTTCTTTTTTGACCTTTTATCTTTTTCTTTTCATGCCTTTAGAAAAGACTCAGTTAATTCATTACAGACTAAAAGGTAAAACTTGAACCTTGGTACAAATTTACGTAGATTCCTTTAAAAAGATGTATTCCTATGTTTAAACACAAACTCCTGTATGCGATTTAGGTATTTATTGATGGGAAATTTTGTCTGAAGCTTGTAGGTGCCATAGCTCAATAGAGGGTGGTGGTGAGTTGGTTGCAAAGTGTGCTTGAGAGGGGGGAATTAATCTGAGTTAAAGGAGGAGAAGCTTGACCAAGAACAGTGGCCTGAGGAGCAGTCATTCCTCATTCACTTCTGAGGCTCAATGTGACAACTTTGAAAATACTGAAAGGAAATCATCAGTTTCTGACATATTATTGTTTGAAAAGTATCATTTCTTTTGCAAAAGACGCAGATGATTCTAATGGCTAGGCTGCTTACATCAAGTATAATCACAGGATAATTGTTGTTCATGCTAAGAAAACTAACCAAATACTTCATATTTCTTTCATATTCACATTAGAGGTAATCTGAATAGTTGAGTTTTGTGTGAGGCTTTCTAATGCCTCTGTTTCAAATACTTTGTATGTGAGTACTATCAACTTAGATCTTACCATTTAATAGATGTGGTAGCTGAGGCTAAGAAAAGCTAAGTAACATGCCTCAAAATCACACAGTTAGGACGTGGTAGAACTGGCTTCAATGGCATGGTTTGATTTTAGAATCTCTGCTTTTTAGCCTTTAGTCTGATGGGCACAAACTCTGATTTTATATTGTTTTCCTGGACAGTGTTGTTCTTTTCACTCTAGAGAGAATTATATTCTTCCTTTCCCTTTTTTTCACCCAGGAAGCTGTCCTAAGTTTCTTAGATCTCTGAAATTTAAAAGATAAAGCATTAAAACAAACACACAAAGCAGTAACAGAGTTAGTTAATATTTCAAGACTGAATAGGAGGTATTGGTAACATACTGAACTTGTTGCTCAAAATACAAAATAAAAAGGGATATGTTTACTTCAATATTAATCTCCCTTTATTTCACCAAACCTTTTCCCCATTTTCCTACTTGTCTTAGCATCTTTTCTTATCCCTGTCTCTTTCCATGTCTCTTTGTACACCAGTATTTTCTCTGCACTACTCTCTACCTTTCTCCTCCCATTTCTTTTTCCTCTTTTCTTGCTCTTTCTACTCTTTCCAGTTGTCTCCATTTTACATTCCTCCTGAAATGGTGATGTTGTAGAATAGCGATGCCAAATATATTTTAATTGATTAAAATAATAGAAGCAAAACCATAACCTCAGTGGCTTGTTATTTCATGCTGTACTCTGTTGATTAAGTTTCTGTTAATCAGTGACTCTTGTCAGCAAACAGTGTCCTTATTCAGATGTTACAAGCATTTGTGTCTTTACTTTCTTAACCAACTTTTGAGTAATGTTGACAATACCTATACATTAGGAATTATATAATCTTGAAAGGACTGCCTTTAAATTTTATATTAAAAGCTGCTTTTTAATCATTTATATTTATTTTAAAGTATGTTTTTATGTTTTTGCAGATGCAGAAGGCTTGACTGCGCAAATTATTATTGATGCCAACGATGGCGCTAGAGGTGTCATTGAATGGCAGCATAGCAGGTGAGGCCAAGGCTGTGCGAGAGCCCTTTCTGAGTTTTGGATTCTTTACTATCTACCAAATAAAAGCTTATAAGGGAAAAATGAATGTATTCCTTTTACTTTATTATAGGTTTGAAGTAAATGAATCTCACGGAAGTTTAACATTGGTAGCCCAGAGGAGCAGACAGGCTCTTGGCCATGTTTCCTTGTTTGTGTATGCTCAGAATCTGGAAGCACAAATGGGGCTGGATTACATCTTTACCCCAATGGTGGGTCTCGAACTCTATCACAGATGACTTTTGCAAATTAATCCTTAGTCATTATTTATTTATTGAGAATTACAGTGATTTGGGTCCTGTATACAGAAATTAATCTTAATAAACTCTCATATATTTTACAGTGAATTAGAGCAGATTTCCACATGATGAAATAGTTCCCTTCACTACTTTAGTAAATAATATAAAGTGAATTTTTAGTACTATTCTAAAGATTATTCTTTATTCATTAACTATTTTGTTTCAATATTTGATATTAGAGAACACAAGCTATTGTGTTATAGAATTTTTATCATTAGAGGTCCTTCTCAGAGTGTTTCTTATGCTTCTTGAAAATTTTAACTCTTTGTTTTAACTTGCGGTAACACCTTTAGTGTTTTAAAATACTTTTTACTTTCTCTCTTCGTGCCTTTTATTCCTTCACCAAATGTTTACTTTCTTCTTTTCCTAATAACTTTTACTTTTTAAACTTAATATTGCTAATTTAAAGAAAAAGATATTATGCAAAAAGTAAAGAGGAAAATTTCCTGTAAAGAAACTTATTTTTCACATTCATAACTATATTGCATTTCTTTCCAAACAGTGAGTTCTATAAAACTCACAGTTATTGAAATATAATACTGTCTACTTTTACCTTTTTGATCAGATTCTTCATTTTGCTGATGGAGAAAAGCATAAAAATGTTGACATCATGATTCTTGATGATGGCATTCCAGAAGGAGATGAAAAATTTCAGCTGATTTTAACAAATCCTTCCCCTGGACTAGAGCTAGGTGAAAATACAATAGGTAATTGGCAATTTTTCATACACAGTCTCCTCTTCCTCATGCTGGTTTCTCTAATATGGGGCCAATGTAAAGGGATTAGAGCATCTTGATGGTTTTCTGTGATTTGAATGAAAAATATTTTACATTAAAGCATTTCAGAATTTGCGTATCAAAGTAACAGTGCCTCTAGCCTGTGTGTATTAGTGTATGTGTCTGTATGTAAAAAACAAAAACAGTAGGTTGGTACTAAAGATAAATTAAATAATTTCCTCAGTTATTGTAGATTTATTTAATTTGTAGATGTCTTTTCTTTGTAATTTGAGTTACTCTCTGGGTTCCTCCTTGGCAAAAGAAGGGGTGACAAAGGTAGCTCTCTTAGTGTCATCTAACTGCTGTAGTATTTCCTCATGGAGTTCAGATGTACCTCAGACAAATTATGGGAGCCATAATTCTTTGGTTGGAACAGTTTGATATTGTTACTATAAGTCGCTCTGTTTCATTACCTGCTGACTGTTTAGAGAAGGGAAGAAAGAGAGAAAGGAGAAAACCTCAGGAACATACAGAACTTTAGAGTTGAAAGTGCTCTTAAAAAGTCACTTCATTTCCTTCTCATGATAGATAAGCCAAGTAGATTTCAAGGACTGAGTGTTTACTGACTCTTCAAACTCTTATTTGAGCTAGTGGTTGAATGTTCTTTGGGATTTTTAATGAAATTAACATATGTATTCTTAAATTATTGGACTTTATGGAAATATGTGATTTGTAGTGAAAATGTGAAAGAATTTTGAGTAACCCAAGGACTGATTTTACTTTTATCACTATATTAACAAAACAAATTGGTATTTTTAAGTCTCCAGAAAACTTTTTTTGAAAGTCTGTTGCCATTATTTCAAATTTAAAGAGTGTACATTTGAGATAAAATCATTTGCTTGTAAAGCATGGTGTATTGTGTGTAAAAAGTTGCAGGAATAGATAATATGTGTTGGTTAAAAATCATCTATGTATATTTCATGAAATAGGAAGAGTGATCAAAAAAGTCATCTATGTATTAATGAGAGAAAACCCAATTCAAGCATATCTAAACAAAGATAACTTATTGATTCATTTAATCTGAGAGTCCAGAGACATATGGCTTTAGATGAGGAGGGACCAGGACTTACTGCTACCACTGACCCTCTGGCTTCCTGTCTTTTCTCTTTGCCTTTGGAATATTGGTTTCATCACAAGGCTAATGTTACTCGTTGTCACAAGATAGTAATCAGGATCATTCTTCTGCATTCCACTTAACAGGAAAGAGAGAGTGTTCAAATTCAAGCATTCTCAAAAGGTCCTGATATAAATCTGATTGGAATTATGTAGGTTACTGCTCACAACCATGAGTAGGAGGAAGGAATGTATTATTGGGTTGTCATGTTTATTTTGTAATTTTCTATTTTTAAAAATTAAAAAATTCCTCAGATCAATATGCACCTTGATGGGAGTAATTTCTTGTGCCTCATTGATTGACCTTAAGATGATTTCCAAACTTTCAAAATGTTTCACTAAATATCCTTCTATATAAAGCTTTGTATATGTGGGTAATTAAGATTATCTGTTGAGTACAGTAGGTGTTGAGTGGAAAGGACATCACACCAACTGCCTTCCATATTACCTGCACCCCCAAAGTGTGCATATGCATTTGTTGTTTTTCCACATCCTCACCAGCAATTTCTTTAGTCTTTAACATTTTTAATATCAATTCTAATGAATGAAAACTATGTGGTTATATTGTGCATTATTGTGCATTTTTTTGTTCATTTTTCTGTTTATTAGTGAGTTTGATACTGGTTAGTTGTTTTTTACTTTGTGTGATTCTGTTTTTTTATATATCTTATGCACTTTCCTGTGGTATGTGCTTTTATTGGTTTGTAGGAATATTCATATATTCTGCATTCAATCCTTTCTTCTTAAATGTATTGCAGATATTTATCCTCATCTATAATTTATCTTTTAAGTTTATTATAGTATATTATTATTATAAATATTTTAAATTTAAAATACAAAGTATTTTAATATGTTTTAAAATTATAGTTATTTAGGTCTTTTTCACCAAGATGCTATAAAATATTTTAGTATATTTTTCTAATATTTTCATAGTTTTGATTTACATTTAATTATTTAATATACAAGGAATTTATTCATTGGTTGTGTGTGAGGCAAGGATACAATTTCATTTTTCTCCTAAAATGTATAAATCAATATCCTAATGTTATATAGATGACAATATCCTAATCTCATTTAGAGAATGGGACATCCATTAGCCATTAATTTTCAATGTGAAATTTCTATCTTTCCTTCTTTCCTTGCCCCTTTGCTGGTCTCCTTTCCTCCCTTCCCTTCCTTCCTCCCTCTTTTCTTCCTTCCTGTCTTCCTTTCATCCATCTATCTGTCTTTTACTGAATTCTGTTCTGTTCTATTTGCCCATCCATGTGCTAATAATATGCTGTTTTATTTATCATTACTTTAAAGTATATTTTGGTATTTCTTAGGCCAAATGCTTTTTCCTTTCTCTAAATTACCTCACTTATTCATTCAAATGGTCTATTCCGTATAAACTTGAGAATCAATAAATTGAGTTCCCTTAAAAAACTGTTGGGTTGAATTGAAATTTCAGATCAATTTGGATGGATTTGACATCATTATAATATTGAGATTTCCCATGTAGAAATATGATGTGCCTGTCCATTAATTTAGATCTTCTTTTATATCAAAGTAAACTCTAAGACAAGGGTTTGATGGATGTAGCTTATTTGAGAGGTGGTCTCTGGAGACATGGTGAGAAACGAGGTGAGACAGAAAGGCGATAGAAGTTGTGCTAGTGAGTGCTACAGCTGTGGGAAATTGAGACTCAGCGCTGCTGGATCCTTCCCAGGCGCCACGTTGAACCAAGCTCAGGGCTGTCCCAAGGAAGAAAGAGGGAAGGAAATCTGGGCTATTCAGTCACCAGCCCCTATCCTTAATCATTTGAGGGTCACTCTTTGGGTGTGAAGTCTCCAGGAGTTCTGGCCTGACTCCTGCTGGGCTGATACTGTCCTCAGGTGGAGAGAGACCATTAGGCAAATAGGAACTGCTGCAGGTGATTGGAGATTACAAGGGGATTTAGGTGAGGCACCCACAGCATCTGCCACAGTCACAAAGTAAAATTGTGTGATTTTCTTCATATAGGCCTTATAGTTTTTCTGTTGGGTTAATCTCTAATAATTGTTGCTATTGTGAATGAGGTCCCTTTTCAGTTACATTTTTCCAATAGCGATTGCTGATGTAGAGAGATATTATACATCTTTAAGAATAGCTGCTCTATCTGAAATAGAAACAGCAATTAAAAATCTCCCTAAGAAGAAAAGTCCCGGTCCAGATGGTTTCACACCCGAATTTTACCACACTTACAAAGAAGAACTAGTACCTATCTTGCAGAAACTATTCCACAACATTGAGAAGAACAGAAACCTCCCCAACACCTTTTATGAAGCGAATATTACTCTGATACCAAAACCAGGAAAGGATGCAACAAAAAAAGAAAACTACAGACCAATATCCCTAATGAATATAGATGCAAAAATTTTCAACAAAATCTTAGCTAACTGAATCCAGATGCTTATCAAAAAAATAATCCATCTCGACCAAGTGGGCTTCATCCCAGGGATGCAGGGATGGTTCAACATACGTAAATCTATAAATCAATTCACCACATAAACAGAAGCAAAAACAAAGACCACATGATTCTTTCAATAGATGCAGAAAAAGCTTTTGACAAAATTCAACACCCTTTCATGATACGAACACTTAAGAAAATAGGCATACAAGGGACATACCTAAAAATGATACAAGCCACATATGACAGACCCATAGCCAACATCACACTGAATGGGGAAAAATTGAAAGCATTCCCACTTAGAACTGGAACCAGACAAGGCTGCCCACTATCTCCACTTCTATTCAACATAGTGTTGGAAGTCCTGGCTACAGCAATCAGACAGGAAAATGGAATTAAAGGTATCCAAATAGGGGCAGAAGAGATCAAACTTTCACTGTTTGCTGATGATATGATATTGTATCTAGAAAACCCCACCAAAGATTCAACCAAGAAACTCCTGGAACTGATCAATGAATTTAGTAAAGTCTCAGGATACAAAATCAATACACAGAAATCAGAGGCATTCATATACGCCAACAACAATCTAATTGAGAACCAAATCAAAGACTCAATTTCCTTCACAATAGCAACAAAGAAATTAAAGTACCTAGGAATATACTTAACCAAGGAGGTAAAAGACCTCTACAGGGAGAACTATGAAACACTGAGGAAGGAAATAGCAGAGGATGTAAACAGATGGAAATCCATACCATGCTCGTGGATTGGCAGACTCAACATCATCAAAATGTCTATACTACCCAAACTGATCTACAGATTCAATGCAATACCTATTAAAATCCCATCAGCATTCTTCACAGATATAGAAAAAATAATTTTACGCTTCGTATGGAACCAAAGAAGACCCCGAATATCAAGAGCAATTCTAGGCAACAAAAACAAAATGGGAGGCATTAATATGCCAGATATCAAACTATACTACAAAGCTGCAGTAATTAAATAAATCTGGTATTGGCACAAAAATAGGAATATTGGCCAGTGGAACAGATGTGAGAATCCTGATATAAAACCATCCTCATATAGCCATCTAATCTTTGACAAAGCAGACAAAAACATATGCTGCGGAAAAGAATCCCTTTTCAATAAATGGTGCTGGGGAAACTGGATAGCCACCTGTAGAAGGCTAAAGCAGGACCCACACCTTTCACCTCTCACAAAAATCAACTCATGCTGGATAACAGACTTAAACCTAAGGTATGAAACTATTAGAATTCTAGAGGAAAATGTTGGAAACACTCTCCTAGACATCGGCCTAGGCAAAGAGTTTATGGAGAAGTCCCCAAAGGCAATCACAGTAGCAAAAAAAATAAATAAATGGGACATGATCAAACTAAAAAGCTTCTGCACAGCCAAAGTAGTCATGAAAGTAAACAGACAACCTACAGAATGGGAGAAAATTTTTGCATCCTACGCATCCGATAAGGAGCTGATAACTAGAATATACTTAGAACTCATGAAAACCAGGAAGAAAAAATCAAATAACCCTATTAAAAAGTGGGCAAAGGACTTGAACAGAAACTTTTCTAAAGAAGACAGAAGAATGGCCAACAAACATATGAAAAAATGCTCAACATCTCTAATCATCGGGGAAATGCAAATCAAAACCACAATGAGATATCACTTAACTCCAGTGAGAATGGCGTTTATAAAAAAGTCTCCAAACAATAAATGCTGGTGTGGATGTGGAGAGAGAGGAACACTCCTACACTGTTGGTAGGACTGCAAACTAGTTCAATCTCTGTGGAAAGCAATATGGAGATACCTTAAAGCGATACAAGTGAATCTACCATTTGATCCAGCAATCCCATTGCTGGGCATCTACCCAAAAGATCCAATGACACTCTACAAAAAAGACACCTGCACTCGAATGTTTATAGCAGCACAATTCATAATTGCAAGGCTGTTAAAACAGCCCAAGTGCCCATCAATCCAAGAATGGATTAATAAAATGTGGTATATGTATACCATGGAGTACTATTCAGCTCTAAGAAACAACGGTGATATAGCACATCTTATATTTTCCTGGTTAGAACTGGAACTCATACTACTAAGTGAAGTTTCCCAAGAATGGAAAAACAAGCACCACATATACTCACCAGCAAACTGGTATTAACTGAGCAGCACCTAAGTGGACACATAGGTACTACAGTAATAGGGTATTGGGCACGTGGGAGGGGGGAGGGGGCGGGTATATACATACATAATGAGTGAGATGTGCACCATCTGGGGGATGGTCATGCTGGAGACTCAGACTTGTGGGGGGAGGGGGGAATGGGCATTTATTTAAACCTTAAAATCTGTACCCCCATAATATGCTGAAATAAAAAAAAAAAGAATGTCTGCTTTAAAGCAGACCTTCCTGGTGTTGTGCACTGGGTCTGCCATTTCCTAGCTTTCAACTTCTTCCAATTATACTTGTCTGTGTTTCAGTCATAGGTTCTGTAAAATGTAAATAATAATAGAATCAACTGTGTAGGATTATTATGATTAAATGAGTTAATATAGGTTAAGCAATTAAGCTCTTAGGAGTATTAGTTATTGCAGTTATTATTAATATTATTAGTGACAGTAGAAAATAGAAAGCTCTTGATTTTTGAAGGTTGCTCAGCTTATATATTTTGAACTGTTATTATAGCTGTAGTCATTTTTTCTCTTGCATTGTCTGCTTAGATAATTATGTTGTCTAGAAAATAGCGACACTCTGACTCTTTCTTTCCATTACTTTTACCTGTGTTACCTGGCTGATAGCACCAGAACAACCTCGAATAGTAGCAGTGAAGACAGCTATTATTGTCTTGTTTCTGTTTTTTAGTGGGGATGCTTCTAATGCTTCAACACTGTTTGATATTTGCTGTTGGCTTCTGAGAGATATCACCTTATCAGGTTGAAGAAGTTGCCTCTTATCCCAGGATTACTGAGTATTTTTATATCATGAGTGAATATGGAATTTTATTAAATGCTTTAAAATTTTTCTATCATATTTAAGGTGATCTTAAAACGGTCACTTAAGGTAAAGAGTTGTCCTAGTTTCTAACTAAACATCCATACTCTTTTTAGCATTTATAACCCCTTCTATTTTCATTTATTGATTGAATATTTTTATTTCAACAGCATTAATTATTATCCTTGCAAATGATGATGGCCCCGGAGTTCTGTCATTTAACAACAGTGAACACTTTTTCCTAAGAGAACCAACAGCTCTCTATGTCCAGGAGAGTGTTGCAGTATTGTACATTGTTCGGGAACCTGCACAAGGACTGTTTGGAACCGTGACCGTTCAGTTCATTGTGACAGAAATGAATTCTTCAACAGAATCTAAAGATTTGACTCCTTCCAAAGGCTATATTGTTTTAGAAGAAGGTGTTCGATTCAAGGTACACTAAGAACCTTTAATGAGAATGGAAGATTATCTTTAATATTTGCAAAATAATTTTCTCTTAGAGGAGCACCCTAAGTTCTAGAAAGAAAACATACTCCCATCTTAGATGATAGGTAAAGATATGACTAGATTACTATGTGACAAGTGCTGTAGTGGTGTGTAGTTCATACATAGAGTGCAATGGAGAAATTTGCTGTTAACAGGGTACAGGAATATACTACTAATAAAGAAAATATACATATTGCTATTTTAAATTTTAAGCACCTTTAAATGGTGTACTTCATTTTATGCTGTCTATGTAACATAAACTAAAAGAAACTCCAGGCCATCCTTCTAAATGTTAAGCCCCAGCCAATCATTTTCCTTTTGACACATGTTGAATCAAATTTGATTCCTTACTTCATTCAAACTGCTTATTTGAGATTAGGAATAGCTTTTATTGGTGAAAAAATTCTGGGTTTGAGATTAATTACAAATGTGATCTATACTCACGGTTAAGGTTTACCTTTCAAAAACCTCTTTTTCTATATATTAGTAATTTCTGGTTCCTACTACTAAACTTTAATTTTAAAACACAGTGTAAGCGTAAAATAGATAATTACAATAGCTTTAGCCATTTTTTCAAGCCAACTATATCAACTGTAATAATTCGAAAATAATATATTTAATGCTTTCATCTAAAACAGTCCATCCAATAATTAATTTTCTTAATAATCAGTTCACATAAATAAGCTTCAGAACTTCAGTACATTTGTGAATGCATGTTCATTTTGATGCTCAATATTTTTCATGTTTTAGAAATTTAAAGACTTTAATTGATTTGCTCAAGGACACTTAAAATTAAATCTTGAAACGAATATTTAAAAAATCCAAATTTGAAGTATTATATCAATTGCCATTGCTTTATGTATTTTATTTTTTAAGATATTTTCTTTTTTGTATATTTTATATTTTTTCATTGTGGATTTTTTCTTAAAAGGCTCCTTTCACAGTGCATTTAAAGACCTTTCTATTCATTAGACAAATTAAATGTTAGAGCACATTGGATTAAATAAATTTTTTAACCCACATAGCTGCTTTTTTTCCATGTTTTTATATAGAGGTAATAACAGTAAAATACACAAATTATAAGTGTATGGATGGCTTAATGACTTTAAAGATATATATGCTCACAAGTAATTACCATTCAGATTAAGATATTTAACATTACTGTCACCCAGAAGATTTCCTCTTGTCCCTTGCTCTTCCCAGAGGAAACTACTTTCTGATTTCTGTCATTGAAGACTCATTTTGCTGGTTCTTGAGCTTCGTACAAATAGGATCATACAGTGTGTACTCTTTTGTGTCGGCTTCTTTCACTCAGCATACTTTTTGAGATCTGTATCGTTGCACATACATAATTAGTTCTTTTTTTTTTTTTATCACTGAGTAGCATTTTATTGAATAGACCATTATTAGTTTGTCTGTTCTGCTGATGAACATTTGGGTTGTTTCTAATTTGTGCCTGCTATGACTATAACTGTTTTTTAACAGTGAATCCTAGACTGGAATGAGATTAAGAAAGTTATGTATCCAGGACAGGATAAAAAATTAGCAAGACTGAAGACATAAATTTAATTTTTTAATCAGTGTGATTTTTAAATGTCATAAATATTTATTTTTAGACATTTCAGTGCAATATGTCACAATATTGAAAATCCCAAAAGTAGTAACTTGAAATAGTTATAACCATCATATTATGGGGATCAATATTAAATAAAAAGAGGTGATTATTTTCCAAAAGTTATTATTTTGTTATCAAAAATGTTTAGTAAATTTATATGTGTGTTGCAACAATCTGTATTCTAGTAACTTTATCTTTTGATTTTGTTTTCAGGCCCTACACATATCTGCCATATTAGACACGGAACCAGAAATGGATGAGCATTTTGTTTGCACCTTGTTTAATCCAACTGGAGGTGCTAGACTAGGGGCGCATGTTCAAACCCTGATTACAGTTTTGCAAAACCAGGCCCCTCTGGGGCTATTCAGTATCTCTACAATTGAAAATAGGTATAGTTTATTCATAAGGAAATTATCACTTCTGAAGCTAAGTAGGGAATATTTTTTGACGTAAGAAAAAGCAGAAGGAAATTGATCTCTGATATTTTCAAAGGACTTTTAAAATGAACTCTTGAAGATAGATCCAGAGAGGCCATTTGCTCTCTCGTAACAGAGTATTAAAAACCTAAATATATCCTGTATAGTGGTGTTATTAGAATTCCTATTTTCTCAGAGTTCACACTTTCAGGTAAAGGCCTACATTATTTTATGTTTTTAAAATTTTAAAAAGCAAGAAATAATATAAAATATATTTAGCTGCTCAAACCAAATGAATGACTCTTCAAATATTATTAACGTGATTGTAGTTTTAAAATTTCCTCTGGAAGCTGACAAATATTTATTTTTTTATATCCTGAAATATTTTAATAGAGCTATATTCATTAACATGGTAATAATGTCCTGATTCATTTTTTCCCTATAAAATGTTTTTGATATATGTGTGAAGAAATTTAAGAATGACAGCTTTATTTCTTTTTTTAGAATATACAGTGTGAAGTTACTGTAGTTACTGATTCTCAATATTTTCTTATGGTCATAGTATCAGAGTGTTGCATTTGTTCTTTTTGAAAAAATGTCTTCATAAATGAATATTTTTGAGGTTTAGAGTCTAGTCATCTTGATGTTTAAAATTTGTGGATCTCACTTTGGGTTGTGCAAATTTAAAAGTGCATTGAGTATATGCTAGCAATGTGATATATATTTCAAATATGTAGAAATTATACTCTTCGTTTTCCACAATCCATTTGTTTCTTTTAGAGCCACCTCCATAGACGTCGAAGAATCCAACAGGACTGTGTATTTAAATGTATCACGCACTAATGGCATTGATTTGGCTGTGAGTGTGCAGTGGGAAACAGTCTCTGAAACAGCCTTTGGCATGAGTATGTTTCATTTCTTATGAGAAAATAATTCTGTAACCAAGAAATATTGCATATGTAAGATTTACATTTTTTTCCAGGAATTGTATCTTATGGATCTGTTGAAAATGGAGAACAGATATCTAATTCTTTTATTGCATCTACAAATATTTATTGAGTGCTGATCATGTGCCAGGCTTGGCACTGAGCTCATGGAACTTAGAATTTAGTGGGTGACAGAAATAAATCAAATGAGTAAAAATCAATTTGTAGTTTAAACTGTAATAAATGTTTTAAAGGGAAGATTCTAAGTGTTGAAAGAACATAAGAGAAATCCTCCAAGGTGTATTGATCTTTGAACTAAAACTGAATGAAGAGTGGAGGTTGATTATGCAAAGCATTGGTTTGGAGGAACATGAAGGTGAGAGTAGGGACCTGTCAAGGCAGAAACATGAGGCATAAAAAAAATATTATAAGTGAAGTGAGTCTCTAGACTCAAAGGAAGTTATCAATCTGCTGGAGAGAAAAACCTGGGGATCTTTAGCTATGCATATTATATTTAAAGTTATAGAAACTGATACAGTAATCTGAATAGAAAGGCTGAAGATAGGGAAGGGAAGAGGACCCAGACTGAACTCCAAGAAGACTCAAATTGAATGACCAGGAATAGATGATGACCTGGCAAAGAGACTTAGAAGACCTGGTGAGAAATCTAGGAAAATAAAGGATGGCAAACAGGAGAAGAAAAGTGTTTTAAAAATGGAAAGAGAAGTAAACTGTGTCAGCTGCTGGTAGGATGTCCAGTAAAATGAGAACCTGAAAAATAACCATGATAGCAATTAGTGACCATAGAAGGCATAACAGGCATAGAAGGCATTAGTGACCATTGCAAGAGCTGTTTGTATAGAGGGATGGAAATTGAATAACATTTTGAGTGGAGGTGAAAGAATAGAGACCTCAAATTTATTTCAAGAAGTTTGGCCGAGAAGGTAGGACCTAGAAAAGGTAGTGATGTGATGTAGGATTCAGAAGATTTTTTTGTTTGTTTAGTCTGGAGAGACCTAAGTGTGTGCTAACTTGGATGAGAAAGGCCTAGTAGGTAAAGAAAGATTGAGTATTTAGCAGAGAAAAAAAGATAATAGTGGTGTAATTGCCTAGAAGATAGGTAGAGATGGGATACAAAAAAAGAAAGATTATAGTTTCTAATTTAGAGTTTTCTCATTGTTGTTTGGGCTTTGTGTGTGTTTTTTTGGAAATATTGTGAGTATGTGTTGGAGATTTTTTAATTTCTGCAGTTGTTGCTTATTCTTCATTCACTATCTTCTTGAATTGTCGGGAAGCATTTGTCCACGTTAGGACCATTCAAGACTCTTAATGAAAAATCTGTGGCACACCTTTAAAAGATAGCAAAATAGGAAGCTTAACTGTTGAATTTTTAGGAAAGGAAATTGCCAATGGATATTATACATAAGGCATTGACATTATATCCTCTTGAACTGGTAATCTCAAAATGATCAATCATTTATAGGGAACCTGAGTTTCAACCTTGATATCTGTTGTTGCTATGTCATGTTCACACCATTAGCCAAAGTTCAAAAAAATACTTTCTTTGGGAAACAGTCATGTTCATAGACCGTAGACACCTTTTTTATAGTTATTCTTAATTAGATAGGAGTTTTATGGTTTGTTTGTTTTTTTGGCAGTACAGAATTTTAGGACTTGTACCAGTTATAGCAGTTTGATAAAATGTTGACAGCCATTTGAAGTTTGTAAGTCTGTGTTGGCATTCTTATAATATATAAAATGTAAAGTGAGAAATTAGATGAGCATAATTTCAAATTAATAGCGTAAGTTTTAAAACCTAACATTTAGCATGTTTTTATAAATGATACTTATTATTTTAAAATTTCTCAGTTGTATTTTCATCATCTTTATAAAAGTTGATAAAAACCATGTTCAGCATATTTCCCTTTGAATTATACATGCATGTAGCATTTATTTTTAAATACACCTTAGAAATTCTACATGAGTAAAAGAGCAGAGTATTAATAATTTTTCTTATTTTTTTTAAATCATCATTTGCAGTTATTTTTAAATTCCATAGCTTGTCTCTTTTCTCTGTCTCATACTAACACACACACACATCAAGGAAGGATCTTCATTTGCAGTTACAAACTCACTAGTCTCTCCATTTGAACAGTCAATTAGAACAGATAAGGTTTGGATGGGATTATACACTAGTGAATCATGATTTATGTTTTTCAGGGGGAATGGATCTTGTGTTTTCCATATTTCAAACTTTTTTGGATGAATCAGCTTCTGGCTGGTGTTTTTTTACTTTGGAAAATTCAATATATGGTATTATGTTAAGAAAATCATCTTTTACTGTTTACCGATGGCAAGGGATTTTTATTCCAGTTGAGGTAAACATCACTTATTTTATAGTACACAAAATAAAATTTACAGATAATTTTTGGGTGTAACATGAATTACTGTTATTCTTATTTCTCTTTTCCTAGGATTTAAATATAGAAAATCCTAAAACTTGTGAGGCCTTTAACATTGGTCTTTCTCCCTACTTTGTGATTACTCACACAGAAAGAGAAGAAAAGCCTTCTGTTAACAGTGTATATACATTCACATCTGGATTTAAATTATTCCTGGTAAAAAAAATCTATATTTTTTAATAGAATGCTTAATTTAGATTTATAAGATTGGTCAAAATGGAAGATAATGTATGCTGTATGTTAATATGAAAAAGGACTTTTTGCAAGTTGATGTATACATTTTAGCAAGGTATCTTAATCCAGGAACATCTTTGTCTTTTGAAATGACACTTAATATGCATATCAAGGGATCAAAGTTTTCAAGTCTTGAACTTCAAATACAAACTCATACTATAGTATATTCAATGCCTTTCTTAAATTCTCCTTTAAATCTTTATTCCCACTCTTCTGTCTTCCATGCAGGTACAAACTATCATTATTTTGGAAAGTTCTCAAGTAAGATATTTTACTTCAGACAGTCAAGATTATTTAATTATTGCAAGTCAAAGAGATGACTCTGAATTAACTCAGGTATGATTCTTTTAAAATGAAGGGTTTTTTTAAGTTTTCTTTTTAATACCGTAATTGAAATTTATCAAAGATATGGTCTATAGCTTTAGAATAAAAGAAAACCATGATTTGATTGTGATAAAATGGTAAAGTATTAAATAGAATGTGAATATTAATTAGTTACAACTAATTTTTAAATAATAGAGTTATAAATATATTGTCTTTAAGACTCAAAGCAAATGTAATAATAAGGAGGAACATTTAATTAGAATTTAACTGAGTTGGAAAACATTATGGAGCAAAATCATACAATCAGACAGATAGTATCAGTAAATATTCATGATTAACATTGTCACATGGACACTCAGCATCACCACAGAAATCTCACATTTCTCTAATAGATTCTTATAATCCTGGGAATGCTTATTTGATCATTTTTGCCCCAAACTTCCGTACGTGCTTATCATCTCCTCACTTTCAGCTAACAGTCTTGTTGAAATGAAAGTGACCAAACGGAAGGTCACTCGTCTTCCCAACACCAAATTCAAAAACCCACTTGAAACCCAGTCTTATTCCTCGTTTCTGTTAGAATGGAGGATGTGTCCCTTCTATAAAAGCCAGACCTCTCACATTGGTGCCCCTTTTGTCTTCATAAGGTTTAGTTATTCCCTTCGTCTCCAGTGTCTTTCTACCTCTCTCTCAACTATTACAATCAGTATAAATGTTCTAGGATCACCTGGCTTACAAAGAAATTCCTCCCCAATCTCATGGCCTTTTAGTTTTTGTTTCATGTTCTTTTCTCCCCTCTATAGTAAGACATTTTAATAGAATGATCTCCTTGCTTTGGCTGTACTTATTTGTGCTCACTGATGACAACTAGGTGGCCAAATCCAGTGGGTGCTTTTCTATTATTATCATATATGCCATCAGCATGTGACAGTCACCTCATTCTCAAATTTATTTACTTTTATTTATTTTTTATTTCAAAGTATTAAAGGAGTACAAATGTTTTGGTTACATGTATTGCTTTTGTAATGGCTATATGTGTGCCAGTCACTCAAATAGTGTTCACTGTACCCATTCAGTAGGTTTTTGCCCCTGCCTTCATCCCGCCTCTCCCTGCTTCATTTCCACTAAGTTTTACATTCCTCTGTGCACGGGTATACTCATCAGTTAGTTCCAGTTTAATAGTGAGTACATATGGTGTTTGTTTTTCCATTCTTGTGATACTTCACTAAGGACAGTAGTCTCCAGTTCTGTCTAACATGTTGCAAAAGGCATTAAGTCATCCTTTTTCATGGCTGAGTAGTACTCCATAGTATACATATACCACATTTTGTTAATCCACTCATCAGTCAGTGGGCATTTCGGTTGATTCCACATCTTTGCAATTGTGAATTGTGCTGCAATAAACACTGGAGTGCAGGTGCCTTTTTGATAAAATGACTTTTTTTCCTTTGGGTAAATACCCAGTAGTGAGATTGCTGGATCAAATGGTAGGTCTACTTTTATTTCTTTGAGAAATCTCCATACTGTATCCCATAGAGGCTGCACTATATCACTGGCCCATCAAAGTGATTCCTCCCTTTTTGGATCTTATTAACTATTAGGAAAAGGCAAACAATAAACGTCAATAATTGAATAAATGCATGATTATAAAATGAAACAAGTGCTAAAGATGACAATTAGGATGGTCTGATAGGGAATTATGAAAGTATTAGGGAAATCAAGTTAGATGTAATGTCTGGCTCAAAGTTCCTAATTGTTGACTGAATAAATGTAATTCTTTGTGAAATTGACAAGCTTATATAAGAAACCAGGTAGAATTTGAATTTTCTTTTAATTTTAAATGTATAAACACTTGCTCTGAAAGTATATGCATTGTGTGCATTGACTGCCACCATGGGGACAAGAAAGGTTTAGGTGTTTCTCTGTATTTTCTTGCTTGAACTGTTGGTAATGATATTATAGCATAGAAAGTTTCTTATCTGGTTCCAAATTTTTCGTATTTAATTTAATTCTCTTCTGTTTTGGCTTTCCCTTTGCTTTCTGTCCCCATCCGCTGGCCAGATGTATATTTGATACTGATTTATTTCCAGATAGCCTCTCTTTCATTCATTCTGCATGTGTGTGCTCATGTGTGCACACACACAGATAAAAAGGAGAGAGCATCAGTTTTGGTATTTTCTCATTTGTGGAAGTATCCTCCTAAATAAATAAAAGGGTCCAGGAAAGTAAACACATGATATTGGTTAAATTCTCAGAAGTGCCAAATTCCTAGTTATATAAAGAGTTTTGTATTTGAACATTTTCTACAGGTCTTCAGGTGGAATGGAGAAAGCTTTGTGTTGCATCAAACACTCCCTGTCCGAGGAGTGCTGAGCATGGCCTTGTTCAACAGAGGAGGTTCTGTGTTCTTAGCCATTTCCCAGGTTAATGCCAGGCTAAATTTCCTTCTATTCAGATGGTCTGGCAGTGGCTTTAATAACTTTCAAGAAGTGCCAGTCAGTGGGACAACACAAGTCGAGGCTTTGTCTGCAGGCAATGATATTTACTTAATCTTTGCCAAAAATACCTTTTTAGGTGAGAAGATACAGTATTTGTAATGCATATATAGTTATTATTATGGAAATCATTTAACATTCAAATGGTATGTTTTATATGAAAATGCTGTTGTGATAACTTTTTTAGCGAATCAATAGAATGTTCCTTGATAGATGATAAACATTAACTGTCAGCTATAAATGTCTTTTGGAAAAAAATTTAAGCACTATGCCCATAATCATGTGGTGTTCTAACTTACTACTTTAAAGTTATATTAAAATAAAATTGGAAGTGGGCAGGTAAAGTCGAAAGATCCATAAAGATTTTATATCCCAAGTGAAATTAAATAACTTTATATGAATACACTTAGGGTGCCGTGAATATTTTATAGTATTAATAAATGGTGTTTAACAACTTTTGATGACTGTTCTAATATTCTATGAATAGAAATTTGCTTTATTCTGCTTAGTAGAACTTTTATAAAATTCCAACATTCCTAAAAAACAAAAAATAATATAATCCCTAGTCTTTCTTTAGCATTAGGTCATGGTTAATGGCTAACCACGTATTCACTTCAAATAGTGAATGCACTTTTGAAGCACTTCCTACTAAGTTGTATTTTTGTCAAACTAAATGGATTCTGAGGAAATTTGTTTTTAAATTAAATTTAACATTTGTATTGTAGTTTTACTGTGCAATTTTGTCATTTTTTTCCTGCAACTTTTGCCTTAAGATTTTACTTTTATTCTATTATTGTAGGAGATCATAATTCGATTGATATTTTCATGTGGGAGACAGGACAGTCTTCTTTCAGATATTTTCAATCCTTGGATTTTACTTCTGTTAACAGGATCCACTCTTTCACACCAGCCTCAGGAATAGGTAAGGACTTTTTAATTGCTCACCAATCCTACAGGTAGTGTGGAAAGCCAGAATGATTTTAATCTCATTGAATTAGATTAATTGTCACATTGCCAGACACTGAATATTTTAATAAGAATGTAAAATCAAGATCTTTATAATAATGCTTCCAGAAGTCTTAGAATTTTTTGAAATTCTGTGAGCATTGTGCATGAGAGTAATGAGAATGGCTAAAATATGGAGGAAAATATTAGTGAAGACTAAAGATAGTATATTTCTTTTGTCTAGAGAAAAGAGTGACATTAAATATATATTTTTAAAATAGGAAAGTATGTATATGAGGATAGCAAGTTTTTGCATTTAGAATTCTTTTTTTAAGTCAGAATATGACTATGAGAACTTTGCCATCCTCATTTACTCTACCAGCTTCTTCCACAGTGTGAAATCCTTTCCTGGTCTTCTCCACTTTTACCCACACATCAGATACATAAGCAATATTTTTAATCACTGTGGTTCCAGAAACAAAGTCTGTTCATAAGAACCCAAGGTCTGGAGGCTGTAGGATTATTTTAGGGTTGGCAAGGAATCACTTGGGTGGGCCAACAATAAGGGAAGAAGAAGCAGAGGCCAGCTGGCATATGCGCTTGTCAAGCTGCCACACAGGCCGAGTGTCAGCAGTGTGGGAAGGGGACACGGTCAGTGGATCATCGTGGATCATCACCTCCTGTGGAGGTGTCTAAGGAACTTGTAACCCAAACCTGAGAGGCTCTGCAGGACAGTCTGGGTGAACCGCAGCCCTGCTCTAAAATTGAGACATGGCAGTTTCATGAATTAAACAGCACACAGTTATTAATTGGATATTATATTAAAAGGCTTACTATTTGGTTGGAGAAGCAAGAAAAGATATTAAGACACTAATTTAAGGCAGAGGACCAATACCGTTTGTTCCGTGAGGGGTAGATAGAATTGGAGTGGTTAAGAGATCTAAGAAGGAGCTTGAGCTATGTCTGGGTGAATTGGCAATAAATATTTTGGACAGGAAGAAGGATCTGAGAAAAAGGGAAAGACAGAAGTGTTTATCGTGTTGAGGGCACCATTGGCAGACAGGAGTGCTGGGATTTGATCGCAATATATATAATACATTATTACTAACTATAGTTACCATGCTGTAGATTAGATCTGCAGAACTCACTCATCTTATAACTGAAAGTTTTTACCCTTGACCAACATCTCTAATTTCCCCCATCCCCCAGCCTTTGGCAAACACCATCTAAACTCTGTTTCTGTGAATTTGACTTTTTAGATTCCACAAATAAGTGAGATCATGCAGTGGCTGTCTTTCTAAGTCTGGATTCTCATATCTGCATCTGCATTCAGTCTATTGCAATATTATAAGTCATATTGCCTCTGGAAAATTCTGTACACTCATGAAAGAATGAGAGTGAAGTAGACAAACAATGTCTTAGTATTATTATGAAAATAGTTTGGACCTCAGAGATCCTCTAAAAGTGTTTCAAAGACTCTTAGGGGTTCCTGGACCACACTCAGAGCACTGATGAGATAGACAAACCCTTAATGACATTTCAAAGGCCAGTGATGATCCAGGACATGCTTTATTACTCCTCCTAGCTTTGGTATATGGAATACACTGGATGAAGTAACTTACAACTCACTGCCTAGGCAAGAGTCAAAGAGGGTCCTAAGCTGGGGTGAGAAATTGGAAATGAAGATTATTGTGGGCAAGAGAAGTTAGAAATGAAGATACAACAGCACTTGGTGACTTTTCAAATGTGAGGAGCAAAAGTTATCACACCTTGGCAACTGGAAGGAAAGATTAGTATTGACGTTAGGAAAAGATACAGGAAAAATATCTTTAGTGGGAAATGTGATAAGCTTGGTTATAGGCATCTTTAGTTCAAGATGATATAGAAGCACCTGTGGGTGGTTAGAGATGTAGAACAGAAATTGCAAGGAAATCAGAGGTGGAGGTTTATATTTCAGAAACATTGATGTATGAGGATAGTTGAACTCACAAAAGATAAAATATACAAAGTAAATGATAATGATTGAGACGGCTAGAGGACTTGGAACAAATACAGGAGACTATTTTTGCAATTTTCCCCTTAGGTGCTTGACTGCTGCTTTCTCTATCAGGCATTGCAACCTTTAGGCACTGCTACCTTAAGTCACCTCAGCCACTACCAGGAATCAGAGATTATTTACCTCTGATTTTCTAAGTACTATTTTTAAATTTATAAATCATAATTATATATGGAGGATATATATTATATCCTATAATTATATAATAGGATGTTTTGATATATGTATTTGATGTGGAATGATTAAATCAACCTAATTAACATATCCATGACCTCACTTCACATTTTTCATGATGATACATTCAAAATTTACTTTCTTAGTTATTTGTGAATAGACAACATGTTATTATTGACTATGGTCATCCTACTGTGCAATAGATGTCAACATCTATTCCTCTGTCTAGCCAAAAGTTGGTAGTCTTTAACCAACAACTCCCCATTCTCTTGCTCTTCCCCTCTCTTGTAACCATTATTCTACTCTCTACTTCTAGGAACTCAACTTTTTCAACTTGCTTCAGGGTTGAATAGAACTGTTGGCTGTGCTCTGAGGTCTGGTGAGACCTTTACCTGGAGTCTGTGTCAAGGTAGAGCTGTTGACTGGGCTCTGTTATTGCTTCTGATCAGTGTCATAGGTCACCTTTCCTAGCTGGCCAGTACTACAGTTTGGATCTGTATATCTGGGCAAGCCACGTGCTGAGCTCTGTGGCTGGGTGAGGTCTCTGGGACCACTACTCAACCATTCAGAGCAGGCAGGGTTAGAGACTAAGCTGCACAGATATGCATGGACATGTCCTAGGGTAGCCTTAAACAGAGCACTGAGGGTTGGTGAAGTAACTGCTCAGCTGCAGAGGTTGAGCAAGATCACATTCTCCCCTCAGAAGATACTCGTTCACCTATTATTGCCTCCTGAACCGTTGAGGGCATAAGGAGAGCCTCAGGGCTTGCCTGGGTTAATGCTCTGCAGCTGAGTCCAGGCAGGGCCAGATGCTCCCACTGTGGATAATTCCTGAATTGCTGTTCCTGCCTCCGCGGCTGGGGCATGGGGTTAAGGAGCACACCAGTGCTTGTTTGGGTTGCAGCTTGGTAGCTTGGTCTGATGCTCCCTTTGTAGATAATCACTGACCTACCTCTGCCTTTCAATGTAGGGCAGAGGATTAAGGAGAGCATCAGAGCTTGTCTGGGTCATAGCTCTGTAGCTGGGTCCAAGTGGGGCCAGTTACTCCCTCCATGCATAATCACCAACCTGCCCTTCCCTTCTGTCCTGGGGAAGGGCTAAGAAGTGCACTGGAGCTTGGCTGAGTTGCAGCTCAGCCAATGGGCCTGGGCAGAGCTCTGCACATAATTGCTGGCATGCCCCATCTCCTGGCCTGGGGAAGTTTCAAGGACAGCACAGGTGGCTGGGTGTGGAAGCTGGTCAGGGATTCAAGCCTGGGAGACCTGTTGACTATGCTTCTTGCAGAGCAATACTGTGAGCTATCCTCTCTGCTGGTGTACTTCCACTGTCCAGAATGCAGTGCCAACACCAAGATCTGCACATTAGCCACTGTGAACCCCACCCCTTTCTTTGTTTCTAACTGACCCCAGGTGGTCTACCCCTGCTGATACCACCAATGTTTTTCATGGGGCAAGATGAGAGAGTGTTTATGGGTCCTGGAATAATGGGGAAGCTGAATGTCTGCGTTCAACTCTCTCTTCTCTCTGTAAAAACTATGGATCCTGGGGGATACTCTTTGTGCAGGGCTGTGGTGGCTTGGGGTAGGGAGGGAGGAAGGGTGTGATGAACAGTTTCATCTTACCCTTTGTGTGCATCTGTTTTTAGTCTGTGTTCCAAGGCAAGGGTGCGGGCAGTCTGAGCACCACTTTCACATTCTGAGATATTCATGAGGGTGTTCTTGTCTATGGATAGTTGCCAATTGGATTTCCGTGGGAAATAGTGGAGCCAGACAATTCCTATTCCACTATCTTGCTGATGTTATTCTATTTACCTTTCATTTTTTATAGATGGTTTATCTCATTGTACTTTGTTTCCACGTTTTCTACTCTTTCCTCCTTGGCCCTGTGGAAGGCCATACCACATTCTCCCTATCCCTAGGCACTTCCCACTGGGACGATTATGTTGCTTTCCAGCCTCCACACTTTCTTCCTTTTGCCATCAGAGTCCTGTACGTGTCTCTGCTCATCCTTTCCTTAAATAACTTCTCTTTACATCTACCAGCACTCAGGTCATGAATCTGTGATGCTATCCTGTCATGTACAACTTGGGTGACTTTCTTACATTCACTCAATAAATGATTTACTGAATAAATTCTGTGTCTTTCATAATGTATTTGTTTAGTTTTTGTCTACTTGTCCTGTAATTTTTTTGCTTTCATTATTTTTGCTTCTCTTATACCTCAAGTTTTCAAGTGGACTAAATGTATCTCCTTGAGTCACTTATTATTATTCAAAATAGTTGCCTAATGAATGTTTTTAAGGATGATGAGTGCTGCCTGAATGGGCCATTAATTAAAGTTATAGAATTCCCTTAAAAGATTTTTAAAAAAATATAATAGGCATACTTTCTAAAAGAATTTGTGAAAAATTCTGCCAGAGGCTTGTTAAGGGACCCATTGTGAGGTCTTTTTATTTCTTTTGTTTCTGTGACTTGAGGTTGTAGAAGTATGAAAAGATTGTAGGTAGTTATTTAGAATGGCTTATTATAGATCCCCTGAAAGGTGAAATTATGCATTAAATAATGTTCGAGGACTTTCTTATTTTGAATGTGTCAAATATTTTATTAAAAGTAATAGATTGGAGCTATGACTATGAGGATCACATATTTATTCTGGTTAATGACTTGACAGAGATTGTTGGGTGGTGACTGAATTCTTTAAATGGAAGAGGAAGAATGAATATGACAAAGACTACAAGGACATGTAAACTTATCTTCCCCTTCACCCTTCTCTCTTTTATTAGTTAATAGATATTTTTAAGTGCCAATTATGTGCCAAGGACAGTAGTAAGCTCTGGGGAAACAAAGGTAAGCAAAAGCACATATAGTCTTTGCCCTGAAGAAGTTTAATGTATAGTAGGGAAGAGAGACATTACGTAAAATCTCACTAGTAACTTTCTAGCTATAAACAGATAACTGCCATGAGAAAATGGAGTAAAATACTCTCATAAAACAAAATGAGAGGACTTGCCGTGGTCTAAGAGATGCCCAGAAAGCTTTCTTAAGGAAGAATCATTTAATTGAGAACTCAAGGTGCAATAGGAGTTAATGAGGCAAAGAAAAAGGGAAGACCATGTGCAAAGAGGTCAGGTGATGGTGGTGAGCTCTTAGGGAAGGGCCAGAAACGGCCCATTGTGGCCCAAACACAGGCAGTGAGTTAACAGTTGTGCTGAGTGTAACCAAATATATAATCAGATAGGATTTAAAGGATTATGGGATTAATAATAAAAGGATAATTAAAGGTTATGGTCTTTATCTTAAAAGTATTGGGATGCCTTTTATGAGAAGGTGATGAGGAGATGGAGACAGAGAACCCCAGGGCTAGGGAGACAGAGAGACTCTGTGTGTGTGTATCTGTTAAATGTGTTTTAAAAAGAGAGCTTTTGCTGCCATGGTAAAAAAAAAACAACTTAGAAGTTAGTAAGACAAGGTGTCTAAAAACAAGCTGGAGGCTCATACTTTAGAGATGCTGAATGATGGAGCTGGGAAAGTGGTAGGTGATGCAGGTGGAAAATCAGAGAAGTAGATTGATTCAGAAAATGTCTCACAAGTAAAATCTGCAGTAGTAGATGATAGATTAGATATGGGAGAGGTGAGAGAGAGGATGTCAAAGATGACCCCTAATTTCTTGCAATTAGTAGATAGATGGTAGTCCTGTAATTATTATGGTGATTGCTGGGGGAGGACTAGGTTTTTTAGGGCAGAGATAATGAGTTTGGTTGGGATATGTTAAATTTGAGTCGTTTGTGTTCAGAGTAACTGTTACTGTTTGTAGCTTAGAAGAGAATCCAAGACTGGTGATAAACATTGGAAATTCATAAATGCAAAAGGTCATTCCACTCTAGGCAGAGGTGATCTTGGTTGAGCTGGTAGAATCAGCTAAATTTGAGGGAAGTTGAGATCCACCTGAGTTTGTTCTTTACTGTGGGTTTCCAGTTTTACAAAGCTTTATGAAAAACATATGGCCATTTAAAATTCAAGCCTATTGATAACAATTTTCTTGATGATCTTTACCTTTTATGCAACCTTTACTAAACTGCACTCACACATAAATTAATTATTGTAAATAAATATGATCAGTAATTCTTAATATGTAAGAGTAAGGATATGGGGTTTACCATTGTAACATATTGGCTAAAATTTTAGAATGGACTCATGCTTGTTCTTTGTGCGATATTAGTATTTATTCAGTCTTATTTGATATCTTTATGTTCCAATGTGTTTCTGCAAATATTGGAATCTGTGTATGTTTCTCTATGATTTCTTATTTCCCCACAATTTTTAAGTCTGAAGATTATTTATTAATATATACAACATAGTAAGCCCCCTTCCTTCCTAACCTGTGTAGATACAAATATGTGCCAATGCTTTGAACTATTAAAAGCATGATTTCCTGATAATATTTCAAATAGGATTGGCAGAATACACTCCAAGAGTCATAAATTTGTTCGATTACCCTTTGGCCTAATTACCTTGAAAAATTCATCAAGTGAAGATAATTAACATGAATAATTCTGTCTCTACTTACTATTGGAAAATAAATGTAAAACAACAAATATCCAGTGTAGGGAAATTATTCAGTATACTTTGGAGATCAACCCTATAGGTTATTGTCTATGCATTAAGTTATAAACTTCAATGCTATGAAGCAACATATAAAACTGTATAATACTATAAATACTGTGTGAGATTATTAAGATTTTTTTGTATTTTACATTGTTTATGACTGTGAATTGTGAATTATTATGCATTATAATTGCAAAAGGAAAATATAAAAGTGTAACGTTTAATGGTGGGATTATGGCTATTTTTCGCTTTAAAAAATATCTTACTATGCTATTCAATAAATAAATACTGAGATGAATCAAGAGTCCAAAATCTGTGGGAGTTCTACCAGCTAGTGATTTCTTTTTTTATTAAATGGATATGCATACATTGTCAGGTTGGCTTCATCATCCATCCCACAGCATTTAAAAATTATTATTTACATTCCGTTATTTCAGAAATTGAATCATATTTAATTACCTCAGAAATCAAAATGGAACTTTGAGAGTTAGAAAGGTTTTGCTTTGAAATCTATACAGGGAGTGTGGAAGGTGACAGTTTACATTTCACTTGAGTTGCCTTTTCCTTCCTTCCTGCAGTTCACATACTTCTCATTGGCCAAGAGAGGTCTGCTCTTTATTGCTGGAATTCGGAACTGAACCAATTCTCTTTTGTTCTGGAAGCACCTTCTGCTTATGATGCAGCTTCTGTTACAGTAAAGTCCCTTAATTCAAGCAAGAATTTAATTGCTCTAGTGGGAAGTGCCCACTCACATATATATGAGCTAGTCTACATCTCCAGCCAGTCTGACTTTATTCCTAGGTAGGTTCAACATTTCATGCTATGTGTCTTTTATGCTCACCATAATTTTGTATGGCACCTAATTTATAAGTTTTTATTTAGTGACTGAAAAATATACAAAATATAAGAGCTGTTTATCTGCCAGAAATGTGGTTATTATGCATATTTCTAATATCTATTCTACCAAGTTAATCACTATAATATCAATATTTTGGATTAAAATGGATTAATAAATAGTATAAAATGTGATTCATCTAAACCTTTAGTATTGATCAATGTAATGGTAATTTTATGAGTAATCTACTATGTATATATCTTGAATTTTTCATAGTTGACTTATTTTATATATACTTCCTATGCTAGTTCAGGTGAGCTGATATTTGAACCTGGTGACAGAGAAGTTACAATAGCGGTAAATATCCTTGATGATATAGCTCCAGAGGAAGAAGAATCCTTCAAAGTTCATCTTAAAAATCCCAAAGGAGGAGCAGAGATTGGGATTAACGGTTCTGTGACAGTAACTATTCTGTCTAATGATGATGCCTATGGAGTTGTTGCCTTTGCTCAGGTAATGGTACTGAAGATCCCACACTTACAAGGCAAAATTATTTATTTATTCTATTTATATATTAGCTAAAATTAGCACTTAGTGAGTCATACTTTGAGTATCTTCAGCCTTTTCTCTTCGTTTTTCCCTGCTTCATCTGCTACTCTTCATCTGAAGGTAAATTCTACTGACATCTTATAATTTACAGTTTTACACAGTAGACTCTCTGAGTCAACTTGTCCCAACCTTTTTTCTTTTTAGTTTTTGGTTCTGACTCCTTTTATAGAATTGAATTTGAAATGTTACCACTTGGTCTTGTTCCAGAAGTTTGGCTCTGCTATTAGCCCTGTTACCTGAGGGTGATAATGAAATAGATTCTAAATACAATGTCCTGTGTGGTATCACACACATCACCTGCAAATATATTACTGTGCTATTATACCTTTGCTACTTCTGTGGAGATGGAGAGGGGAGAGGGGACAGGGAGAGAGAGAAAGAGAAGAGGGATTTGGGAGAGAGAGTTTTAACTATATGTGCATTGTACACATGTAGATGCTTTTTCACGAGGAAGGAGAACCATGCAAATCTTCCCACATAACTCCCATGCCCAGACTTCATATTTATTTATCAACAAGCAAAAGACATCCATTACTTTTCATCGTTTAGTACTATTTGCAAAATGTATTCTGACTTCTTAACTGCATTTATAGCTGCAGCTTATTATGTATCTTTCTCTGAAATATTTTGCATGTAAGGAAAACCTAACTCAAATTGGCTTACATACTAAACATGTCCACAGAGACTCAGTGCCCAGGATTTTAATTGGAGGGTGATCACATAGGTACCCTCTGCCAGGCACATACCAAAATTCTAGATTCCCAGATGTTCAGCAAAACCCACATTATTTGTATAGTTTAGACACAGGGAGCCACTTAGCAGTTCAGGGAATGGTGGGAACACTTCTGAAAACCAAGTTCTCAGGTGCCAGCCAAGGGCCAACCTTGCTAGAAGGCCTTTTTAAAGACAGGAGTAAGGCCTGATACATTAACACTTTCTTGCTGCAAAGCTCCTTAGCATCTTAATGAATTTGACCTCTGAGGGAATTGGGGAGCCTTTGGAGAAGGTAGGTAGAAAAGTGACATGATCTGACTCACATTTTAAAAGGAACACTCTGGCCATAGTATTGAGAATACTATTGAGTATTGAGAATAGATTGTAAGTGGACAAGGACAAAATAGGCCAATTAGGAGACTGTTTGCAGTATTACAGCAATAAACGAGAGAGCTGTAGGATGTAGGAATTTGTTATTCATTGAGATGTGGAGGACTATGGAAGGAGCAGGTTTGGAGGATAAGATGAGGAGTTTGGGACATACTCATGTGAATTAATTCCATGCAAGAGTCAGGATATCACTCTGTTACCTAATCTGGCCCATCACTGGGGCTAAGGGCAGCTCTGCTTGCTAGAGATATATGTGAGCTACATATGTAACTTTAAATTTTAGAGCAGCCACATTAAAAAAATAGAAAGAAGGTCAAATTAGTTTTAATATTATATTTAACCCAGTGTATCCAAAATGTTATAATTTCAACATGCAATCAACTATTATTGATGAAATATTTTATATTTTTTTCATACTTTGTCTTCAAACTCCAGTGTGCATTTGACACTTATAACTAGCTACATTTCAAGTGCTCAGTAGCCACATGGGCCAGTGGCTACTGTGTAGGACAGTGTAGCTCTAAGACATGAACTGGGGCAGAGACAGTTAAAAAGAAAGAAGAGGACCCTGACCCTCACCAGGTACTTACCTGTTTCCCACTTTCTTCAGATCTGTGCTGAAATGGCACCTTACCAGAAAGGCCTTCCCTGATTGGATATTGCAACTCTCCACCATCATTCTGTGTATTTTTATCCCACTTTTTTTTCTTTATGGCACTTATAATTGCCTGATTTGTCTATTGTCAGTTTCTTTTTACTAGAGTTAAACAGTGTGAGAGCCGGGATACTGCTTTATTCACGGCTTTGTCTCTGCACCCAGCAAACTGCCTGGCACACACACGGTGCTTAGTATGAACCTGTCATTACGCAGGAGAGGAAACAGAACACTCGCATGCCCTTCTCCAGGCCTTGTACAAGTATCTAAGGCGGAGCCAGGGTTCCTGGGTGAGAAGCAACATGCTTTGCTTCTTGATTCCATCTTCTCACCTTGAAGCCTTGTTGCAGTTGGAGAGCAGGCTCTGTTCCTCTATTGTTTAAGCCTGGTAGCTTTCTCTTTATGAAGCTTGTTCCAAATTGTTCTAAAAACACAAAATCACTGGTGTTTAATTCTTGCCAATAGACAGTATCCTGGATTCCTTCAATTCGTTCAGTAGAATTCCTCAATACAGGTCTTTTGTGTCTGGGCAATCTCATTCCAAGATGAGATTTAGTGGATAATGAGAATTTTTTGAATATTTCTGGCTGCATTAAGTCTTCATTTTACTAACCCTCATTAATGGAGGGCATGGAGCCAGAGAGAGGCTTCTTTTTTTTGAAGGCATTGTCTTTTGTGAATAAATTATATGCATATTTTAAAATCAAGGCATTTTACTCAGGAATGTTTGATTGCCTTTAGCAAGATTTTATTACTATGTAACATCTGTAACAATGTGTTAAAATGCTGTGTAAAATATCGCTATAGGATAGGATCTCTACTTAAATTAGCATTCTAAATAGAAGCTTTCATGAGCTTTAAGAAATTAATGGGGGAGTTTCTTTCCAGATTACCATACTAAAAAGGCAAGAAAAATCTTAATGGAAAGATTTTAAAAAATCTTTATACTCCAGATGCTTGCTTTATTGCCTATGGAAAAAACAGGGATATTGTAAGAAGGGATCCTTTTGACATATTCATTTTGAGGAACAGTTAATTAAATGACTGGCAGGAGACGTTGCATGCATTTGGTAAAGAATGTTGTAGTCACACAGAGGTAGAAAGTAGTTTGGAACAAAGGAAATAGGCTAAGAAGCATAGGAGAGAGGAAGAAGAAAGAAGAAATTCTACCATAAGACAAAGGGATATTTCTGGCAGAAAAACATTTGTAAAGACCATGAGCAAGGGTGAAACAAGGATAGCCTACAGAAACGTTTCAGAGGATATGAATTTAAGGACAAGAAACCTTTGCAAATGATCAGGAAGAACGCCCTAATTCTCATGACATCATTACACTTAGATGGGACGTTGGAGACCATGTAGATCAAACTCTTATTTTGCAAACAGGAAGCAAATACAGAGAATAATTGTGGGAGGTTACACAGTGGGAAAAGGCTTCCCTGCCCTCCTGACTATATCCTTTCTGTTCTACAAACTTTTGACATGCTACGAGTACTTTTTAAAAAAACATATGCTTTCTGAGTGTAAAAACAATATATGTTCATTGAGTAAAATTTGAAAAATGTAGAAACAGGAAAACAAAGGTAAAAGTAATCCTACAAAAATGAATATTTTAGTTTACTTTAATTTAGTCTTTTACTTCTTCAAATTATGTTTTAAATTATCATAATCTTATATTATTTTTTTATTAATAATTGTTTTTCACTTACTATACCAGGTTGCTTAGTACTGTGAAGTTTGCAGATGCATAACAAATGAAATAAAGAAAAGTCTGTTTAGGTAATTTCCTATAACCTTTTGTGACTTTCTGTGTATTTTTTAGAATTCCTTATATAAGCAAGTGGAAGAAATGGAGCAAGACAGTCTCATAACCTTGAATGTTGAGCGTTTGAAAGGAACGTATGGTCGTATAACTGTGGTGTGGGAAACTGAAGGAAGTATTAGTGATGTATTTCCTACCTCAGGAGTGGTATGTAATTTACAAAATTATAGAATACACTTTTGAAATTATGGTTATTATTGATATGTAGGACCAAACCCTGCCTGATGGATGAAGTGTTTGGGTTTGATAATGTCAACATGGATTCCTACTAATTACTGTAGAGAGGGATACAATTTAAGGTTAGTTTTATTGTTGTGGTTATTGTTCTTTTCTTATATAAAACCAAAATTACCTGTAAAATGTTGTCCTTTTGAAGTTTGGTACATCAGTTGGCCAAATTGTGCGTATATTACATTGTCAGAAAGATAAAACCAATCTAACTGGGCAACAAAAAGTGGATTCGGGATTTAGGTAAAATGAAAGCATTAAATAGGGAATAAGTCTGTATGAAATAGCCAGACTTATGAAAATGTAGATCAGAGTTGTGGAGTGATATAACATGGGTTTCCTGTAAATAGACTTTGAGATTAAGAGTTGTGGGCAGGTTTTCTAGGGAGATACATCTATGAGGATGTGAGGAAGGCAAGAATGTGCAGAGGGAGAAGTTGATCCACAGGCAGTTGCAACTGAGGTCGATCCTGTGGGAGAGTTCTGGAGCTGAGCTGGTCATTTGGAGTTCTTACCAGTTTAGGGCTGAGCTGTTGCCATCCCCATTTTAGCAGTCCTTGACTTCTGGCCACCCTCTGGATGGGGCATAACCTTGGTTGAGACCGTTTGCTGCAGCTGAGGATGTTTCCCAATGAGGAACCCAGAAGCTGTTGTTTCTAGCAGCTGAGGGATGGGTACATCAGCCCTGGGAAGAGATCTGGGTAGAGGATCACATTATCCACTACTGGAGGATAGCATACACTTAGAGCTCAGATTCAAAATGAAATCAGAATAGGCCAAAGAAGTAGATGACTCACAAAGAGAAGATTTGGACAGTCTTTTGTTCCTAGTTGGAAGATGGATTATCTCTTTGGCTCTGTGTATTTTGCCCAGTTGCTTCTCTGAAGAGTTATTTTAAAAGAACTCTCATGGAGATGTCTCCAGGTGTATATCATGGCTCATTGTTTCTATCTTCCTATATCATTTGAGCTTTCACATATTAAGACTGTTACAGCAAATTCTATTGCATTTAATGTTTACTTTATCCAAACTACCAAAACTTTAAGTCGTATCTCTCAGGGTCTGTATGTTCTGAGTTATATTTCCCCAATTAACAATGAACATGATTAAAACTATTTCTAATTTAAATGTATAATAGTACCTTAAATGCAGACTATGTTTTGGGAGAAATAATTATTTTATTTAGGGGGTCAGTAAGTTTTTTCTGTAAAGGCCACCTAGTAAATATTTTAGACTTTGTGAGCCACGTGGTCTCCCACAACTACTCTGCCTGTACTTGTACCACAGTTGTGCTACACAATACAAGCAATATAAGCAGATAATATAGGCAGTGGCAGAGAATGTGCAATTGAATGAGTTTGGCTATGTTCCAATAAAACTTCATTCATGAAGAATGGATTTGGTCAGCGGGCAGTTTTCTGACACCTGATTTTACTAATAAAGCTCTTGAGTTTGTATCCTCCAGTGCCTAGCTAGGTGGAGAGATGAGTGTCAGCAAAGGTAGAGGCTGCTGTGCTGCTGGTTTGAATAATTGTAAATAGTTACAATTGTCATTGTCAATAACTGCTGGAGAGTCGGGTGTGAGGGAGGGAACAGTGGTAAATGACATTCAAGAAGCAGACAGAAACCCTATCAGCAAGGACTTCTGATGTCTTTTACCAAATTTGGATTTGACTCTTTAGACAATAGAGGCATGAAAGAAGAGAGGGACTATGATTTGCATCTCTCCCTATCTTTCTCTGTCTACCTCTATCTTGGCTGATTTCTTGTTAAGTGATATATCTATTCGGAGTTTAGCCAAAGGAAGTAACAATCCTCTACAAAAGTTTTGTAGAGAAAAATGTTTAGACTAGTAAGTCAACTTCTTTTACTTTTATAGATCTTTGTATATGGTATCTAAGACTCAGATTCCCAGAGAGACTATGTACTCTGTTTTATAATGGAATGCAGGCTTCAGGATATGACCATTTGGCTCTATGTTTAATTAGCTTACGTTTTAGAAATGGCTTACTTTATCCTTTTTCCTAAGAATCATCTACTTTCAATATGAAAGGAATTTGATTTGTGGGATCATATCATTTTGCTGAAATATCTCATTTAAGTTGCAATCATATTAAAGGAAAATAAAACTTTTTGATATTCTTACTGCACAGTGACAATTACAAAATAAATAAAATTTTCTTTCTTTAAAATTCCAGATTTCATTTACTGAAGGCCAGGCACTGTCAACGATCACTCTGACTGTTCTTGCTGATGATATACCAGAGTTATCAGAGGTTGTGATTGTAACCCTCACCAGTATCACCACAGAAGGGGTTGAGATCCCATCAAAAGGTGCTACTATTGATCAGAAAAGAAACAAGTCTGTAATTACTGTTCTGCCCAGTGACTCACCCTATGGCTTGGTGGGCTGGCATGCTGAGTCTCTCTTCGTTAAAGTAGCAGAGCCCAAAGGTAAATCCTGCGGAATATTTTTCAGGTTTTAATAAGAAGTTTCATTGGATAATTTAATTCTAATATTTGCAAGGAATGTAAGTTTCTCTCTTCATGTGACTTTTTGAGTTTGATAGATCATACTCAGTCCTTTCTGTTTATTGTTATTAAATTTTGTGATCATGTAATCATCTAGCAAAAATGCTATAGGAAATGCTTTTACTTTTTAAAAACATAACTGTAATAGAAATATTAATATTTTAGTTATGTCAGTGCCATAGAAGTGGCTGGTTTTTATTTTACTTTCTCTTTTTCATCCTTTTATCTGTTCTCTTTCCTCACTCTGATTTCCCCTCTCTAGAATTTCAATAGGTACAGGGAACAAGGGGCAACACAGGGAAATTCACATGATACTAAAGGTATTAATTGTTTAACCCAAAACTGTAATTAGAATTATTTTATCCTGTATAGTAGACAGGATATCCTGTATAGCAGACAGTAGTATGTCAGTCACTGTTTCCTTTGAGTGCTGAAATCTTCATCTAAACAATTGTTCATATCAGCTGTTAGATGAATAGAGATTTTTGTAGATAAAGGTCATTTGACTTATTTAGGTAAAAGGTAATATGTAGTATGTATGTATTTAGAGTATACTATGTGAAGATTCTAAAATTTTCAGATAATAGTAGGAACATCCCTCTTTAAAGAACCTTTCATTTAAACAGTCAATTTAAAAAAATGGCATGTAGTTATTTTCCTGGGCTTTTATGTATCCATATGTATAGAAACATAAGCAATAGACTTACAATAAAATGGTCTGTTTCTTTTTTCATTCAGTAAACATTTTTGAAGCACCTAGTAAGTGCCAGGAAATTGCTCTGTGTGTTCTGGGAACAAACACATAATATGTGGTTATCAGGAACTCATAGACCAGTGGGGAAGATTGCCAGGCTTTATTTTTTTTTTTTTCATTTTATATGGCAAATTAAATTTTTTAAAGTTTAATAAATGAAATAAAAAATAAGTGCTGTGAAATACTTTGAGCCTGTGTTAGGCATATCACTATAAGAACAACTTCACTCTTCTTCTAATGATTAGTCATTAAATGATGACTTTGTGTTTTTTGAAGAATCCTTTTGCATTGGTAATTATCATGTCTGCTCAACCTGCGTAGATGCACTTCCCTAAGACTTTTCAGCAATTTCTGTTAAAAGTGCATGACATGTGCAACACAGGAGGGTGCATTAGAGCATCAGAAGTGAGGGATTAGAACTGGGATGTAATGCCAGGAGTAGATGGTGATTATCAGCTCAACTTTGGGGACAAGGGAAACAAAGCACAGAATAATACATTGTCTTTGTTTTACTTCTCTTTCCTTAACTGTCTAAAAGGGATAGAGCAGAACATCCCACCCCAAGTGGTTGGAGCAGCATTGACAGCAAATAGAAAAGCTTATTTACTTGAGGCATGTTTCTCTCACAGAGAACATCACCATTCTTCAGTTACAAATAGTTCGAGATAAAGGACTGCTTGGGGACGTTGCCATTCACTTGATAGCCAAACCCAATTTCTCACTGCATGTCAATAATCAAGCTACTGAGAGTGAAGATTATGTGCTGCAAGAAACAATAATAATAATGAAAGAAAACATAAAAGAAGCTCATGTTAAAGTTGCCATTTTGCCGGTGAGTCTAGGCTGCAATGAATATCATATAAAATAAGAGAAAATGCTCTTAAAGGTAAAATTGTGATGCCCTTCTAGATAAAAACTATTTTAATTTCCCACCCACCCACCTAAATATTTAATGATGAATACATACTTTATAACTGGCTGGCAAAAATGACAAATGTATTTATTTATATTTGTTTTTGACCCGGAATATTATTTGAATGAACTTCAAAGCATTGAATTTATGTTGATTATATGTCTAAAATGGATCCACTGTTAAATTGGTTGGTTGGTTGCCTTAAACTAATGGCTGAATGAATGAAATAACTGGGTAATCTGGTCATTTTTATTATTGGTTTTATAGGACAATATTTTCATTTCATGATATGATTACTTGAAGAAAGGTTAGTCTTCAGATGGTTTAGATCTGGTTTTAACTATCTGTATTTATATCTATCTGTATATATTAGAGAGAGAAAGAGGGAGAAAATATGTAGATATATCCATAATGATGCATAAGAAACTGTATGTGCTGATAGTGGTATTAGTCTTATTAATAATACTATAAAATATTATATTTACATATGTACATAACACAATATTTACAAATTATGCATGTATAATACTATAAAATATAAATTATTAAAACATAGATTTATATAATATTAGTGTTACTAATAGTGACATTAGGTAAGAATATCTTCTGGATAGAACAATCTAGGAAAGAAAAAAATGGAAAAGAAAGAAAGATTCCTTTCCTTTTCCATGTGTATTCTTTTTTATCTTTGGAAATTTTTTATTACCTATTCAAAAATAAAAGTTTTTAAAAATTAACTAAAATATAGGATTACATCTATATTTATAAGTTCAGGATTTTCACTTTTAAAATATACATAGCATTTACCAGTTTCTCCTAAACTTCTTTTAGGATTTTATATGTGTAAAACATGTTCAATAGAATGTGGTCAAAATTGCAGGACAGATTTTTGAAAATTATTTTATTTGCTGATGAGTAGGTGGATTCCATTGAAACATCACCAATAAACTTGAATATCCCCCAAATCCTAAAGTTGTCAGTGGAATATATTAAAATATAACAAGAATTCTTTTTTATGTGTAAAAGAGCTGCCCATTCCTGTGGAGAAAGTAATTTATTTCTTATTGAAAAATACCAAGTTTCCAATGCAAATTAAATATGTTTTAAAAAATAAAACACCGTCTCTTTCCCTCACCCCCCAGGATGATGTTCCAGAGTTGGAGGAAGGATTTATTGTCACTATCACCGAGGTGAGCATGGTGAACTCCGACTTCTCTGCAGGACAGCCAAGCGTGCGGAGGCCTGGAATGGAAATAGCCGAGATAATGATCGAAGAAAATGATGATCCCAGAGGAATCTTTATGTTTCATGTTACCAGAGTGAGTTGAACTTTCATATATTTATAGTAATAGAGGAGCTTATCCCTGCTGATTTGGCCAGTGTTTTATGATATATTTTCTGCAAAATATTCAGCTTTGCTTGTAGATATTTATAAATTAATAAGTAACCAAATTTGTCTTATAAACTAATTCTCAATTTTCTTTGAGCTAGACCAAAGGATTAAGCAAGTTTATTTTCATTAAATTTAAATGTATGAGTTCTGAAGACCTATTATGCATACTTATATCCAACTGTTAATTTCTTCTTTGAGGGGAGAGGTGTAAGAACTTAAGCAGAAGCAATACATTTAGAAAGTGATGACTTATGAAGAGTTACCACTCTTGTCTTGCCTTTCAACTTCTATTCTTTACTTAAAGGATGTTGGTAGAGTTATAACTGCCTATGAGGCGCCTCCACCCTTGAATGTTCTTCAAGTTCCTGTCGTCCGGCTGGCTGGAAACTTTGGGGCAGTGAACATTTCTTGGAAAGCAACACCAGATAGTGCTGGTCTGGAAGACTTTAAGCCATCCCATGGGATTCTTGAATTTGCAGATGGACAGGTATGCTACTCATAAACATATTAGCATTTTTATCAAACATTTTATAGGCATCCATCAAATGAATGTACATTAGGGATTGCTAAGTATATTATACTCTAAATGTTCCTATGTCAAGAACAGAGATATTATTAATTAAGGTGCAGGTTATTAATGGGCATAGGAAGAGGACATTTTAAGAGACAAAAATCTCACCCTCTCTAAACTACCTCACCTGATGCTATTTAAAATGTAAGTTACAGAACAGGATGATAATTGGCTTAGAGGTGCCTAAGCATATATAAAAAATTGGCTGAAGAACTGGGATATTAATATGAACTTTAGTTTCTTTTATCTTTTATTCTACTTACTTTTTAATGCTAGTAAATACAGATATTTATTTAGAATTTGCACTAAAAGTGTGTATGTTTTACTTAATATTCAAAACATCCTTTGTGATTTAAAAAATGACTAAAATGACAGAAAAGGAACCAAATAGTTAAAACTTGAAAAATTATTTGTACAGTTCTTGCAACTTTCCCTAAATCTGAACTTATGTCAAAATAAAAATAATTAAAGAGATAAATGCAAACAAACAGAAACCCCAATATTCTATGTTTACACCAACCAATCTTAAAAATTATAAAATAGTTCTCAAGATTTATTAAATTTTGTAAACTGGGCATTTTGTGATATGTAAGAATAAGGTGTTTTCAGAAATTTTTTATCAGTAAGTGGAAAAGGGAAATGAACAACCATGAAAATGTTAGTAACTTCAAATAGAAGCATCTATTAATATCTATAGGTTGCCTGATTTTCCTTAGACAAATTTGCACTGTGTATGTCAACTTATTAGTTGCTCAGGGGGCCCAGTAAATGCTGCTAAAAGATAAGCATACAGATCTAGATTTTCCTACACAGAGAGGCCTATTATTGTTAATAATCATGAGTTTCTAATAGATTTAAAACTTGGAGAGATTTCCTATTAAAAAGAGGGAATACAAAAATGAGATTTTTATATTAAAAACAGAAACAAATAAATAGAGTTTTCATTGACGCAGCCTTCCAACTTTAGTTATACTATCAGCACTTTATTGCATGCATGAAGTTGAAGTCTCATCATTTATCAGCATCCTTTGGATGGTGATTATTCTTAAAGTTCACACCCTGTAGGGAAGGTACTCTGTATTCTATAGTACAGATTTGAGGGGCAGACATTTTAGTAAGTTTCCATTTTAGCACTTGATTTTATACAAGTTTCTACCTGTCTGAGTGTTATGTCCACATTTTTCACTTTTTCCCATTGTTTTTTCCCATTTTATTTCCCTAAAATAAAATCTTTATTTTAGGTGGATTTAGGTAGAAAAACTTCATTTTCTGGTAAATTTCAAAGTAATGGGATTTCTTTCTTGGATACAGAAAAAGATTTTAAATATGGAGATATAGCTGGGATATTTTTATGACCAATAGTGAAATCACAAGCTGGCCCAAGTTTTATTTATTTATAAGTTTATAAAAATTTTTAACAGAGACCTAGACAAATGAACTAAATTTGGTTTTTCTCCCTGCTTTTATTTTTGCCTACATTACAAGGACAATATTCGAAATCAGTGGGATTTATTTTAATTGCAGAAGACATAATTTTTATGGTTTCATTTTATATCATGTTAAATATTAATACCAAACATTTGTGTTTGTGTAATTGTTGTTAGAGCCCACATGACATTTATAAAATTTTTATTCAAGAATAAGGATTCATTGTTTTTTGTACCTATAAATAATACTGCATTTTACAGCATAAATAATTTTTTATCTTGCAAATAATAGACTTTGTAAATTTCTTTCTTTGAAATGCCATAAACATAACATGATTTTAAAAGTACAAGCAGTCCCTAGGTTACAGATGACCTGACTCACGGTGTTCCATACTTACAAACAGGCTCCCAGGGCTCCCCATAAGGATAATTTATAATGAATTAATTAAATTAATAATTTGGGAACTAGTTTTTTCAGAGCATGTAAACAAACTGGTGGTTCATTGGCTCATTTTGTGAGTCTGTGTTTACCTTTATGATTGCGCCTCCAAAGTGAAAGTCCACTGCAAGTCCAGATGAGCCTGCAGTGAAGAGAAAGATGATTACAATGGAAACAAAAGTGGGAGTAATTAAGCATTCAGAGAAAGGTCAGATGCCATCATTCATTGAGAAAGCATTAGGCTTTAGTTGCTCCGCTATTGGAACAATTATAAAGGATAAAGTGAGAATAATGGAGCGTGTGAAAGCCAGTGCTTCAGTGAAAGCATCAATTATTACTAACCAGCATAGTGGATTAATTATTGAAATGGGAAGGTTATTATTGATTTGGTTAAAAGATCAAAATAAGCATGGCATTCCTATTAGCCTAGTGTTGATGCAACATTAGGGAGTGTTAACCTTTAATGTTCTTTTTTGAAATGTCTCCTATCTCCTATCTAAACTTTTTGTCTGAATTTGTTTTATGTTCTGTTTGCTTGAATTAAAAAAAAGAGCACAATAGTTTCTGTATCTTATTACAGTACAGGGTTGTTATTACAGTATTACATTATATTATTATAAACACATATGAGTCATTATAGTATTATTATTATTATTATTATCATCACATATGTGCTGTTCATCAGGGATCTGAGTTACAGACGAATACGACCTAAAGACATTCTCAGCAATGTATCTCACCTGTAAACCCAGGGACTGCCTTTATTATGAATGTAACAGGCAAAAAGTCTACTTTTTTTGGAACCGTGTTTCTAAATTTCAACTAAAAAATTAATATATATACAAACAAAAGTTGTTATTACTTTCTTTCCCCTTCCCTCTCTCCCACTCACCCTCTCTTCCTTCCTTTCTTTTTTTTCTTTCATAGGTTACTGCAATGATAGAAATCACCATAATTGATGATGCTGAATTTGAACTCATGGAAACATTCAATATTTCCTTAGTCAGTGTGGCTGGAGGTGGCAGACTTGGTGATGATGTTGTGGTAACTGTTGTTGTTCCACAAAATGATTCTCCGTTTGGAGTATTTGGATTTGAAAAAAAGAATGTAAGTTAAATATATCAGTGGAGTGCCTTGGCCCAAGGCTAATTTTTCATGTGATTTTGAGTAGAAAGATGTCATTCATTTTTGTTTTGAAACTTCATTACCCTTCACTTAGGACTCTCTTCTCCAGGATCTTTTGAGTGGGTTATTGAATCTCGGGCCAATCCTCCAACCTATGCACACAATTTTATAGTAATGAGAGAGCTCTTAACATCAGGCAGTTATTAATACAAAGAGGTATAGATTCCTATTTATTGGGCGAGGTACACCAGCATGTACTTTTTGTCCATATCTTCAATTCTCTGCCTGCCTTATTGCCAGTCCACCATCCTGGTCACAGGCAGGAGTCTGTCTTGGGTCTGGGTGTTACTTCTCAGAATGGGTTTTGTTGGTGAGGGATTTATATCACTCACTGCTGTGGTACTCTATCATCACCTATATTGAACAAAATACAACAGTCACCCCCAGTTCATGTGTTTCTCTTTATTTCTTCCCTCTGAATTCTCCTTGGATGTTAACTTCCAAAGCCTGAAGGAGAGAACCCAAATATTATTGGTTCAATGACTAAAGGAAATAAAAAAAACATTAATCATGAGAATGAAATATTTGTGCAGCCAGGTTTGGGGATTAGTACTCAATTATCACAATATATTAAATATAAAGCACTATAAATTCTATCATAATTATTATGACTTTCCCTTTCAAAGGAAATGCCAAGATGAAATAATCACAAAAATATTTAGATAATTCCCATATACTCAGCAACTTTTCTGGCCCTTTGTCACCATATCTTTTATTTAATTACTTATAGAAAATCAGTAATTCACCATAGATCATTTTAAATTAATAAATCAATTGCTCTAATGCCAATTGTCTTCTGACCTGTGGATGCAGGGCTAAGACCTACAATTTGACTATCAGGGCTGGACTTCCCAGATGCTCCAAAATTTAAATATAACCTAATAATTGCCTAATGATTTGGTCATTGAAATTTCAATATCATGAGAAAATGGGAACTATAAGAGAGACAGAACATACATTTGTTGAAGCCCAATGAGACTGTATTTTCTTGAAATAAAATAAAATAAAGTAAAATAAAGAAATTAGCAGGAGATTTTGTGGGGAGTGTTGGCTTGGCAAAAGACCAGCTGAGAATATCTCCCAGGCAGCATAAAAGGTCTGGGATAGACATCAGTTAAGATTTTGTTATATATCCAACCAGTCTTTTTTTCTTTGTATACGTGCAAAGAAAAATTTTAATACATATGACAATGTAATTTAACTTTTGTAAAGTTTATCTATTAACTTCTGAGTTTAGATGAAAAATTCAGCATTTAGTATTCGAATCTTCCATTGATGAAACTATATAATAATGCTTTTGCTTTTAACTTCATCACACTTTTGGATGGACTTGAGCATTGGAAAATGTGTTTACAAGGTTCCCTTACTGTTAAGGAAAGGGAAGAGCTACACTACTATTGATAAACAATTTGTGTTTATTCATTTTATTTTACCTGCTGCCATAAACTTTAGTGCTCTAACTCTAGTTTAAGTGTGCTTGGTCTGGGTAATAATATCTTATTGTAATAGCCTCAAATTTCTGATTTGTCTCAAGAATATAAAAGTAAGAATTAGGGTGCCCTATCCCTAGTGTATTGTTCCTCATAGTCCATGTTATGAGTGGTAAATGCATTGATAGATGTTAAGCACTAATACCTGGGCTTTACATTTACTAGGTATCAATTGCTATTTTTATTGTTGGTAATATTAGTAGTAGCTTTTACTCAGCCCTTTGTGGCTGCTTTCCTTATATCTTGTCTTGATAGCATGGAGTTTATCTTTTAACATGCATATAAGATATACAATATGTTACACACAGTGAACATTCTATTAGAATTATTTGGTGATACAGATTTAGATTCAGAACTGAAGAACATTGAGAAAAGATGGTTACTATAAATATGTTGAAAGTAATAAGCTGGGCTGGGCGTGGTGGCTCACACCTGTAATCCTAGCACTCTGGGAGGCTGAGGCGGGTGGATCACTCGAGGTCAAGAGTTCGAAACCAGCCTGAGCGAGACCCCATCTCTACCAAAAATAGAAAAAAATTAATTGACCAACTAAAAATATATATACAAAAAATTAGCCAGGCATGGTGACGCATGCCTGTAGTCCCAGCTACTCGGGAGACTGAGGCAGTAGGATTGCTTGAGCCCAGGAGATTGAGGTTGCTGTGAGCCAGGCTGACACCACAGCACTCACTCTAGCCTGGGTAACAAAGTGAGACTCTGTCTCAAAAATAAAAAAAAAAAAAAAGAAAGTAATAAGCTGCTCACAAAGGCAGTGTGGTAAGTATATTAAAGCACTGGAAATCGTAGAGACCCATGGAAAAATACTTATGAAGCCTAAACTAAAATGTTATATCTATGGAATAAAAATATAATTATATATGCAGTTTCTTTATAATGGATTTTTTTCTGTTTTTCTTTCTTATTAAATATCTTTTGTTCTCTGAGGAGTGGTATGAATAGCATTGGGCATAAAGTCAAAACATTTGAATTAGATTCCAGGCTCCTCATCTCCAAATATATGTATACATCTGGTCCTTGGATTTTTAAGAAATCTGTGAGGTTTAAATAAGATAAAATATATGTAAGAACTGACACATAATAGCAACTCAATATTGTCAATTGACTCTAAATCTCTGCTGTTGGTATCAATGCACAATCTCATGAAAAAAAGAAAATAACGTTGTATTGCATGTTTGTTAAGCTTCTATCTGTCTTGAAAATGGAAAGCATTGTGTGGTATTTTGTATTTCCATAATGGATGGATGATATAGGTTCAATGTGGACTTTGCTTCACAGAGTCAATGTATGTATTTCACTTGAACCAGGTAGTGGAATAAGGACTTGTGTAAAAAATAAATAGTACTGGTACATTAACATATTGAATCTCCTATCTTAATATCAGGTTAATAAAACCTCTTTTATACTTAGACTCACTAAAGTTGGTAAACTGCAGTTAATTCAAAGACAATTTAGGTCTGTGTTATGTGGGAGCCTGATAAGGAGCTATAGTAAAGAATTATGTGGGAGCTATAATAATTTCAGTTCCTTCTCATAGTAAGTGTTTATTTCTTCTGCATGCAAGAATACCGCACCAGGATTCTTAGCTGGCTGACTCTTATGGACACCTTCAAATGGTTGCTCTCAGGCACCAGATTCCTTCCATCTGTGGTTCTCTCCTCTTTTAGGTCCCAGGCATCCTTTCTGTTCTCTATTCACCTGACAAGTGGGAAAAGAGAGAATGCAGGGTATGTGGAAGTTTATGTCCAGAGTATTAGCAGCTTTTATCACCTCTGCTTCTATTCCATTGGCCAGAATTCAGGCACATATTCTACCTCATTGAAAGAGACAATAGGAAATGCCAAGTAGTTGAGTATCCAGGAAAAAGAGAAAATAAGGTTTGGTAAAACATTTTTTTTCTGTCACATGATTGTAACATGATATGATTAAGAGTTCTCAATTCAAAAACTGCAGTCATTGTAAACAGAAATAAGATTATATTAGTTTATCCTGCTCATTTTTGTGTGTGAGTGTGTACGTGCCTTACTGAATTTTCTTTCTTTCAGGTAATGGTTGATGAATCCCTTTTGTCTGATGACCCTGATTCTTATGTGACGTTGACAGTTGTCCGGTCTCCTGGAGGAAAAGGAGCTGTTCGACTTCAGTGGGCTGTGGATGAGAAGGCTAAACATCAACTCAGTCCTCTGAATGGGACACTTCATTTTGAGGAGGTACAGCAGCATCAAGACACCTGTGATTTTTCTCTAACTTGTCTTTGATTTTCTTTTGCAAAGTATTACTTATGAATTCATGTGATAGTATTTAATATGCCTGGAATTTATTAGAAATCTATATCCATTTTGGGAAAAAATCATATACGCTCCCCCCCCAACACACACAAAACACAAAGATGGCTAAAATCAAATTCTTTTTATTTTTTTGAAGTGTTTCTTTTTTTAAAACCGTTAATATTTATATGTTATAGATGTACATATTTTGGGGGTACAAATAATACAATCATAATCAAATTAGGGGAATTGGAATGTTCATCAGCTTAAATATGTATCTTTTCTTTATGCTAGGAACATTTGAATTATTCTTTTCTAGCTATTTGAAATCTACAATACATTAATTCTAACTATAGTCAAATTCTTTAATTCAGACCCTTCCTCCATTTCACCATCAAAATTACCCTTCTCTCACATGTTCTCTTCCGATTGAGGGCAAAGCCAGCCAACGAGGCTGGATGTCTGACTGTCATCCCCAACTCCACTCTTTGTATAACCCTTACATGTATTCAATCACCAAGTCTGGTCAATTTTCCCTTTTAAGTGTGCTTTTTGACTATTCTGACTGTACAGAACTTCCATACTGATTCAAAATATTATTGTCAACCATAATAACATAAATACAGTCTCAAACTTACAGACTCATAATTCTTAGCATACATGTACTCTTTGAAAAGAAATAATTGACGAAGTATTTCAGCCAATCAAAAAAAAAGAATCACAATAAATAATTTAAGAATGGCAAGCACATTAAAAGCTACCTGTATGTGCCCCAGCCTCCCACAATGATAACAAGTGAAGGCAAAAGTTCTTCTCTGCTTTGAGGGAGGTCCAAAATCTCTTTGCCCATGTAATCGGTTTCTACAGCTTCTGAGAATGATGCCTTTTTCCAAAGCCCTGTAGAGCATTTACAGATGCTGTATTGGTTTATGTCCTTATAAACACTGGCTATGAGATCCTTGTTTAGAGAAGCAGCTAGCCCTTTCCAGGATGTGATTTTGCTGGTTTCCTATGTCCACACAGTTTCTTTCTCTTCTTTCCCTTTCTTGGCCAGCTTTAATAACTGAAAGTAGTTGGGGGAAGCAGCATATTGTGTCCAGTTAAGTTGAACACAGAGGTTCATTATGAATAATTCCAACCTAACCACAGCAAAGCAGTATTTATCAATCAAACTCCCAACTCTTTCTGGAAGGGGAGGGTGTAGGGAGGTGAAGAGAACTAACGAACTGATTCTAAAATATACATGGAAATGCAAAAGGCCAAGGATTGCCAGAAACTCACAAAGAAAAACATGGAGGGTGGCCTTACTTAACCAGTATGGAAGCCAATATGCAGCTAAAATAAACAAGACAGTATGATATTGGCTCTGGAATAGACCAAAGAGAAGAAAATGGAGAGTCCAGATATGACAACTTTTTTTATAGTTTTTGCTTTTAGAATCATGTTTAATTCTAAACATCTTTCCTAAATTAATAAAGAAGAAAGCAGAAAGTAATTAGTTAAAAAACAAAAGAGTAGAACTGATGATTAAGTTTTTAAAAACAACAGAAAATAACCTTACAAAATAAGAATTGACAAGAAGGAAATAACCATCATAAGAGGGAAAATATTGAAAATTATAAGAGACTACTTTATATAAATATAGGCAAATAAATTTGAAAACCTATTTGAAATTGGTTCTAGTAGATACATAGAAGATGTAGAAAGTCTAAACATAAGAATTTCCACAAATGAATAGAAAACAGATTTAAAAAGGAGTAGAAGCTTTCTAGGGGATTTTCCAAAGGAATTCCACCAAACATTTAAGGCTCAGCTAATCATAGTGCCACATGGTCCACATCTACTTTTTTGGGGGCATCTATTGACCTTTCTTTCAAGACCAGATAATATAAAAAGAAATACTTTTTTTTCTTTAGGTTTTTCAATATGTGCTTAATAAATTAATTTGTGATCCCCTCTGGCAATCTGTTTGTTTACTTAGTCATTCTGCCACCATTCTTGACGTGTTGGTTACAATGATGGCATTAAATCTCAAGGCAGATATTGCAGATGTATCATCCATTTATTTCTCAGATTCTGATACATGATGACTGAAGAAACATCTAGTTTGTGTGCCCTAGCTATGATCTGAAACTTCTCAGCTGGCATGAGAAGAATTTTGAAATTAGAAATTAGTCTCAAATTTCAAGAAAGATATTTCTCATTAATTATGAGCAATAATTTCCTAATTACCAGGAATTCTCATTGCTAGATCCACTGGCCTGGTAATGAGGAAGATTTTCTGGTCTTGAGTATGCAAAGTCTACACCAAAATTGCAAATAGTCTGATATTTTCCCCCAGCAAATAAGGTCATCCTTCTCTACTGTACTGCATCAGGAGAGATGGGTTTGTCTCTGGATCCCACCCTCTCCGTCTGTGTGTTTGGTCACCAACCCGATATATTCCATGTGCGACTATGTCACAGCTCCACTGATTTGTATTTCCAGGTCTGAAGTACCCACATCTCCACAGGTTCTAATTGGTTTTCATGATGCCTTTAGTCTTCTCCGAGTCCTACTCATGGCTAGTGGTAGCCTTTCTGGCAATACTGCACAAGTGGATCTCTGCTCCCACTAATTATTCTATGGCAACTTAGTGCTAACACTGGCAATAGAGATACTAGTCTATGGAAGTTACTATACATGGGATACACCACAGATTGTACCAAGACTTACTGTATAATAATAGTTTCCTGGTCTGCCTCAAAATAGGACAGTGAGTGAAGGGTCACCATTGCCCCACTCACAGGGAAATTCTCACAATAGTTCCGTTCAATCCTACCTTGAAGGTGAAGTTCTTCCTTTTGTATTTCTACTTACATGCAGGAGATCTAAGCTTCTTTCTCTCTGTTATAGAGGTGTTCAGGTCTTCTGGACCTGTGGAATGGTCCACAGGTGATAAATCAGTGGACATGTTGCCCTTTATCTTCCCTGGAGAGATGATTATAACATGGGGATTAGTGTCCAGAGGCTGTTTAGGGAGTCCTGTTGAGATCAACAGCTGCAGAAGTGAAAGAAACAGGACTGGTCTGGGATGAAAGCAAGCTATGATGCAGTTTAAACTGACACTACAGTACTCTACAGTTTGTTTTGCAGAGAGACTAATTCTTCAGAGCTGTCTGAGTTGGAGTAAGGGTGACTTTTATAATCACATGTTGAGAATTCACTGAATGTGGACCATTCCAGAAAGAGCATTTGACCCTGCAGGAAGGGACTTTCTTCAGATGAGGCAATTTCCAAAGGAGCCTGGCAGATGAGAGCTGTCAGCTGGAAACACTCCCATCAGATAGGGCAATGAGTCCTTTCCTGAAGAGGGATCTTAGTGAACTTCAGAGGATCCACCACAGAAATCGAGGGCAGGGCCATGCACAAGAGAACCTTGCTCTGAGAATCTCTCCCATTCTTTCCTTTGGTTTATCTTGAATAAACATTATTTTTCTACTACCCACTTTGACACTTTGCCCTCTATCCATTCCTGCTTTCTTTCCTATCCTATCCACAGATGTTGATCTCAAGAGTATTTATTATTATTTCTTTCTTATCTCACCTTTCCCTTAGCTCAGGAATTTCTTAGAAACTTTAAGTTTTCAGTGTAGGCTGGTAGAAGTAAAATGGCCCTTGGGGAGAGAAAATATATAGAGAAGGAAATATACAGAGAACAACTACATTCATACTTTGAGACATAATCATGACACATATAATTGTTATCTCTACCTTTTCTTCTGCATTCTGAAGCAACTCCAATTTGTCCTGTGTATCACTGATTAAATTTTCTGCAGTTTGAATTCTGCTGTTATATTGTTTCTCATGAAATAATAGCTTTGCAATTGCATTTTTTCTTTGAGATTTTTATTATTACATAGTCTTATTTTAAACTCTTCACTCCAGCTGTTCTCTTTTTTGTAGTTCTGTATTGCTATTTTACAGTATCTGCATTTAAAAAAAATTATAAGGGCTTCTAGGAAAATGTGTACTTACTGCCTGAGACCTTATTAAATGTACTCATGAAAAAATCTATAATTATATAATGCATCACTCCCATTCCTTTTTCTCTCTGCATATTGTGAATTAGAGGCTCAGAATGGATATAAAGAGGGAAGAGCTGATAAGAGTGGCAGCCAGTTATTCCTCATTAGTGTGTTCTCTGTGGCTTGGAGTTCAGGGAAGTCAGGAAGTAGGTCTCACCCCCTCTGTGGTTCTCCCTGTTATTTAGGTACATGGTGTGGAATGGGTATGTGTTATATAGTCTACCCAACATAATTCTTCCACTAGTGAAAGTTCTGCCTAAATTTTAGGAACTTTTTTAAAATATATTTAGTTTCTTTTGTTGTCAGTCCAGGCCTTTGTGGTGTCTACATGTGCATTTCAAGAAGGCACAATCCATGCAACTAGTTGACTGCCAATTTAACTCAGAAGTCTTTATATCTATCTTTCTGTGTTAACTTATTATAAACATATATGTGTTCAGGGTAATTAAAAAAAAACTCAGACAATACAGAGGGATGTAAAAAATAAGTAAATTTCCTCTGATCTTCCTGTATCTTATATTTCTACTTGCTAGAAGTAACCACAATTGACAGTTTCTTACACATCTTTCCAAAAATTTCCTATGCATATTCGAGTATATGTATCTTATTCTTTTTTTTAAATTTCAGCATATTTTTTTATTTCAGCATATTTATGTATCTTATTCTTACACAAGTGGAATTGTACTTTGCAATCTGTTCAGTAACTTACTCATTTTACTTTATAATTTATCTTTTTTTTTTTTTTTTTTGCAATCACACAAGGGGAGGTTTATTTTCTGGCTAGCCAGGGTCCAAGCCCCAGAGCACCAACGCAGTGGCCACTCTCGCAGGCAAGGACCCCGACTGGAACAACGGCATGCCTTTTATCCCCATGGT